TGGTCAGTTTCAGAGACACACCTGAACCGTTTTGATCTGGTGGACTTCCGCAAGGGGCTCCATTTTGCTAATTCACCTTTGAAGTATTGCATTGGGGGCCACCCAGTGACCAATCCGCATGCATGGAAAGGGGTTGCCGTTTTGTCCCGACACCCCACTAGGCCTCTCCCACATAGTTGGCCTGAAGATGTTTCCAAGTCTTCCAGAGCGTTGGTGTCCACATCCCTCATTGATGATGCCTGGGTACATGTTGGTACGGTCTATGGGGAACCTGATGCTCATTCATATCCAAACCATCGCCAAAACAATGAAGTGCTCCTTCATCATGTTGCAGGTCGTATTTGTCATTTGATGAGTGGACCCCGCATGATTGCTGGTGACTTTAACGAAGAGATTGGCAGTTTGGATGCATTTCACCTCATGCACCAGGCGGGATTCATTGATCTGCAAGATCTAGCCCTGACCAGGTGGGGTATCACACCAAAATGACGTGTAAAGGGAAGACCAGAAAAGATTACTGCTTCATTTCTCCTGAATTGCAATCGCTGCTTCTCCAAGTCTCCATCCTTGATGATGTTGTGCCGGACCACTCGGTCCTTGTGGGTCACTTTCAGCGACTCAAGCAAATGGTGCCGAAGCAGATCTGGCCTGTCCCCAAGCAGTTCCCCTGGCCTGATGCATTTGACATTCCCTGTGACCTCTGGAGTCAGCTCTCCGGTGATGTCGACCAAAAGTACTCCCAGCTGTGGACACACATTGAGGATGCGGCTGCGACTCATGTCCCCTTCCGTGTCCCGAATTGTGCTAAAGGGAGAGCCCGCACCACCCGGCTTCGAGCTGTCAAAGATGGGAAGTTTTCTCCAGTTAAGGTAGGACGGCCTGGTGACTTTCAGCCGCACTTCCAAGGTGCTTCAGTTAGACATTCCCAATGGATACGACAGTGCCGACGATTTCAATCCTACATTAGGTTTGCCATCAAGCATGCAGAAGCCACCTCCACCTATGGTAACCAAGTTTGGGGCTCAATCCTCAGGGCTAAGGGCTTTCAACCTAATTTTGCTACCTGGTGGAAAGAATGCCGATTCAGAACTGCCGCTGCCCCTGGCCTTGTGCCAGCTGCACCGCCCACAGCAAGAGTTGCCCAAGAAATTTTTGACTCAGTGGCCATGGCGGCCCGTGACTTGGAGAAAACTCTGATCTCTGAATCCAAGCAATATGCGAAACTCCGCCGAGCTGCTGATCCGTGCCTGGTTTTTCAAGATTTGAAACCTCCCAGTTTGGTAGGGGCCGACTTGCTTGCCTCCAGTTTGGCCACAAAAGTTCTTGTCGTCAACCCTGATGATTGTAGCATTACGCTGGCTGACTCCATTGCCTGGGACCTGAGTTTCCCTATATTTGCTGGCGGTATCAAATTGGAAGTCATTTTTTCAGAGCAGGATTGCATCTGGCTCGAATCCATTGAGGGTCTCGCCCCTGGCATGACTGTTACCCAAACGCAATGCTCAGGCACTGTGTCAGAAATGCATGCTGCCTTTGTTGCCACCTGGAAAGAAAGATGGCTTCGGCACATTGATGTCCCAAGTGAGCGGTGGAATGCCATCCTCCAATTTGCGAGGGACCACCTGCCCCAGAATGCGTTTGCCTTGCCTTCCTGTGAAGTTGCTGACCTTCAGGCGATCATCAAAAAGAAGCACACCAAGACCTCCTGTGGCCTTGATGGAGTTACTGTTTTTGATGTCAAGCACATGCCCCCTGCGGCCCTGCAAAACTTTTGCTCCATTTTTGCTCATGCGGAGAAAACAGGTGAATGGCCATCGAAGATGATCAATGGAAGGGTTGCCTGCATCCCCAAACTTGACATTCCCAAAACTGTTTTGGATTTTCGCCCTATCACCATCCTAGGTGTCCTGTACCGCTGCTGGGGTTCCCACCACGCCAGGAATGCTTTAAGGGCTATTGATGGGGTCCTGCCGCCCTCGCTGTTTGGTAGCCGCCCAGGCTGTTTTGCTAGTCAGGTTTGGGCCCAACTGATGTGGAGCATTGAACACTCGTACTCCCATGAAATCGAGATGTGTGGCATTGTGGCTGACGTGCAAAAGGCTTTTAATTTTCTCCCACGTGCAGTTGTCACTGAAGTGCTTGCCTGGATTGGAATCCCCATGCCGGTCTTGATTGGGTGGACTGGAGCTGTGCAATCTTTCACCCGTAGGTTCCAAGTTAGGGGTAGCCTCTCTGAGCCTGTTGCCAGTGTCACTGGGTACCCTGAGGGTGATGCGCTTAGTTGCTTAGCAATGGTGGCTATTGACTGGGTTTTCCATGTCTGGCATGCTCACTTTTTCCCACTGTGCCAGCCGGTCACGTATGTGGATGACTGGCAGCTGATTTGCTGCCAACCTGAAGCCATTCCTCACATTCAGGAGTGCCTCCAAGGGTTTGCACAGCAGATGGACCTCCTGCTTGATATGAAGAAAACATATGCATGGTGCATCTCTGCCACCGGCCGAGCCCGGCTTCGAGATAATGGCATCCGCCTTGAGGCAAATGGCCGGAATTTGGGTGCCCATGTGCAGTTCACTCGTACCCATGCCAACCAGGTTTTGACCTCCCGTATTAATGCTGTTGCTGACCTCTGGGGACGCCTTCGACGATCCCTCAGTGCCTATGCCCATAAAGTCTCAGCACTGAAGGTTGCTGCTTGGCCCAAGGCACTTCATGCGGTGGCTGCAACCACCCTTGGCCACAATTGGTTTCAGCATTTACGTGCGGGAGCAATGAAAGGTTTGTCTGCTGATCTTGCTGGCGCCAATGCAAATCTGCACCTAGGCATGGTGGAAGTTCCTGAGACTGATCCGCAGTTTTGGGCGATTATTCAAACTTTCCGGCTTGCTAGGGACTGCGGTCGCCATAGTGAAGTTCGACATAGCCTAGGGGCAGTTGCTAATGGCCTCGTTGATCTCCCCAACAATGGAATCACCACAACCTTGCTTGAAAGGGTTCAGGCGCTTGGCTGGAATGTTTCCTCTAAGGGCGAGATCTCTGACTTGTTTGGCTCCTTCTCCCTTTTCACGAGTGCTTTAGGTGAGATCAAGATGCGTGCTGCCCTTGCCTGGACTCATGTGGTTAGTAAGTGTGTTGCTCATCGCCCTGGACTCAGTGACCTGCACCTGTGCGACCCGGTGCACACGCGAAAGTTTCTCAGGAGCCTGACTCCGTGTGATCGTGCATTGATGCATAAAGCTCTGAACGGAACCCATTTGACGCGTGACGGTCTGAAATACTGCAAAAAATCTGACGATGATGTTTGCAAGTTTTGTGGAAGTAGTGACAGCCGATTTCATCGGTTTTGGATTTGTCCTTATTTTGATGATTTGAGGCAAAACCTTCCTCCTTCCCTGATTGCCATGCTCCCTCGATTGCCAACCTCCTTAACTGAATATGGCTGGTCCTTGCAGCCGATGACCATGAGAAGATGGTACACCATCCTGAATGCAATTGAAGCCCCAATGTTCCGTGCCCCCGGCCAACCAGGGGGTACTCTCCAGCTTTTCACTGATGGCAGTTGCATTCACCAAAGTTTTGCAGATTTTCGCTTTGCTGCTTGGGCGGTAATCTCAGCCTCCACTGATGAGGATGCTGGAAGTGTGGTACTGGACTGTGGCCACTTGCCAGGCCTAATCCAGAATTCCTATCGCGCTGAAATTTTTGCAGTTTTGCGAGCTGTGCGTGCTGCCCATTGCATGCGCTGCAGTGCCATGATCTGGTCTGACTGTGAGGGAGTGGTGAAGAGAGTTCGAAACTTGCTCAGAGGTGGAGCTCCCCGGGTGAACTCTCCAAACTATGACTTGTGGGTTCTTCTGGCTCAAGCGATCTCAGATGCGGACCAATCCCATTTTGACATTACATATGTTGCTTCTCATAAGGGTGATAGAGCTTTTTCTCCTTTGGAAGAATGGTGTTTCCGCCACAATCACTGGGCTGATCGAACAGCCGTCCGGATGAACTACAACAGACCGAGTGAATTTTGGAAATTTTTCCACTGCCATGTTGAGTATGTCCGTGCTGCCCATGACATTTCTAGGCTTGTGCAAGGAGTTATACTTAGCATTAGCAAACTTGCTGTTCAAAGTTCACAGCAAGACACGGACAGCGACCAAGCCGAGGTTGGGACTCACCAATTGAGTGCAACTGCCTACTGGAAGGGAGTTCCTGAGATCACATGTTTTCCGCCTGATGCTTTTCGATGGTATCCAGAAAAACTTGTGAGACTTATTTTCAGCTGGTTTTTGCAGACTGTGCATCAAAGTACGCATGAGATTGTTTGGCTCAGTCAGGCGCAATTATACCTTGACTTCCAGATGTCGACTGGTACCTATGGACCCTACAAACAGGGCACATGGAAAGATGGTGCAAACAATAACTGCATTGACCTGGCTGGTCACCCTTTCAGAACAAGAGTGCGTTGGTTTTCTAAGGTGCTACGGGAAACTTTGAAGAAGTGCGGGTTTGAAGTTTGCCATGTCTTTGGTATTCCTTGCTCTGCTGCTCTCAGGTTCCACACTGGGGTCCTTGCCGTACCTTGGCCTAAGGTGCGAATTGAGGAGGTCGACCGATGGATCTTGGGACATCTTCCTCAAGGTGTTCGCGGTCTTGCGGGCCCCGTGGACAGGTTGCCCTGTGCGGGCCGAAACCTTCGTTTCGATGATGTTTACATCACATGTATGTAGAGCGGTCTAAACGGACTGCCTTCGGAGACCAAGGCAGTGCGCAATTGAAAGAGGTGAAAGAGGTGGTGGTTTGGGACATGAATTTTATTTTTCCATATCTTGGGAATTTCACCATCCCAACTGACGAACTCATAGATTTCAGAGGGGTAGGTATACCACCAATCAGATATAGTTCGGGGATGTCCAGTGGCCATGTTTGATTGCCATGGGGCATATGTTTTGCAATCACCCAGCAAGATGACACGAGGCTAGGCTAGTTCATGCCGCTGCCCCAAGGAACACCACGGCCGGCCTGTCTTCCAACGCATCGGCAGCAAAGGCACGGAGAGCTTCACAGTTGTGGTTTTGTTTGTTTTCCCAATGGGAAATCCACGACCTGGGGAATCTATATATATATATATATAGATATATATATATATATAAGAACTACATGTTTTATTTTTTGAGGGGTTCCTTAAGCACATGCAAATTATATCATCATGTCAAAAATCCCCGAGAAAATACGGCAAGTTACCAGTTTAAATGGCATTTCAACACAGCAAGTGCTTGCTTTCCTGGCTCTATTGGCCCATTTTTTTGAGTCGGGGTTTACCAAACTGCCAGCAGTTTCAGGACCCTTCATCTACTTCTGGGATGATCGAGATGGTGAGAGCTGGCCACTGGTCCTAGGTTTCAGTGCCGATGGCCAAAACGTGAGAAGTTCTAGGTATAAAAACAAAGTGTTGCCATGTTACGTTCCGTGATGTACCCGTGAATACCACAATTTTGTTGGCTCTACAAGGGTTTTGATGTTTTTTCTTATCTATTTGTTTGCTTTGACCTCACCGTCAGACATTTTCCGTCGCCCCAACCCATGATCACCACAAATTGGTGCCCCAGAGTCACAAAGTCGGTTTCCAAACCCATCCAAAAACTGTACAGGATGGTGCCCTCTACTTAGAAGTTGGTTTATAACTCCTATCAACTATAGTTACATCTAGCATAAACCACACTTAAACCACTTATAAAGCAACTTAGCTGTCTCCACATTGTAGAGATATTCACCATAAATCCAACAGTTCTTTTATCCACCTTGGAACTGAACGACTTCAGTGAACCAACATGGCACCAAGCAAACACGACCAGCGCATGGCTGTACACACCGTTTGTGTTGAGACATTCGGGTTAAAAACCAACAGAACTTACTGGTGCTGAGTAGGGAATGGATGGGAATGGGGGAATGGGATGATGGTTGATAGTTATTGTGGATCATTCCCTCGTTCCCTGCTAAGCACCAGTAAGAGAAACATCAGACACCTTTTTTTTTTTTTCTGTGAGAGCCTTTTGGCAGCTCCTCAATTGTTCTGGGTCAATTGTAAAGACCTCACTGCGACGTCACTGGAATGATGGTTAGTAAGTAGGAGCTAACTATCCCAAAATGGATTTATTTTGGTTTATAGTGACATACTGATGTATCCGGATGATTGTGACATTTTGTGACCATGTGACACTGAGTATGATCATTATGATTGTTTTTCTTTTCAGATTTCACTAACCAGTGAATCAAGTTCTTTTAATTCACCCAGATTGAGTGGACACTTTGATACGTTTTCATTGTTTACAAAATGATGTGCAGTTGTCAGATTACCATAGATTTCACTAACCATTGGAATATTATGAAATAAATGATTATGTTCCAAGATAATATTCCATGGCCATCACTAACCAATTATTATTCCACTAACCAACATCAATAGATTTCGCTAACCACCATCAATTTAATGAAACCCAACATATTTATTTTTAAGATGTCAATAGATTTCGCATAATTGTGTAATAAAAAATATGTTAACCAGATATGTTGCTGGTTGGTGGTTTAAAATTTGGCTTTGATTTTCCATTTCAGATATGGGATGTCATCCTTCCATTGACGAACTCCGTCATTTTTCAAGATGGTTATTGCACCACCAACCAGATAGTACCATCATTTCAACCATAGTTAACTATAAATTGGTTTATAACCCCCATGAATACTATAGTTATTTGCGTGTCATAAACCATCATTAACCATCATTAACCATCATTAACCATCATTAACCATCATTAAAACCATCATAAACCAGGTTGGTTTCATTCAAAAAACGACATCTTCTAACTGCCATGGATTCACCGAATTCGCGAATTCGCGAATTCGCCGAGGTGTGGCTGGTGGCTGGGTCCCATCCTGGGAGGCGCTGAAGTTTGGGGTTATCATCCCAAGGAGGACAGGCGATTTCGCTACGCGAAATTGCGGCGTCTAGGAAGGTTTCCTTTGTTTGTTTGTTGTTTGGCATATATTAATACACTATACAGCACTATACTGATATGTTGTGTATATATATATATATTTACTTATATCATATGTATATTTATATCATATATATATAGAGATATATACATGATGGTGCTGTATATGTATATATGTATAACATTGTATAACTGTATAGCGTGTTCATCCCTCAAAGATTGGATCAAGGAACTTTGGATGAGCTTTTCCACCGCCAAGGCTACTTTTTTCCATGCTGGTGAACCCTAAGCTGTTACTTTCAATGGATTGGTTTAAGGGAAATTTACAGGGAAATCCCATATTTATTGGTAAAAACCATGGTTTCCTGTAGATTTTCCCTTAAACCAATCCATTGATACTTTAGAGTGGTCGCCAGAGTGGTCACAAAGGTTCTTTGTTTGTTACAACATTTACAAATGTTGATATTGGTTGAAGCCTTTGCCGGTGAAAGGGTGCAGACCAGTAGTATTGTTGCGTTCATGAGCCCAGCACCTTGGGAGAGTCATTCATGGAGTGAGTCTAAGGGATGAATTACAATGAACTTCCTGAGGATTCCCAGTGTAAGAATCAGTCAATTCGACAATTTCGCCATGATACACTCCTCGTACAATAGCGTCATTGGCTCAAAGACCTTAGTGCAAAAGGCGTATCAAAAATGTTTTCGGTTCCCCCGAACAATTTCCACGCTTCTTTACGGGGGTTGAATTTCCGGATTCCTCAACAAATTATCCTTTTGATTCATGGATTCAAACATCTTCAAACTATGCGATTAACGAAGCATCAGACATGAATCCCCGCAATCTTGAATGATTTTTTTAGGAGCCATTGCTCAGAATTTCTAGGTCAATCTTGGATGGGTACTTTAATCCTGTAGTCTTTTGGTATCAATGGGATTATCTACGTTCACCAGCTAAGAATTTGTTATTTGTTGCAGGGTATCTGGCAGAAAAAGGCCATGTTTTTAGGAGCCATTGCTCCAGGATTTTCTTTGTTACGCCGCGAAAAACGCAGGATATGATGCCACCTGAGTATGGCTGGCGATCTCCTTGGCATGGCGAAGACAGCAAGGTCATTCGAATGCCGCTTGGCAGCTTGTGAGTGGACCGGTGGACGGTTGCACCAGTTTTTCTGCACCAGTTGGTGGGCGAAATGTGGCAAAATGCCATGATAATCCCATTAAATTTACAGTGATTTATAGGCATCCCAATAGTGACCTGCCATGGTTGGTGGTTTGGAACATTTGGATTGTTTTTCCATTCAGTTGGGAATTTCATAATCCCAACTGACTCATATTCTTCAGAGGGGTAGGTAATCCCAATAGTTACCTGGTGCCTTCTCTACCCTCGAACCGGGCACATTGACGTCCCGGTGTCAGGTCTGTGTCTGGACGTGTCTCGCTGCTGGAGGCACGGGCACAAGTCAATCTTGCCCAAATTTCTGGATAGTATGATGGGTCTGGGTAAATTATAACGACCTCACTGCGACCTCACTGGAAATCATGGTTAATAAGGGGAATCATCCCAAAATGGCCTTAATTCAGGTTAGTGAAATATTATAATTTACCCAGATGGGTGTTGTTTAGCGGACACGCATGTCCGTGTCAGGTACGTCCCAAGAAGAAGGAGGCACGGTCTGTGACGCCGTGGCCGATTCGCATTTTTCCGCGAAGATTTGGATGCGAACCCACAAGCGATGAGGATCCCAATTGTGACATGGTCAACTTACATGGTACTCGTAATCCCCTACTAGTAGTATGAACCGCCTCTAGGAAATGAAAGTTAAACCCAGACAGGGATTGAATGGGATTTTTCATGAAATAACCATTTTATTATATGGAAAAACACACCCAAAACCATGATTTAGTGTGGGATTTTACACGTATTTGGACCATTTATATCAAGGGTCTTCATACTATTAGGGAGATGGGATCAGATGGGTTATGGTTATGATCATCTCACGATGGGAATCCTTGTATTGACCACTAATTACCCTCTGGTAAACAGCCACATAACTATGGAAAATCACAATTTTTCATGGGCAAATCCACTATTTCTATGGCAATTTTAAATAGCAAACTGTTAGTTTACCAGAGGGTATTTCCTTTGTCTAACGGTGGTATGATCATCCCCCAATATGTCTCTTCTTATCCAACTGTTGACCATGGCTCAATTTTCAGGGGTTTAAACCAATAGGAGGATAGCCCAACTGTTCATAGACATGGGCCACTTCTAAGTTGGGCTGTTTTTTGACCCAACTGTACTTGGTGGTTCATCCACTTAGTAGGTTGGTAAAAACCCCAGTTATACATGGATTGACCCTACTTACCCCACTTACAACCACGGATGTATATACCAATGTATAAACGACTGATGAGCCACCAAATAGAAATATCCACCTTCCCCAACTTTCCCAGTTTTGAAGCAACTTAGCTCATTTCCAGGTCCCTTCCGTAGGTGTGCGGCAAGCGGTTTTTATGCATGGCACTGACTGCTGGATTTATCAACATTCCTCGGATGGTCCTTCAGCTCCGGCCCAAGGGACTATTGATCGGAGGGCCACCTTGCGGAAGCTGGATATCCCATAGCCCATAGGATCCATGTATGGTATATATATATATATGCTAACATTTGGGGTATATTGATGGTAAATGTCACCATATATATAGCATACATGGATCGTATGGGTATGGGTGAACAGGTTTACATCTAAGCGAAGTCGGCAACGTATTTTCGGTGATGTCTCGAGGGGCTACGTGAAAGCAGCTAATGCGAGTCTTTGCTGAGAATCAAGCGCGAGAAGGTCATAGTGATGGTGATTTCTGCCTTGAGGGGTAGCTCCTAGCAATTTACAGTTGATTGACTAAATAATGTTTACACGCAGTGAACGTGTAACCCCTCATGCCTTTCCAAGTTTTTTTGTGGAATTTTCGTGGAGTTTTGACAACTCCTCACTTCATTCCAACGTGCGGATGTGTTTATTTGCTTATCATACCCTTGCTTCCCCACTGTGATATAAGAAGTTGCATTTATTTGGCTTCACCATAAACATTTGTTCCAAACATGTATCGAACTTGGGTAAACTCAAAAAATCAGCAAAGCGTCTCCAAAAACCACTGACTGTAAAAGCCGAGTAATTGTTTCACTTATTTTCATTTAACGTGGATACCCTGTGGTAATCAAACGTGGCAAAGGGAAATCCCCTTTCCTGCATGCAGGTTTGAGTGGGAAAAAACAACATCATACATATATATATATAATTACTGTATATGTATATATTATATATTTGATTATATGGGACAGTTTCCAGCAAGCCTCGTCTGATGACACCAGAGGGTAACAGGGAGATATCCTGTTTTCAATTTTGTCTACAGTTATAGCCCGTTTTAATTGGGATTGTAACTCCTGCAACTCATTGGTTATATGTCACTATATTAATAAGTCACTATACATCACTTAAATTGATGTTTTGTTTCCAGCCAGTTAAAACATGTTTCCAGGGCTATTTTTTGGGCTATATTTTTGTGTAGAGCGGACCTATCGGATAGGCTTTTCTTTCGTGCGAATCGCAGGTGGTCCCAAAGTGGATCGCAGAACCTGGTTTTGGCGAGGCAGGGCCTGTTTCCTGAACCGTGGAACTGCCATGGATTTCTTTCATGAGGATAAAAACAGAGCGTTTTTGACGGCGTTTTTAAGGAACTCACTTAGAAGTGATACTGTTGTTGTTGTTTTCGAAGTCAATTCCATTGGTGTTTCAAAACTGAAACATCGTTTTCGCTGGGGTAAAACCTAGACTTTTGTAGAAGCTCTTTCAAGCATGGTTTTCAAACAACATGGCCTAGAAGTCTTCACGGCTTTGGCTGCGGCCTTCAGAAAGTTGTGGGCACATGTTAGGCAGTACCGTCACCGCCAAGACTGTGCATAGACCAGAAGCCAGGGGGTCTATCAGAATGGCTGGTTGGTGGTTTCAAACATTTTTTATTTTCCATAATACCTGGGATAATCCTTCCCATTGACTTTCATATTATTCAAGATGGTTATTGCACCACCAACCAGATCAGACTGGCTATGGGGCCATCGAGTCAAAACTTATCAACTTGGCCTTGGAAACTACCAGGTGAGGCCCCTGGCCTTACGAAATCGCAGTTTTGACCCAACCAGCTTGGGCAAAACTGTTGGTTTTATCGGGGGATACAAGGCCTCACATCATCCTGGGTTTGAGGTTTCCCAACTTCAACCCTAATCTCCAGTGCTTGGGCCTGTTTTCTCTTGGACTGGTTAAAGGGAAACTGGTCCGGAAACCTCTATATTTGATGGGACGGAAACATGGTTCGCTCTTGATTTTTCCCCCGAACAATCCATTGATCATCATATTTGGCAATTAAATCACATCATATAAACCATATTAATTAAGCTGGTTGGTGGTTTGGAACATGTTTTTATTTTTCCATATATTAGGAATACTATAGGAATACTCATCCCAACTGACTAATATTTTTCAGAGGGGATGAAAACATCAACCCGTAAGCCATATTCCACCATATTAGACCATCTCCATATTATATTAAGCAGTATTAAACCATATTAAACCATATCACAGATTATCAAACTATATCAAAGCACCATTTTTCTCATATTTCAACCAAGCCAGTGACTGTTGACTTTCGGGCCCTTTCGGGTCCCGGGAAGGGCTCGCGAGGCCTTGACAGAAGATGCCCAGCTTCTGCAGAGTTGTTGCATTTGTCGCTAGCTGAACTCGTTGGGAACTTCGATGCGGATCTGTGATCGGAGATAGTTCGTACCTGTTCATCAACTTGTAAGTGGTTTATGATCTCATATTATAAGAAATATATGCTGGTTGGTGGTTTCAAACATGTTTTTTCCATTCAGTTGGGAACATCATCATCCCAACTGACGAACTCATTTTTTTCAGAGGGGTAGGCTCAACCACCAACCAGCCATGTTTCATCCCATGAGATATTCCGTAGGGGAAGCCATTAGTGAAATCTTGATGATTTCAGCATTTCTAAACTTCGTATCGCAGCGGTACTTTGAAGAATTGAACACAATTACTGGTTGGTGGTTGAGCCTACCCTCTGAAAAATATGACTTCGTCAGTTGTGATTATTATTCCCAATATATGGACAAATTATCCAATAAACACAATTATAACATACAATTTGAGAATTATAACTATGTACTCGAGAATTCAATGTGTATTTATACACCCTTCTTCCAGTTTCGCAATTTCAATGATGAAAACAAGATGTTTCCCAGGCTTTTGAGGTACCCAGTTCCCTAGTCTTTGGACAGACCCAAAAACAAACGGATGGCGTGAAATTACACACGACTTGTTGGCCAACACCCATCATTTCTGGGTCAATTAGTACTATAGTTCCTACAAGGATTACCCTCTGGTAAACTAACAGTTTGCTATGGAAAATCACCATTTTTAATTGGTAAATCCACTATTTCTATGGCCATTTTCAATAGCTATGTTAGTTTACCAGAGGGTAGAGGGACGAGATCACCTTGATGTTCTCACATTTCTATTAGAGGGACACGCCTTGGACTCCAGGATTTTCCGTTTTACACAAAATTATTAATGGATGACTGGTTGGTGGTTTGAAACATGAATTTTATTGTTCCATATATTGGGAATGTCATCATCCTAACTGACGAACTCATATTTTTCAGAGGGGTAGGCTCAACCACCAACCAGATGAGTAGACTACGGTAGGTTTGTACTTCGTTCATTCCACCTAGTGGGCAATGACCATATGATTTTCAGTTTTATTTGACAAACTCTGCTTTTGGATGTTCCAAAGGTCCAAACAGCTTAAACAAAATTATACCATCCGGTAATTTAACATAGCTATTGAAAATAGCGATTTACCCATTAAAAATTGTCATTTTTCATGGCAAACTGTTAGTCATAACCAGATGGGAAACTGGGATACGAAAAGCCCAGTAGATCCCACTGGTCGTCATTTTACCACTGGGGCAACTGTGAATTATCGCTACTAGGGCGGAAAAATGAGTGAGTCATTGACTTTCGGCAAAATGTACGATTAACTAGCAGTAAGTTAGACTATCATAGAGAAAATGTCTAAGATTAACTAAGTAAGTTTATGTAAGTCTTACATCGTAGTTCATGAAGTCATTGTATGTCATTAACTTAATTCCAGTTGTTAACCATACCCGCGGGATTCATTGGGATTTAACCCGCTATTGGGAGGATCATCATGTAAATGGGTTATAAAACCAGACCATATCATCATTGAATAAACTTCCCTATATTTACGGGTTATATGTATATAACTGTATATATATATATATATATATTTATCCCATAGATCTCCATGCTTGGTTTAAATAGAATCTTCCACTGGCAATGATGCTTCACGATTGGTGGCGGTCACAGCGCCACCCTGCTCACTCTTCAGACCAGCTCGTGCGCCAAAAAGGGCAGCTGGGGCTACAAAACTACATGATCACATTGCGCGGAGGTTGCTGCAATTGTGCTTGAAGACAATGAAACCAGACAGATAAGACAGGCACATCACGATCTCAGGAGCAAGCCATGGAGAGTGCCATGAAAAGACCCTGTCACTCGACACCTCTTTCCCGCACCCATGACGGCTGCTCGTGAATTTAGATGAGCAAAGAAGCTGAAGCCATGGAAGCTTGGGCAGCGGTGCGTCCCTGGGGGAAGGGACGGCCGCTTGGGTGCCAAGTAGCGGCCCAATGACTGGGGCAGTGGTGTGGCTGATGTCACCAGGATGCCAGTTGTTGATTAAGTGATGAGGTCCATGGAGATCTTCCACCGAACCATGAGGAAGCAGGACCGTTTGAGGTACAAAGAGCATTTCGAACGATGCCAAAAGAAGCGCAAGATTCCCAAAGTTTACCACAGAAGGACAAAACTTGGCAAGTGTTCCTAGCACAGAGACAAAGATCTTGCGGTCAGCAACTCTTGGCTGGTTCTTTTACAGGGCCCGGGCTTTGCTAAGAGCTTGGGAGGCACGTGATCAAGGTCGCCAAGCCTTGCAAGTTGGGACACAGTGTCAGAGTAGGCCTGAAAGCAGGAAGTCATGATGGTGCGCCAAGATGCGATCGGTGGTCAATGGTGGTTCTGATATATAGATGCTATGATAGGTGGTCAATGGGCCAATGGATTGTCAATGGTGGTTCTGACATATTCTGACACATCTGACATATGACACACTGGGTTTCATGGGTTTCATGTGCTGAAGTTTCTCTTGCTGTCCTCCACTGGGATGGGGCGACTTTCCCTGAGGCCTAGAGCCTCTCTGGAACGCAGAACCCAGCGACTTGGCCGGTTCATTTTGTGGTGGCTCCGTTGCCATTCTGCTAATGTTCAGAAGGGGGCTTGAACCACAAAGAAATTGGGAAATGGGGCATTTATGATGTATGTGTTTTTGTTGATGATGATTAGGGTCGTCATGATAGAGTTTGAGTTGTTTTGGGATGTAGTCACTAATCTAATCACGAAGATGGAAAACAAGAAGAACAGCATCGTATAGCACAAACTGCTCGTTGGTGGTTTGGAACATTTTTTATTTTTCCATATACTGGGAATAATCATCCCAACTGACGAAGTCATATTTTTGAGAGGGGTCGGTATATGCCACCAACCAGATTGGTATTCATTTAGACTGATTGATCGAGAGTTGTGGGGACGAAACCAGAAAAAAATGTGACGTGAGGGTCTGAGGAAGTGATTGCAGTTTGCCTTGGTGAGGCAATCAGATCAGTGTAGCAATGTTTTTTGCGCGTGACCTGAAGACTCTGAGATACTTTTGGTGCTTGATATTTCTGAGCAACATCCCGATGAAAGGAATCCCACCAGAGGTTTTCACTGAATGAATCATCTGAATCAGAACCAGGTAGCAACGAAGGTGCACCGACCATTTCAACTCGCACAACTTCCAAGTTTCAAATCGTCGATGTCCACAGAATTTTGCTAAACTCCCCTGGCTGTATTGAGAAACAACGATGATGCGTATAGAGAAGAACGACAGTTGATGATAAGGAATATATAAACATGAATAAAATAGTATAAACTAGGTGAGGTGCCTTTAGTGGTTGTTTCAATGGGCCTGAAGTGATGATAAAAGTCACGACACTAGCTCTTTGTGTCAGACAGCCATGTTGATTTCACACATCCGTTTAATGTATACTTTTTGACATGTTGACGAACTGGTTGGTGCTTTGGAACAGTTGGATTATGTTTTATATATGTTTTCCATTCAGTTGGGAATGTCATCATCCCAACTGACTTTCACTCCATCATTTTTCAGAGGGGTAGGTATACCAACCACCAACCAGAATAGTTGATGGGCACCAAGCCAAATATCATATCAAATTGGTTTATATAATGTATACTTTTTGACATGTTGATGATATTTGATATTCGATAATGATACTTCGATCATCATTGAAGCATGTTCCATGTTCGCTGGGGATGAAGTCTCGATGGGGATGCTCAGTGTCACAGACTGTGCGCCTTTTTCATGTCTTGTTTTTTGTCCTGCTTGATAGTGCAAAGGGGCTGTGCGGATCGAATATCTGGTTGGTGGTTTCAAACATTGTTTTTTTTCCATAATATATGGGATAATCCTTCCCATTGACTAATATGTTTCAAGATGGTTAAAACCATCAACCAGATACTGTATAGATGCAAGGTAAAGCCAGCCTTGCATGATTGATATATAAATAAAAACCAATGGTAAAATATTGGTTAATTGCAGTATGGGGCAATTCTTTCTCCAAAGACCTTTCCCTTCCGAAACAAGCTTCCTGTTGTGGTCTATGGTTGCAGGCGTTTTCCTGACGAATTTGCAACGTCTTTGTCCTCACTACTTTTGCAGCCAATGTGCCAAGAGGCTGCGGTGGAAGAACGGTAGTCACGGTAGTCTAAGAGTACAATGTGGGGCCCCCAAACGTTATAAGTTGATTTATAAGCCAATGTAACTATAGTCATAAGAGTCATAAGTACCATAAACCCAACAGTTATTGTAGTGAACTGTAAACCAACTGAACGCTAAACGGGTTGCCAGGGTACCCCCATAGCCCGATTATTTTGGAAAATCCGACGAAACAATGAATTTGTGTGTGTGTTTAACCTCCATACAATGTGGCCCCCCTGGTTATATGACGTTATATGTTGGTTTAGAACCCCATCTAACTATACTTATAAGTACCATAAACCCTAGTGAAATTGTAGTTATTTGCACCAACTTAGCTATCTTGGGGGCCCCACATTGTATGGTTGAAAGTTGTTTAGTTATCACTCAGATTCCAGATCAGTGTTGAAGGATCTGGCAACACATGGCAACACCTTGGCTTCAGGAAACTCAGTTGCTTGGAATGGGATCCTAACATAACATATCCATAATTATCCATACATATCCTAACTAGTTCCCAAAGTCTATTTAGAACACCAGAAACCAGCGTTTGTAGAGATATGCTAATTGATGTTAATTGGATATATCTACTGTATACTATACTTGCCATGGTTTATACACTAACTATAACTAACATATAGCTTGGGCACCACCATGCACCTGGCCCGGCACAACGTCGAAGACGTGCCGTGACAGGATTGTGGTGGAACAAACCAGCCTCGGCCTGCAGCCCTTTAAGGAGGACAGGTCGGACACGCCGACAGGCCTCGTGGCCATTCGGAAAGCCCCGTTGATTCTCATGTGACGGATATCCCGGATATGGATATTCCATATCCGGAGCCAATAACAAAATGAAGTGAGATAACTTGAGATAACTTTGAGTTTTCATGTTATCCCACGTTTTGTTGGCTCCGGATATGGAACACCCTGCTGGTTGGTTGAAGTTCCCGTGGATTTCCCATGTGATGAAATAAAGAACCCGTCAATTCGATTTAGCGAAGCAGGTCCCTATTTGTACTGGAGACAGCGAAGAAAAAAACAATATACCCTCTGGTAAATAAACATAGACCCTGAAAACAATGAAATTCTATTTGAAACTAGTCTTCCAACCCCCATTTGCCAGGGTCTATATTAATTTACCAGAGGGTACAACCAGAAGTATAACAGACTATACGCTATGTATGTTAATTATATAATATACCATGAACATCCCGTCACTGATACGTTCGAATGCAGCCATTTCGATCCCAAGCCCAGGACATGCAAATCGCATTTCTCGAAGCTTGTCTGCCGATGGCCATAGATCAGCCACAGAGAGGTGAAAAATCATGCGTCCTACCTTAGGAAATTATTTTGAGGTGGGGGTTGGTTCCAAAATATATTAATTAAATAATTTCCAATTTTTAACATAAATTTTATGTTAAAATCACCCGACAAGAGCCATAGCAAAATAATTTTTGCACCCGTACCTTGATGATGGTGCAAAATAATTTTCCACCTACAGAGGTTGAAGCACCTTGAAATAATTTTAAACAAACAACTTAAGGCACCTCAAAATAATTTCTCAGTTGAACTGGGGAAATTATTTCATATAGTTCCAACTGTATAAAATAATTACCAGACACCCATGATGAAAATTATTTCATGGGGTGGGGGTACTTGCAAACCACCTGCAAAATAATTTCAGCATATTACATCAAATTTCAACTACATATTTCAACATGTTCAGTCAGGATATTCTTTGAATCAATCCCAACACATCCCAGGGAAGTTGAGTTTTGCAAGGTTAGGTTTTTTTGGATTTCTGGGGTGGTCTAGTAGTTAACCACCCCCAAAATAATTTTTGGGGAGAGAGGAATCGATTCAGGTTTCTTTGCCCAAAAGCCGATGCTAAGTCGATGTTCTAAAAAATAATTAGTTCAGCCAGTAATTCATGGTAAATCTCAGGGCTTGTCTGTTCGAGGCAATTTGGATTTTGAACTACTCAATGGGAAGTTAATTTTGCCAGTTTAGGCTATTATTATTTCTGGGGTGGTTTAGTAGTTAACCACCCCCAAAATAATTTATGGGGTCGGAAGGGGTCGATTCAGATTTCTTTGTCCAAAAATCGATGGTCTAAATCATAGGTGGTTTAGTAGTTAACCACCCCCAAAATAATTAGGTTCTCATGGTTTGATTCTTTCAGACAGTTTGGGTCAACTTGGATCAGGTTTGGCATTTTTGACCTATTCCAGGGAAGTTGAGTTTTGCAAGGTTAGGTTATTTTGGATTTCTGGGGTGGTCTAGTAGTTGGACCACGGCTTATAGACGGCCGTGGGTTTTGGGGGGTTTTGAGGGGTTTTGGGTGGTTTTGGGGTTTTGGGGGGGGGGCTGATAACGTTCTTGGCTGCCCGCCTTACAAGATATTCTCTTGGACTTGCTGCTACGCTATCCACTCTTCTCTTGCACCGTACCCTGGCACACGCTATCAACTTCTTCTTGTAACTTGCAAGACACTCTTGATTTTTGCATTGTTGTTTCTTGGGGGGGGATTTTGGGGGGGCTGATAACGTTCTTGGCTGCCCGCCTTACGAGATATTCTCTTGGACTTGCTGCTACGCTATCCACTCTTCTCTTGCACCGTACCCTGGCACACGCTATCAACTTCTTCTTGTAACTTGCAAGACACTCTTGATTTTCGCATTGTTGTTTCTTGGGGGGGGATTTGGGGGGGTTTTGGGGGGGGGCTGATAACGTTCTTGGCTGCCCGCCTTACAAGATATTCTCTTGGACTTGCTGCTACGCTATCCACTCTTCTCTTGCACCGTACCCTGGCACACGCTATCAACTTCTTCTTGTCACTTGCAAGACACTCTTGATTTTTGCATTGTTGTTTCTTGGGGGGAGGGGTTTGTGGGGGGCTGATAACGTTCTTGGCTGCCCGCCTTACAAGATATTCTCTTGGACTTGCTGCTACACTTAAAAGAGAAATGGCCATCACAAAATGAGTCAAGGTGTGCATTCAATGATCCAGCAATGGATGTGGCGTCAAACAATTTTGCCGTGTTCTCGCAAAGAATTGATGTCATGACTTTCAATGACGGCTTCATCCACTGAAACAAATAGTTTGACTGCATTGCAAAATGACTAAAAAACATATTTATCCCCATCTAATTACGAGATGAAGCCGCTTTAACCAATGGCACGGCTGCGTGAAAGATCCAAAATGGACTGGAATGCTCTGACCACTGTAAATCAGCAGAAAACAAATGCTCAGCATTGCTGGTGTGCTGAATTCCTCACGGCCGCCTGTGAGCCGTGCACCTAGTTAACCACCCCCAAAATAATTTTTGGGGAGAGAGGAATCGATTCAGGTTTCTTTGCCCAAAAGCCGATGCTAAGTCGATGTTCTAAAAAATAATTAGTTCAGCAAGTAATTCATGGTAAATCTCAGGGTTTGTCTGTTCGAGGCAATTTGGATTTTGAACTACTCAATGGGAAGTTAATTTTGCCAGTTTAGTTTAGGCTATCATTATTTCTGGGGTGGTTTAGTAGTTAACCACCCCCAAAATAATTTATGGGGTCGGAAGGGGTCGATTCAGATTTCTTTGTCCAAAAATCGATGGTCTAAATCATGAAATTCCGACAATGCTTGTCGGGTGCATTCGGGAGGATAGGTAGGGTGACCCCCCAAAATAATTTTGTGGGGATTTTTGCTAATTATTTTGAGGTGGTTCTACTTGTTTTTTCAATCATCCAAAACCATCTTAAACCACCTTGAAATGATTTCCAAAATTATTTTGAACTAAGGGAAGTGTTTTTGAGTAATAGTAGAACCCTACAAAATAATTTATTTGCAATTTTTCAGAAATTATTTTGAGGAGGTGGGTAGTGATAAAGGATATTATTTTGGGGTGGTTAGAGTGTTTTGGAAAAAAATATTTTGTAGTGGGTTATGTACTAGAAGCACCTCAGAATAAATCCCAGAAATTATTTTGGGGGGTCACCCTAGTGATTTTACCCAGGGTAGCCCGCATGAAAAATCCACGGATGATCTGGGATGGAATCTGGTGATATATCACGGGCCAAGTGACCCGTATACTGTTGGTTTCACTTTCATTATGTTCAAGGTTTATCCCATTATATCCCACTTATGAAGTGGGTTAGTTCACACCAGTGATAAGTGAACAAAACGCCCTTACTTCGCCCGCCCAGTGATAATAACTGGAAACGCCCGTCCATTGATAGTTTTTGTGGGTTATAACATGTTATAACATGTTATAACCTAGTTACGATTCGTGGGATGCCACCATTTGTATGTTCAAGATCTTTGAAGAATCTGTGGGATGATGATCCCAATTGGCGATTGGACAGTCTACTAGTCTACCATCGCAGAGGTCACTTAAGTGAACTTCAATGGTTTCCAGGTCCTTGAAATGACCGCAACGCTGTGTGTTAAAGAGTCGAAAGTCAAAACCTCAAAACTTCAGACACCCACATCTTCTATAACGAATGGATTTGAATGACACGATTTTCCAACTTTCGCACTTTTTCAATTCGCTTCTCTCGGCCATGTCGAGAAAACCAGTGGTGGATGGGCAGAAGATAGCACAGAATCAGGAGTACAGGGAGTTGGAACTCCGGCTCTCTGCCAACAAAGTGTCGGTTGGCACAGCAGGGTTGTATGTGAGAACCCTGACTGATGCCAGAATTCTGGCACCAGCGCTTTCCTCATGCGGAGATTCTCTAGCTGTGGCCAAAATGCTTGTGGAAACATACAGCTTCAGTGCCCTGATTAGATTTGATGCTGGCCTTTTCACACCTCTCAAGACTAAGGGATCGAAGGTCACCAAGATTCTTTAGAATTGGATGAAGCGGTTGATGGGTTCAACCTCACTGGAGCTCGCTTTGAGAAGGCGATCACGGTGTTGCTGTGTGACGCTCCAAAGACTCTAAAGTCAAGTTACCTCAAATCAAAACTTCAGACACCCACATAGTTTATATATATATACATATACATATAATTTCAACGGTGTTCAATCTTTGGCACTCAAAACAAATCAGACATCTACCTTCAAATGCTCACTTTTGTTCATGGTTCACCCTTCAACGACTTAAATGTTTCAGGGACCTTCAACAGTTAACCTTAATCCATTCGAACCTGCCAAAATGTACCCTTTAAACATACAAAAAACTGGGATTATAGTGGTATAACCATAGGAAAACCATAGGAAAATGGAGGTTTACCCTCTGGTAAACTAACATAACTATGGAAAATCACCATGTTCAATGGGTAAATCAACGAACTGTCTAGCCATTTTCAACTTCGCAAACTGTTAACGTTTACCAGAGAGAGTAGCTTAACGTTTCCTGGTTGAAGGCGAGTAAACCTACACTTTTTCAACGGTTTCAGACGACGAGTCCCAAGGACGGACTGGCCTCCGTGCTGGATGCCAAGGGCGGAAGACTGGGTGATCTAGTGACCTGGAGTCAACGATGGGCCGATGGTCCCTTCAAGGGGAAAATTATGATTCACTGGGATGAAAATAGGTCTACTTATGGGAATAGAAATGGGATATTTTTATGGGATGTATATGATGTATATGGTAATATCATGTAATATCATCCCAGAAAAATATCATTAATATCATGTTAATCTAAATTATACTGGTTGGTGGTTTGGAACAGTTGGATTATTTTTCCATTCAGTTGGGAATTTCTTCATCCCAACTGACGAACTCATATTTTTCAGAGGGGTCGGGGTAGGTATACCACCAACCAGGTATACCTTCCAAAATTGGGTCATTTAATGTCATTAAATAGAAACTTATGAAAAAAATCAATGGATTTGGGGTTTTACATGCTTTTACCATATTCTCAGACAAACCCCATGTCATGGTTTTGGAAGTCGTCTTTGTTAATGATATGTTTTGTGTAAGATTTCTGTAACTAAACCTCACGGTTTCTCTGAGTTTTACAAAATGGTCCATATTTTGTTTTAAGGACTTGTTGTTGATTCATGTTCAATTGCATTCAAGTGTTTGTTTTGGGCTCTCAAACTGGGTTTCCACTTCTGATTTAGAACAAACATGAGGTTACAACAAATGGCAGTGTGTCAAAACCTTGTACCCCTGGTGAACATCAAAATAGCTGGTAAATGGATGTTCATCCCCCTAAAAATGGTATTAATAGGTATTGATCCATACCCAAATGAAAGCCTGGATATGTTCAGGCATCCCAGTGAGTAAACTGGCGCTCGTGGTTTCCACTCGCCGTCCGTTTGGATACTCTCCATGTTGGATCCGTGTGATGTACATCCAATTGTGGGGTTTATATACCATTTGGTTATTTAACATAGCCATGGAAAATCCCTTATAAATGGAGGTTTATAGCTGGGAAAATCATCTATAAATGAGTAACAGTTTGCCATGGAAAATCACCATGCTATTAATAGGTAAATCAACTATTTCAATGGGCCATGGCTTCCATGGCTATGTTAAATAAACAAAGGGTAATGTAAATGGGTTATGAATTAATGTAACACGACATCCAATCATGTTTTATTTATAGTACTATATTCTGAAGGCGGGTATTTGAAAATGTATTCGTCCGTCAAAATGGCGTCGAAAAACTGGGAGATGAGCTTTGCCAAATCGCTAGACTTCAGTATCTGGCTGAGTAAGGTGCAGTGGCTTCTCAATTTTCAGATCTTTCAGAAAGAAATCCAGAGGTCTGAAATTTGCTGAGAATTTGCTCAAGTCTGGATTTCTCCATAGATTTTCAGATTTTTTGAATTCTATGGAGCAATGGTGGTAAAATGATATCCCAAGGCGGTATTTATTGAGGGATATTTAGGGATCACGAGCCATTTTCATTTAGCCTCTGGTTATGTCAACAGTTTGCTATGGAAAATGACCCAGTCGAAATAGTGGATTTTCCCATTAAAAATGGTGATTTTCACCATTTATAGTGGATTTTCCCATTAATAGCATGGTGATTTTCAATAGCAAACTGTTAGTCATTACCAGAGGGTAGACTCTAATCTTTTAACAGGTCAATTCAGGAAGCCGGAGTATATTCCCTGAGGATACCTGAATCTTAACCTGCAATCAATTGTCATCTCCCTGGATTTTTTAGTATGGGTTCGATTTCGGGGGGGAGTTGATTGATCCTAGGATACCCTCTGGTAAACCAACATGACCATGGAAAATCACTGTTTTCAATAGGTAAATCAACTATAAATGGCAATGTTCAATGGCAAACTGTTAGTTTACCAGAGGGTATGAACCCCCATAAGTTGGGATATAACCTCTATAGCTCAGGTATAGATCATTTACCTATTAAAAATGATGATTTTCAATAGCTATGGAAAACCCCATGTTTGATACGTAAATCAACTATAGATGGCCATTTTCAATAGAAATCAACTATAGATGGCCAACTATCTAGAGATTTCAATAGGTAAATCAACTATACATGGCCATGTTCAATAGCTATGTCCCATTTATAGATTCGTCTTACCTCTTAATAGCATGGTGATGTTCCATAGCTATATATGTTAGTTTACCAGAGGATAACATGATTTTCTGAACAGTCACCATTGCTCCATTGCAGTTATAGTTGATTCTAGTGCTGAATTTATAGATTGTTCCATAACTATTTTCTGAAAGACATCCCATGTTAGGTTATCCCATTTTTATAGATTGTTCCATAGCTATTTATAGATTGTTCCATAACATTGTTAGGTTATAGTTTGTCAGTCACTATGATACGTGAGGTGTGGACTGAAACTGCTCGACGTTTGACGGACGGAGAGCTCTACCTGGTGTTTTCGCAGCCTCTCGACGACTCGAGTGACCCAGTTTTCGCCAACGGTGTTGCCCTCTGGTAAACGTTTACATAGCTATGGAACATCACCATATATTCAATAGGTAGAAACATAGTATATCATAGTTATAGGGGTTATATACCAACTTGCAGGGGTTTATACCCTCTGGTAAACTAACAGTTTGCGAACTGGAAAATGGGTGATTTAGTTCGTTGGTTTGCCGTATCGCTATGTTTACCAGAGGGTAACATAAAAACCCTGTCATTAGTTGGGAGTTGGAAGATGAGTTTCAAAATTTGGTTGTTTACCCAAATTGTCAAGCTATGTCAAACTGTTCAAAAATACCGGAGTACATACAAAAGGAAAGAACTGACATGATAGCAAACTCATATATTCGTGAGAATCACTGAAGTGGGTGTGTCATAGTGCACCCCATTCCATCCATTGGTGAATCATCATTCTCTTAGAATGGCCATGAAGCGGGGTATAAAACTGGTTGGTGGTTTGGAGCATTTTTATATTTTTTCCATTCAGTTGGGAATGTCATCATCCCAACTGACGAAGTCATATTTTTCAGAGGGGTTGAAAACACCAACCAGAAAATATGTACCTAATTTTCGGCCAAATCCACGTGTTTTCATTTTTTTACTGGCGTCGGAACCAGGCATTTCGCTTATGAACAATGCGGGTAATTATTGAGATCACGGTGTGGCCATGCCATGTTCTAGAACATATTCAGTTGTATATCCACATATCAATTTAAGCAAGAAAAATGCATATGTTTGACATATTATATCATATATACACATCATATAGATTCATATAGTATATAAGTCATCATATACTATACATACATATGCATACATTATGTAATATTGTATAATAATAGTACATGATATCCATGAATCATCAAAAAAATACTGTATTATATATTGTTTTGTTGCTTGTAATTCCTGCAATGTTTGTGCACAAAGATCACGGTAGAACCAGTGAGGCCCCCTGGCCGCCAATGAAATCGCGAAGTAGGTTGGTTGACGCAGAGTTCGTACGAACTACTGTAGGTGAACTGTTGGGCTGATTAGGGGGGATATAACGAACGAGTTCATGGGATTTCATGGGTTTATAACTTAATATAACTCATAACTGGAAAGCCTCGCCTTGTAGTTGGATGTAGTTGGTGGTTCATCCCAGGACTTGTGGCTTGGTTCAAAGCTGCTATAGGATAAGTAGGGTCAAACGGCCAGTTATTGTATGTGATACATTCTTATATCATCCGGTACCCTCTGGTAACATAACTATCGAAAATCACCATTTTCAATGGGAAAATCCACTATTTCTATGGTCATGTTCAATAGCTATGTTAAATTACCATCCGCCAATCTAGCAATGCAAAATGCCCATTGCCATTGCCCTATAAAATGGTCAGTTTCACAACAGGAACAGCGAATCCACTTAAACGGGAGAATTCTCCAGCCATGATAACACCGGTCATGGTCATGGAAAGTTAACCGAAGCACGCTTGCCCCGCGGCACGAAGACTTCCTGCCTGCAGTGGCCTTTATAAAAAAGAACTGGGAGATTTGTGATAGTTAATCTATTATAATGTTAATCTATTATAATCTATTATATCTATTATAATCTATTAAATGCAAGTATCAACTATATTATAATCTATTATTTATGTTAAGGGGATTTAAAGGCTAAAATCCATAGTAAAACCCATGAACAAATTCCATTAAATGGCATATGGTCAGTTAAGTGGCATTATCTATAATTGACCACAACTATGTCATATTAGTTGTTAATTTATCTATTTTTTTTAAATGTAAATAGGCCTGCCTCAGGTTGGAACTATTGGTCGAGTTGGAGGCGAAGAAAAACACGGGGGCTGGTGTTTGTTTTATAGTTGGGACATGTTGGGTCAATTATGCTTGCAAATGGATGGTTTCAGTCATGCTGCAAAGAAAAGTAGACAAACTCTGGCAATTGCAGTTTTATGATGATTTATGTACCCTCCAGTAAATTAACATAGACCCTGGTAGATATGGGTTGGAAGATTAGTTTCCTCTAAAAATTGGTGATTTTCAGGGTCGAACTGTTAATTTACCAGAGGGTATCCCCTGTGTGGACAAACTCATGTGACCAAAATTAGCTGATGACCCTTTTACAGTGTCGTCACGACAGTGAAACCCATGCTGAACACACTGCGAACTTTGCGCAACAGCATGATCTTAGCAAATGGTATACCACCAACGGGCCCAAACATATCTAGGTCAATCTTGGATGGGTACTTTAATCCTTTAGTCTTTTGGATTCTTTTGGTATCAATGGGATTATCTACGTTCACCAGCTAAGATTTTTCATTTTTTTGCAGTTTGTCTGGCTGATTGGCCATGATTAGATAAGATGTTATAAGAATAGTGCCTGATATATCACGGTTTTTAACATCTATGTTCATACCATATCTATAGTTTGCATTTCCCACATCATCTCGTGAATCTCTGTCCAGTGTGTATACCGGCTACAATTGGTAGTGGTGAATCCATCCGAAACCCAGCTGCTGGGCCTTTCTGAAAAGCCTCCTGGGCCTTGGGGATATCCTAGAGTTTCGAGACAAAGCAACAAGCCCAAATATCATAGTGTTTGCTTGTATATCCCATCATATCCTTCCATAATATTATATATATAGTCCATCATATCCCACTATATGCCATTAGATGAAGTAGTTGGTCTTGTATCATTGGATTGGTTTAGGGGAACACTTGCAGGAAACCCCTATATTGATAGTAAAAACACAGGTTTCTGGGGTCAAATTTCTCTTTAACCAATCGTTTGATACTGGACTCTGTTCGAAATTTTGGTATGAAATGGTCAAACAACAACACCAGACATGCATTGATCATCACATGTGGTGAATTCAGACCATATTAAACCACCATTGTTGACAATAGCTGATCTAATATCTTCATGTTTAGTACCAATCCATAATAATATTCCTATCTTTGTTCAAGGGAAAATGCATTATCTTCTTTGTGCACTGGACTACAGAGGAAATATGCCCTATTCCCTTTAACCCATGCTCTAGATGTTCCCTTCATCATATGTGGTGATTAAAACCATGATATTAAACATTATGAAACCACATTTGTTTCCAATTAAACATTAATAACCATATTCTGATATTAGACCAGCATTTTTCACAATAGTTGGTCTACCCTCTGGTAAACTAACGTAACTATGGAAAATCACAATTTTTAATGGATAAATCCACTATAAATGGCCATTTTCAATAGCTATGTTAGTTTACCAGAGGGTAATATCCCCATCTTCGAGTTGCAAAGCTCTTGTTTCGGCCCCCTGCTATCCCTGCTCGCAGGTGGGGATGGAATTCAGGCGATGTCAAGACCAAGCCTTGGTCTTGCAGAAAGGCCACATTGGGAACAGGACTTGTATCTATACCCATAGGATCCATGGTGCTGCTATATATGGTAACATGAATCCCATCAACATACCCCCAATGTTAGCATATATACCAGCACCATGGATCCTATGGGATATGTATTCTAGTTAGTATGCATTATCTATAATATAATATAATATATATATATATTTACAGTACACATAGTTAATGTTACCTATATATATATATGTATGTGTATATATATATATATCAATATATCAGTAGTTAATGTTATATATTATACATCTGCATTTGGGTTTGACAGGTATCTAAGATTACCATATATATATATACAGTACACACAATTAAATTATTTGATGCTATATATATATATATATAAAGATCATTATACATGTCTTGTTTGTACTATACAATTTCAATATACATAGTTATATATTTGTTTATTTTTGAAAAGTTGCTTATTCATACCTCATGTTCAAACTTGTTCGCGGTTTCGGTCTAAACATGTCACAACCATGGCAACGGTTGACTTTTGGGCGGAACCAGTCCGAATGGTTACATGTTAAATGTGCGCGTGCTTCCCGATGGTGGCCCTTAGATATGCTTGTTGGTTTATAGATAACAGTAAGTGTAGATAAATCTACCAATTAGCATAATTCCTAAGCAAGTTATGTGCATAAACTTATCTATCACAAATCAGCATCAGCAGGATGCATATCAATCAGGGGTTGGTAACTGTCCCATTTTGGGAATATTGGACATCACCTTATAATAGCCATGGCATTGACCATATACCATTCATGGTTGGGTGATGTTCAATGGGGACATTTAATGACCCATATCAATCCCATTCAATCCTTTTTGTTTCATGTGAAAAAATCACCATTTTTCCTATCGTTTCTTCTCTGGCCCGGGGGGCCTCGCCTGGTTGAGGTGTTCTCTTCGGTTGCTTGCTGCTGCTCCAGGGCCGTTCCTTGCGACGGGTCCATCCTGAGGACCGAAAGTGGGACTGAGTGGTGAAAAACACATCATGATGATATTAATGGGATATAAATTGGTATTATGTATATGATGTATATGGTGATATCATCATATTAATATCATATGAATTTAAATTATACTGGTTGGTGGTTTGGAACATATGTTATGTTTCCACATATTGGGAAGAATAACCCCAACTGACTTTCATATTTGTGCAGAGGGGTTGAAACCACCAACCAGTGTACAATTACTGTTAGTTAACGATGTAAATTATTATAACACATATGTTATGATATAGTAATAAAATTATAACTGATATGTTTAAACATAATATCTCATGCCCAAATAAATATACACATTATATGGTGTAAAATTCACTTGCCATGATAATGACATTGCACAGTTATCATGATATGTTTTGATTAATGGGGAATCTGTCTTCAATATTACATAATATGTATATACATATATATATATATATAAATATACGTGTTATGGCTATATGGGATAAACACAATCATGATACGATATAGTGTGAATATATGGGAAATCTAATGGGATGCAATTGATCATCTCTACATCTCTATATATTAACGAAGATAAATGGGGCATGGGAGTATTATATGGAAGATAAATGGAGCCTACCTATGTGTTTAATTATCTACAGATGGGATATATGGAAGATATCCTGGGATACGGTATTCATTAAAAGGACATTCTAACAATAGTGGGATGACCTTAAACCATATGCAATCTTTTGACCATGGCACATATGGTTCATAATATCTGATCCATCCATTTATCATTGTGCCATGGGAGCACCTGCAAGCATCACGGTAGAATTCATGGTTTATGATATATATATATATGGTTTAAATACTGTTAAAATATGTTAAAAATATGTTTAAAATATAGATTTTTATTCTAAAGAAACCTATTTTTGAATGTTTGTTAGTACTTGAATCGCAAGAGTTCCAGCCGGCACGGGGAGATAAGACAAAGATTCGTTGTTTCCGCTTTAGATGTTCATATTTGAATCTCTTAGATTAAGATTGCCAATCCCCTTAACCACTGAAGGACAAAAACATTTTTTTTTAGCATTTTTGGGCCCCAGATTAGAGTCTAAGAGTTTCTAGAACAAGCTACGGGAAAGGTTTGGTGATTAGTGATGGAGCAACCAGGCAGCTGATGTATCTTTGGTGATGTCCCGAAAAACCATCCATCAGTCTGATGGTTCTTTGAGAAAAGAACCGACCTCAAAGCCCCAGCTGATCAGCTGATTCAATTTTTCGGTGCAGTCGTTGTTGTTTCGACCGTTTTTTTTTTGTGAGTCATATGCCGCATTTCTGCTGCTTCAGCATGCTTCAGCCCCAAATCTTTGGTCAGTCCTGGACCCCCTCAGACACCTGCCATGTCGGGTGTGGCGCAGGAGCTTTCAATTGAAGGCTTGGACCATGCGGTGGTTCAACCTGGCAGGGCCTCCAAGCAGTGGAAACATCAGGGTACAACTGGGCAGTCAAGATGTTAGACTTTAACCTGGTTGGTGGTTTGGAACATTTTTTTGTTTCCATATGTTGGGACAAATCATCCCAACTGACTAATATTTTTCAGAGGGGTGGCTCAACCAGCAACCAGTTAAGATTATAGGGATTCCACCATACGTTACCAGCCCAATCATCAGGATGGTTGTTTCAGGGCGAGTCTGGTCCCCAAGAGCCATTGTTCCAAGGGCTTCTTGTTGAAACCTATGAGAGGTCACCTATGGGGGGTTCGTGTGGTACACAAAGGTCCAAAAAAAGAGCGGTTGACATCTTCAACCACTACGGATCACTGAGCCAAGAAAGTAAAGAGAGGGGCAGTCACAGAACATACATTATAATCATTATACTTTACTTTCATGATGTAAATCCATTTGAAAAAATTTGGCAGGCCTAATATCCCCAGCATATTTTCCCAGAGTACTAACCAGTACTACATCTCTGGATCCATGGAACCTCGTGGAACTGTGGACATCTGATGACTTATGGGAATCTGCTTGGTGGTGACTGGAACATGAAGGTTTAGTATGGGATAATGATGGTTAATGATGCGTAATAATAGTTAATAATCACTGGTTGGTAGTTTGGAACATTTGTTTTTTTCCCATTCAGTTGGGAATTTCATACTCCCAACTGACTTTCATATTTTTCAGAGGGGTAGGTTGAAACCACCAACCAGGGAATACATGGGAAGACCGAACATGAAAAGGAACTCAAGATGCCTCAAGATGACTCACTTGATCACTCCAATCCAGGGTTGAGCATGGACCCAGAGCTTACGGATCACAGATGATCACGGCCATTAAAGGTGACCGTTCAGGGTGTTGTGATAGCACAGAGTTCCAAAATGGTTCCATCCATGAACTAGAGGTCATTCCCAAATTCTGTGGTTCATTGAACTACCGGTATCTTGAAATGGCCGGCCGATTTGTGTATTTTCTTGTTTTGATGGTTCCTTCCGCGAACTACATGTATTTTGCTAATCTTTGCGTGATTTGCGGTCCATTATACCATTGCTCACGTTGAAACCGTGTACACTTCAGGCCTTATGTTTTGGGGTTATTCAAGCCATGTCTATCTCAGAAAGTAGACCTCAGTTCAAAGCCAGAGCGAAGGAGTTAGGCAGTTAGGCATCTCCTCAGAATGTGTCGAGTCCTTGAAGACCACAGAGATTGCCTCTCTTGGCGCACTGGCATTTGCGGTGGGCACAACTCCTGGCTCGTCATGCCTCGTCTTCGAGGCGCTACGCAAACGCGCCAGCGCTACGCTTACGCTTTTCATGGCCTCCATCCAGAAGCAGATTTCGTTACGAAAGGATCCGGGTTCAAAAGAGTAGCTTGGAATTCTCATCAAGTTGGTGGTTTGGAACATGGTGATATTAATGGAATATTAATGGGATGTATATGATGTATATGGTGATATCATCCCATTAACATCATGTTAATCTAATTTGGAACATGAATGGATTATTTTTCCATTCAGTTGGGAATTTCATACTCCCAACTGATGAACTCATATGTTTATATATTTTTCAGAGGGGTTGGTTGAAGCCACCAACCAGGTAATGTAATCTTCCCCATTCCCAAGTCATCAACATATTTATGGGGGTGAACCATCCCAGTCATGGTAGGTTTATGATCCTAAAAAGAACAACTCAAAGAGTCAGCATCATTTCTGTTTGAAATATCTCCATATGTGGATCCATGGAACCAAGACATACCAAGACTATATCTTTTACCAAGAATATCTGTGAAATCTCAATCTCAATCAATAATTACATACCTGAAATGCATAGTAAGACACTCTATTTGTGTTTCACAAAAAATAGGCCAAACTTTGGAAACTCATCCCACGGCTCGTAAGTGAGTTAGTTCACCCCAATTATAAGTGGATTAACCCTACAAAAATCCCATGTCAATCACTGGGGTTATAACCCACTGAGGCACTCTGATCCCGCTGCGTCGAAGGCAGCTCGGGATCATGGGATCGTTTCAGCGAGGGATACACACCGTTTAAAAGAAAACGAATAGATCAATATCACCAGTGTTTTTTTGGGATATATCCATATTATCACCAGTTTATATACTGTATATAATATAATATATATGTATATATAATATATAATATATATATATATACACTATATATATATATCATATATCATATATATATAAGCCCCATGAATCACTGAGATTTATCCATTTGATTGATCATAGCAGTGGTGATTTATACACGGGGATGTATGAATGTATTGTATATGTAAAGCGGGCCCCTATATAAAATATGTATATAACTGAGGTTGTATTACTTGTTTTTTAAAAACATGACCATTTTAATTAATGATTTTCACAGGGTGAGGCCCGCGATCTGACAAAATTGCTATGTTGACACACATGTCACATAACTTGGTTTTGGATTGATTAGGGGGGATAGACCGAACTAACTAGTCAATGTGTTTTAAACCAACTTATAGCTGGGGGCCTCACCTTGCATGTATGTATATATATATATATTAACATGCATATACAATCATATACAATCATATACGGTCATATACAATCATATACAATCATATACAATCATATACACGCTAAGCAGCTAATTTCCGCAAGACTAAACCGATAACATCTAATAACTAACGACTAAACCGGTAAATACGCGCGATGTGGTGGACGTCCTCACCCCTGGGAGAACGTGTGCTTTATCCTGGTTGGTTGGTGGTAATATATGGGATGTCATCCCCCATTGACGAAGTCCATCATTTTTGATGGTTGAAACCACCAGGTATCGAAAATGTCAAGCATTTTTTGACTGCACTGTAGCCAGTAGTGTATTGTATGCTGTGCAAACCTTCTGGCCACTGCACTGCACGGGATGAGCTCAAGCCATTCGGAACCTTCAAAGGAAACAGCTTCGTGATCCCAGATTTCCGATGATTTCCGCTGAACAAACACGTCTAAGTGAAGAAGTTCAAGCTGGGCTGAAGGTCCAAACTCAAAACGGCAACGACAGATTCGGATCGATGGATGAGTCCCCTCACTCGATGATTTTTTTCTGTGTTGCATTGTGACACAATGTTCTGCAAGAGAAATTGTACTGAAAGTTTTTTTGTACGTTACCCTCTGGTTATGTCAAAATAGCTATTGAATATAGCATAATATAGCCATTTATAGTGGATTTACCCATGAATAGCATGGTGATGTTCCATAGTTATGTCACAGTTATGTAAACATTTACCAGAGGGTAACTACAGAATTTAGCCAGATGTTTATAGTAGATATATATCGAACTAGTTGGATGAGGCTTATAAACCAACCAATAACTTGGGGGCACCACCAGCCAGATTTCACTTCTGCCCACTATCTACCTCGAGCTTCTCGAGCTGTACCACATGCGGAATGTGTACACTCCATTTTCATCAAGAGGATCTTGCATCCTCTTTCCCAACAGGCAGATGAACTATGGATCATGGAAGTGAAATTTTGAAGGCCACGAAAGGTGGCGCTCCATTGAATCCTTTCTCCCCAATCTACGCTTGACAGACGATGAGGCAATGATTCAGTATGTCGCCAACCAGTGGCGATCAGGAGGAAAGACAGGAATCAGATCAGGAATTTTGTCAAAAAATCAGCGTTGGTCTGGTAGCTGGTAGACTGACTACCATGTAAAATGTGTATGAATATGATGACGTGACTTACACGTGAATGATTTAAGCCACTCAAACGTCAGAAGTTATGGAATTGTTGATTTGAATTGCGCGTTTGGGAAGTAGCTCTGGGAAAGGTGCGACTGATAAACCAGGTTTAGAAAGATTGGACTCGTTCGAGCCGCGTACCAGAAAACGCACCTGAAATGTAGCTTCCAGAGTCAACCATCTACAGGCTCCATCTAAGAATTCAATGTGGTTATATTTATATAATTGTACATTGTTGAAGCCCATTTCTCCTCGGTCAAAGTCCCCTGGCGGCCCAGATCCACTCTTGCCTTCCTGGGATTTATTTTTCACACTCCAGTCATGACCGTTACATAACTACCGTTTGGTAAACGTTTACATAGCTACTAAAAATGGTGATTTTCCCACTAAAAATGGTGATATAGTGGATTTTCCCATTCAAAATGGTGATTTACCCATTAAAAATGGTGATATAGTGGATTTACCCATTAAAAATGGTAATTTCCCATAGTTATGTAAACGTTTACCAGATGGTATATCTTCATCCCCAACCAATGGGAGATCTTCAGGATCCTAAAATGGAGGTACGTAAACGTACCATATGTTTGGCCATATGAATTGTGGGGATATTCCCTGAAACTAAGGCCTTATATATGGTAGGTACCTCCAATTTAGGTTCCTCAAATGGCCATTGATTTAATCGTTTATTTTTTTGCTAAAGGAAAATAACCATAACCAGCAAAACTATTCAAATTTGCGGGCTATCAAATATTCGCCATCTCAATATGTTTGGTAAGCATCCCATAGAAATAACCCACTAGACTAACCACTTCCATGATGTGATGTAGGTGATATGCTGGAATGATCCACTGCAAGTTGGGAATTGTAAATTCAGTCTAAGCACTGGTAACCTCGATTGTTCCCCTTGTTTACTTTCTTTTTCAAGTTAAGCAGAAACTTAGCATTGTTCAGTTTCTGCACGATGGGCAAATGTTTTCCGTTACACTTAAACCAATGTAAGATTGGTTTATATTATATATATATATATTGCAATGGTGTTTTCTTATCATAATTGGTCCAATTTCATTACAACACTTCGTTAAAGCAGTAAGATTTCTAGATAAACCAATGATTTGTCATCCACAAGTTGCAGATTTGTTGAGGATCATCCCCTGAGATCACTGCGAAAGTTCCTACCAGTCCCTGGTCCTTCCGAACGGTCCGGTCCGTACTTGGTTCATCTTGGTTCCCGTAAATCATCGTAAATCCCAGCTTATGTCATGATACATATATATATATGTGATGTCCACTTCTTGTGGCTTAACATTGCATTTTCTAATGTATCTAATGTATAATTAGTATCTAATCCAAAGATGGGATGGGGTAATCATTAACTTCTATGGATATATAATATAATTAGTATCAATAAGTAGTTTCAGAAATGCCATGCCAAGACATAAACAGTGATTTGTTACGATTCCGATGATCTGTACCATCCATACCCATCCCCATGGCGCATTTCTCGGGGTCAGGTTAGCCCTGGGGCCCTTTGGGTCGATGAAACTTGCAGGAATCATGACCAACACATCATTTATTATATGGGGCCCCATACGTTTGATGGTTAAAGTATGTTAAAGTATGTTAAACTGTTAAACCCTCATGGTCAGGAAGGTTCTTTATCACCAACAGGTCACAGCCAGACACTTGCCGTTCCCGCGGGGCCGGCGTTGGGCCTTAAGCCTTGGGGGTCTTGGGGCAGGTTCGTGGTCTACAAGGGTGGCGAAATCCAGTTCTGGCGATGCCAGCGCTGTTCCTTCGAGTGCCTGGATGATGCTGGATGGGTCCCATGGGATCCCAAGGGGTCCCATGGGGGTCCCATGGGTGGCTCGTGAATTTACAAAGCTGGGACCTCCCAAGGATCTCTTAAGGGGTTGATAAACCAACTCCTGGGCACTGGGTTCCTGGGTTCCTGGGTTCATAGTTGGTTCATTTGCTTATGATCTTCATGGTGAACGATGGTTTCTGGATCGAATTAGCTGGGTTTATAAACCAACTCCCAGGTCGTATAGGGGCCCCAAAGGATTTTATGAAGTTGGTTTATGACTATAAGTTTCATGAAGCTGTTTGAAATATATCTACCGTAAATCATAGTTAAGCAGTTAAACTAGTTATAAACCAACTTAGCTTTCTAGGGCCACCGTGTAGATTCCTCATAGATATTGGCGGAGTTGGAGAGCGAAGGCTGGTGCCTTCATCGTGGTTAACAACATGTTAACACTCGCCCTCACTATCCCTGCTGATTGCGATTGTTGTCAAGATTCACCCCCTTCCATAAACCTTCTCTACACATTTCTGAAAGGGGGTCTCTGAAATGGGATTTGTATGGTTGCAACGCTGACAATGTCTTTGCTGCATTGTTTTTGGATGATACTGTGTCTGTTTGGAGGTCACATCCATCTCAAGTTAGGTATTTGTTTTAGCGCAATATTCGAGGCTTGCGTTTGTAGAAACACATCACATGGTTTAAACATGACTTAAACATGGTTTAAACATGGTTTGAACTCGATATTATGGATTTGTTCTCCATGTTTCATGCTAAGTCCCCCGTCATCCAGGACCAACAACGACCAATCAACGACCCTCCCAGTCGCTGCCAAGGAATTCTTCCAGCGATTTCGGGTGCAAGCTTTGTGCCTCGGTTCATTCGGGGTTACGTTGACGCACAGTACACTTTCTAGTGGGTTATGATGGTTCAGAGTGGTTTTTATAGTGGTTTTTCATAGAATATAAACCAACAACAATGGGAATATGATGGTTTTCTGGTTGGTGGTTTGGAACATGAATGGACTATTTGTCCATTCAGTTGGGAATGGAATAATCATCCCAACTGACAAAGTCCATCATTTTTCAGAGGGGTAGGTATACCACCAACCATTTTTTTTTTTTACTGGGGCCTTATTATGGATCATTACTGTGGTATCATAGCTCCAAGACCCATGGTTTATGGTGGATCCAACTAGGAGCACGGCCTTTAGATGGCCGTGTTGTTTTTGATCAATGGGATGTTGTTGATCATGTTTGATGAGCTCGTGCCAACAGGAATTTGTGTGATTGTACTTTCAAGGTCGTTAACCCCTTATTCACAAGCAGTAGAACGAAAACAGTGATTTAGCCTATACGAAACTACCATTTTTGTTTTTTTTGGCCAACCTGAAACTAATTTGTCGTCACATGTTTTTAGCCGTCTTTTGGTCAGAGCAGCGCCTCCAGTTCTTCCAAGAACCTTTTAGGATCTGGATTCTGTAAGCTTGAACACCAGCACCACATGAACACATATTGTGTCACGGAGGGGTGCGTAGCATGACCCATGAGCGCAAAGTTCAAAAGAACATACGATAGCGTAGCATGACGCATGAGTAGCGGGAATCATCCCAGAATGACCTCAGAATTAGCCAAACATGGTTTCACCAATAACAAGACATCACAAACGGCTGACAATGCTGGGGATGTGGCATGATGGGATGATGAGCTTGAATCTGGTTGCTGGCTGGAGTGATTGTTGTTGGCATGCTTTTCCCATCCTTTTTGTCAAAGCTGGATTCATATATATATATACATCTTGTATTTTATTATATATATATATATATTGTATATATATATATATACATATATATATATACATATATATATATACATACTTATATTTCCACCGGGCTGGATGGCCATCAACCCATTAAGAGGGATTCATACCGATTATGTTTGGATTTCCATTGTTGACTGGATCACTCCCGAAGCCTGGAACCATGGTTAATAAGGGAAATCATCCCAAAATGGCCCAACTATTCAGGTTAGTGAATTATTGATAAAAACCCAGGTTAGAGTAGTCATAAACCAACTTTGCTGACTATGGGGCACCACCTTGTATACCTTGGTTTTATGGTTGAAAATAGGACGGGTGTAAGCCACCGACCCTATGCCTGAAGTTGCGGAGCAGCTTGAAGATATGCTGGTGAATATTGCTGAATGTCATCATCAGGGACTGATCATCCCATGATACAGTAGGTAATGACTATCGATGACCATTGAAACAAGCCTAGCGAGTTACACGGGGGAAGGCGGATTCGGCTCTGGCAGCCTGGAAGAGGCTCAACAGATTCTGTTGGAATAGGATTTCCCTATTGGATTCGGCATTGGAATATCCTCCTGCTGCATCTTAGATCTTCTATTCTTGCTGTCAGCAGATATAGGGAAAAAAGTAGTTCATTTCATCATATTCACAATATGTCGCCATATTATTTTATCATATGAGCAGAGTTTTTTTTTACAAGTAAAGATTTATATGAGAGTTGACCTGCACATGGTTGGATGTAGGCAGTTTGCTGGGGGGCGTAGGCTGGCGTAGGCATATTTTGCTTCATTTTGCGGCAGACGCCGCGTAGGCGACCGCGGAGTCGACGAATTGTGCAGCCTGTGGGTCAAGAATGAAGGGTGTAATGAGTGTAGCTCGATGCGGCATGTGAAATTTCCGCTGTCCAAAAAACACAAGTAATTAAAAGATACCCTGAGGATCGAAGTAGACAAATCGGCAAAGTAGGTCCCACAAGGGTACTTTTCTGACAATGCCCAAAAACATATACTTATCGGATTTTTAAATATGTTTATCGGATTTTTGTCGGATTTTCCTGGATGTCTAGGCAACAGTAATGATTAAAAGACCCAATATGTCAAAATTTGTCAGGATCTACTTTTGGGTTGTGCGTGACAGACCGTGACGAATCCGTGACACCCCGTGACGAATGCATATTTTCTTACTAAAAATGTTGACTTATCGGAAAACGACCGTGACAGGCCGTGACAGCCCGTGACAACCAAAACACATGGACAGACAAAAACACATGGACAGACAAAAACACATGGCTTTGAGATTCTTGGTGTTGCTCTGAATCTGGCTCCCAATTTTATCGGAAAAACACGAGTTCCGTTAAGTATGGGAATTTGATGCACTTACCACCCTTTAACCCCTAAGTAGCTTAAAAACAACTACTTTCTGATATACGTGAATTTATAGCACCATCTTTTGATCCTTAGGGATGGCAACTGGTTTGCTGAGAAACAAAAGCTAATGGAACTGTTCCGTTCCCTTTTCTGCAGAGTCTCAAGCCTCGAAGTTTGCATGGCCAAAATTCGAAAATAAAGGAGCTCCCCCTGCGTAGGCACCGCGTAGGCGAAAAGTAGGCAACGCGTAGGCAAAAACTCTCATGACCAGCGATTCCCCCAAACATGCCCCTGCAACATATATTATATGTTGTTTCCCTGCTGCCAAGAAGCGACGGCAGAACCAGCGTCTTTGACCTGCGGAATCATTTCTTCTTTTTCTTCTTCTTCAAGTTCCTCTTCCTCCTCTTCGTTTGAGTCATCTGCGGACTGGGAAAAAACGCGCGCTCAACGTGCTCGATGCTTTTTTTGCGAAATAGGTAGTTGCCTAATGTCCTCTCACCATGTCAAAACCAATGAATAATCACATGGCCCTCATTGGCCCTCTTCCCCCTCATTGTCTTTAGTGCGATCATTGGGTCATGAACAGCTTTGTAAAAGGGTGCGCAATCATACGAAAATGTTGCTGAGACTGTGGCCGCGTAGGCATATTCAGTTTAAAATTGCATAAAACCTCGCGCGTAGGCCTGCGAGGCAACCACTCCCCACCCAAGCTTCCGCGTAGGCTGAAATTGTGCGCGCGTACGCGAAATGTAAGCCTCGCGTAGGTACCTATAAAATGATAACACCCTACATCAGAAAAAAAACACAACTCATATGTTATCATAGCTTATCATATTTCATCATATTTTATCTACTTTTCCTATTGTTCTCAGGGCTTCAAAAGACTATGGATCCAGCAATTTCACTCGGGTTGTAAACCAACATTGTATATTCAAACATTAGGGATATCTGAGAAAAGAGACCAACTAGTTCGTGACATCCTCCATAAAGCCTAGTTTCTCCAACCTTTGGACGAGCCATGCGGAACTGAGGTGGGTCTCCGCCCAGTTGCCCTCAGGCGTGACGAAGGGCCGTGGATGACGTGGATGCCCAAGGTTGATATTCCATGAATATCAGTGGACTGGAAAATAGTACCCTCTGGTAATGACTAACAGTTTGCGAACTGGAAAATGGCCCAGTCGAAATAATTGATTTACCCATCAATAGCATGGTAATTTTTAATAGTTATGTTAAATTACCAGAGGGTCAATATCATTAATTTTTGTTGGAAAATTATATTTGATATACCATTGAATTCCATTATGAAGGGAACATTTACAGGAAACCCCTATATTTCATGGGGAAAGCCATGCTTTCCGGTTTCGATTTTCGTTTCAACCAATCCAGTGATAACAAGGTTGGGGTTTATTAACCACTCATGAGCCCATCATGTGGGTGGCCACCAACAACATCTCTGCTGTGGATGGTTGCGAAATCCTGCACCACCAAAAGGATGCTAGAAAACCTATAAATAATGGAGTAAATCATTTATCAACTGGTTCAGGATTTCGCAACCATCCACAGTAAAACCATCTATTGTTGCGGGGTGAGCTTCGGGGGTTTCTTTCTTGAATCCCCATGACAAGAGTTCTACCACATTTTGGAGATATATTGGGGATATATTGGAGGAATACAACCACCAATAATGGGATTAATGGGGTTTCATGGGATCTAATGGGGTTTAATGGGATTATAATCCACGTAATGGAATATACCCTCTGGTAAACTAACATATATAGCTATGGAAAATCACACACTTCAATAGGTAAATCAACGAACGAAATGCGCCATGTTCGATAGCAAACTGTTAAATTACCAGAGGCTAAATTCCAAAGCCAATGTTGAAACCCAGTTTTGGGACGGTGGGTGCTGTCTTTGAGGGGCTTGATTCAAGAACCAGTGATTGAAAGGACATCATTGCCCAATGGCCAAATCACGCTGGCGGTATCGCATTTTTTTCATACTCCATCTTTGAACGAACTCATGATTTTCTGGTTTCCCAATATGGTTTTGTCTGAAAATAGGGTACCCGCTTAAAATACCACGGTGATCATGATTTTCCCTCTGAAAATGGCCACCATGTTGGTTTACGCAGAAAGTTGCGACTAGTGATTCCCAGTATTGAAGATCAATCTCATTTGAGCTCCATTGTAGCCATTATAAGTTGACGCTTGATGGTTACATAAATCCCACAGGCATCCTCAAGACTATAGAAGGGTAATGAAAATATCTAGACCCTCCAAATACCAAAAAAGATGAAAGAAGTACTAGACATATGGCATATGGGATAAAAGACAATTTTGATAGGTATTGGGAGAGTCTGGGTATAATCATATACAGTATATATTCAAATAACATTATGTTATTTGAACATTATAGTATCTACTTAGACCCGCAAAGTACCTAAAATATATGGGTAAACAGTAAACATCCAACAAAAACATGGACTATATATAATATATATATATATATATATGTATATATATATGTATATATATATATATGTATATACATGTTTTTCTCTAGAATCCCTGATTGTCATCATATCATCTTAGGTAAACAACATTCATATTCCCTGCGTTCGTTCGCAGGACTTACCCCAAGAAGGTCGACGCTTGGGTCTTGCCGGTGTGGCGGCGTTGAGGCGAGGATTGATGATGGCATGGTGTGAGACCATTGAAGCCATGAAGGAAAGAACGGATTAATATCTGGAGATATATTGGAGATATATTGGAGGAATACAACCACCAATAATGGGATTTTCATGGGATTTTCATGGGGTTTCATGGGATCTAATGGGGTTTAATGGGATTATAATCCACGTAATGGAATATACCATGGTAATTTATACCCTCTGGTTATTTAACATAGCCATGGAAAATCCCAACCATAAATGGAGGTTTATAGCTGGGAAAATCATCTATAAAAGGGCCATTTTCCATGGCTATGTTAAATAACCAGAGGGTAATATTTACAAGCATCAAAATGCAATAACTGGTATAATGAGGATTCATTGTTACCCTCTGGTAAACATACAAATAACTATGGAAAATCACCATTTTTTAATGGATAAATCCAGGAACTAAATGGCCATTTTCAATAGCTATGTAAACGTGTACCAGAGGGTATGGGTCTGTCTGAACTTGGGAAATACCACGCAAAGATACATTTAAATAGGGAAAATTATGAAGCAACAGATGGGATGGGGTAGTTTATTTTCAGACAAACCCTTACCTCGAGAGTTAAAAGTGCAAAGGTAGCCAATCTGGTTTGTGGTTTGGAACCTTTTTTGTTTTTTTCCATATATTGGGATGATGATCCAATCTGACTTTCATATTTTTAGGGGGGTTGAAAGGTTGAAACCACCAATTAGCAATGAATTTGACCTTCGGACATGATCAGTGATGAACATGAGGATGTAAGCGGATGCAAACTATACCGTCAGTGATGGACAGGGAGACCAATCTCATGACCTGGATTTAAGCTGAAGATGATTGTGATTATTTTCCCAGTGAGAAGTTTTAGTTCTTGGTGAGTCTATAGGGAATATGTGTGTGTTTGATTTTTTGGGGGTTCCTGGATCAAATGAGGAAGCAAAAATCTATTTTACAGTAGTTGCATCAACCTCACAACAACCGACCTTAATTAAAGATGCTTGGCAAGGGAACCCACCCAAACAAATGGTTACCTTTCAGGTTCAGAAGAATAACAGCGTGAAAGGATTTGCGTTCGATGTGCATACAAATGTAAGACACTGTACTTAACAATCGACAATAGCTTATCTTATGCAGCTAATGTTATTAAGCTATTCTAGCATATTCGTGCATAATGTCAAGTCAGGATTAATCAACCCCTCCCGATTAATCAACCTCCACTGCCCCCAAAAAAATGTAATTTAAAAACAGGTGATCCCCCCGGATTAATAAACACTTTGGCCTACGCCCGATTAATCAACCCCTGTACTGAAATCCATTTGTTTATCCAACAATTTTTATTTCCAATTCTATTTATTTCCAATTGTTTTTTACCTTTGTTTTAATCATCATTGTTATACTTAAGGTTTAAGTTGATCATTGAAAATTTCAAAAAACAGTTATTCCCCAAATGATCGATTTCTAATGAAATTCTTTATAAAAATCATCAGTTTGGATAGCTCCCAAAGGGTACCCCCCATGAGCCCATGTCCCCCATTAATAGTAATCAGGGTTTGCCCCTGATTAATCAACCACCATGTCCCTAATGCGTTTTCTTTGGATTTGCCTATTCATTCCCAATGTCCCCCATCGCTTTCAGCCAATTCACGTAAGCCATATCCAAAATTTTATGGTTAAGAGGTCGTTTACTAAGGGGTGCTTAACGGGGGGACCTACAAGGTAGAGTTCTGACCTTCTGGGGGGGAGGTTATTAATCCGGTGTTGGCATTATTCATGAATATTCCCGTAGTTTCCTATATATATTTTGCGTTCGAAAAAGGTGGGCAAAAACCACCAAGGCTTCAGCGTTCCAAAATGTTCCAAAAAAGGTTCCCAATCGCTTCCAGGTCCCGTTTCGCCATGCGACCGCAATTGCACTGGGCCGTGCAGTTGAAGTGTTGGGACCTTGGGAACTGAAGGGATCCGGACAGGGTCTTTGAGGTTCATGGAGTGGGCCCCCAGGTATAAGGATACAATATATTATAATATATATATAATATATAATATGTATAATATATAATATGTATAATATATATATATATAGTATATACTTAAAGACTTAATCATACTTAGATCCAGTTAGTTTGCAACAGTCTATATCAGTGACTGCCTTTACTTTGGTGAAGTGAAGAGCAGTCTCGGGACGTACCCCGGATTGTCAAAAAGACAATACTTTATTTAGATTGCAAAACGAGGTAGGAACACCCAGAGAACAAGGTAGGCATTGCATGCAAAGCATCTAGCTACCAAAACAAGTGCGGTGTTGGAGAACGAGGTCAGGCCCCCCAAAAACGGTGCGGGAATGAAGAACAAGGAAGGAGCACCGGAACTCCCCATCGATTACGTGATGTACCACATACTATGTATATTAACAGTTTTTTTTTTTAAAAAAATATAAACAAACATAGCAGCAGTGACAAAATGTCATAGTAATAACACTCATTAATCTTGAATGGTGGGTATGGGTCAATACCTATAGATACATTTTTAGTGGGATGAACATCCATTTACCAGCTATTTTGATGTTCACCAGGGGTACAAGGTTTTGACACACTGCCTGGTTTGTACTCATTTTTGGTGAACACTAAACTAAAAAACGGGGCTCGTGGTGTGATTGTCCAAGTCCAAGCAGGAATCGAACTGTCCCTTGGTGCCTAAGTACCCTAAGTCATAGATGGCTAATGGATGTTAATTCCCCAAAATATGGCAATTTCATGGGTTTTGACCCATCCCCAAATCTCCTTCAACCAGCTCCCTGGTTGAGATCCTCACTTCACGACCTCGCAGGGTACCTGTTTCCTTCAATTTTGGTGCATCCGTTTTGCAAAAGCTGTTTTTGTTGGGAATATCCCGGTTGGACATCTCATGATCATTTTTTTGAATCCTGTTTAAATCCCTTCGAAAACCACTGGTTGCTAAAATCATCTAGCATCACTACAGATTCCAACAGGATTCCAACTTGTAAATCTTATAAATCACCGAAAAAAAACACTCATGTTTGGAAAAGACATGATCTTAGTCACCATCACAAAAAAAACATCACTTATCTTATTGTAGATCATGTTTTTTGTTTTACCATCACTGATCTTATAGACATGATCACTTACAATGTGGGGCCTCCTAGTTATAAGTTGATTTATAACCCCATGTAACTAGTTCGTCATAAGCACTATAAACCCAAACGTGAAATTGTAGTTATTTAAGCACCAACGGTTCACGCTATCGAACGGGGCACCCACATTCTACAAGCCAGGGCATTGATCATGGCTTATGATCAGTTCCCTAAATCTCTATGGCAATTTGGCGGGCCTATCCTCCCATGTTCAGACCACCACAACCCCAAAGTTCTTCATCATTTTCCCATAGTTTGCCAACAAAAAATGCCATATTGATCCATATTGTTTTTTTTCATTACACCAACAATATAAAAATCAAAACAGCATAACATGATTGATCATCATGGTTCACTGGTCACTGGTTGCATCACATCACATCTTTTAAACATCACTGAGGCCCGTTGTGCCGCATCGCTGCGGTCGCCTTGGTGGTTCCTGTGCCGCTGCTGGACCAGGCTGGACCAGGTGGGGTGTCCACTGCTGAACCTAAGAAATCTCGGAAAATACCATCTCTGGTTGGTGGTGACTGGAACATGAATGGCATATTTTTATATGTTTTCCTATTTTTTGGGGGGAATAAAAAACATACTCCCAACTGACGAAGTCATATTTTTCAGAGGGGTAGGTATACTACCAACCAGCTCTAGTAATTTAACATAGCTATGGAAAATCACAATCTTTAATTGGTAACTGGTAACTCGTACCCATATACTATAGAAAATGCACACTAACTAGAATACATATACTCTCTGGTAATTTAACATAGCTATTGAAAATTGCCCATTCATACTTGACTTGCCTATTAAAGATTGTGATTTTCCATAGCTATAGTTAGTGTACCAGAGGGTACGTAAAATGCCATTTTTACCACCCATGACCGGGAATGGTAACCATACCACCTATAAAGGGGGAATGATTGGGGGATGGTGCAAATGGCATTGTTTTACCCACATCAAATCGAGGTTGCAATATTATCCCCTGTTGTAAATCTGAGAATTTTGAATGCGATTTGCATTTGGCACTACACGGCATAATGATGATTATCCATAGGATACGCTGAAGAAAGTGGGCAATCATGGGCAATCTATCTTGAGCAAATCCGGGCGTAGCTTACCAATTGGTTAGCGGTGCAATTCGCCCTGAATTGGGGAATTTAGAGCAACTAATCACCAAAAATCCTAAGTTCCAACAGGGGCTGGGTCTCCATTTGATCTCAACTTGAATTGGAAGACTGGTTGGTGGTCTGGATCATTTATTATTTGTCCATTCAGTTGGGAATGTCATCATCCCAACTGACGAACTCATATTTTTCAGAGGGGTAGGCTCAACCACCAACCAGAAGATGATGTCGAAGCAAGCCTTCTGGGCCGAGCATGAACGAATGCCAGCTGCAGGAGGTCACCATTTAAGATGGGAAGTGAATTTGTAAGATGTGGGAGCTCAACCTTGAATAAAGATGAATAAAGGGTTTTTGATGGAATATACCCTCTGATAATTTAACGGTTTGCTATTGAAAATGCCCATTTAGTTCGTGGATTTACCCATTAAAAATAGTGATTTTCCATGGTTATGTTAGTTTACCGGAGGGTAAAGGGTTTTTGTTCGACATGTTTCAAACAACAAGAAGGCGTAGCAAGACGCGAAAAAGTGTTGCCCTACCATGTCTAGCGGGACTTCAACTAATGGACAGATAGCCGATGGTTGGAAGTACGAGTCAGAGATTCCTACAGGCCGTATTACTACTTGATGGCTCATCCCACTTAGTAAGTGGGTTATAACCCCAGTTATAAATGGGATAAGTAGGGTTAATCCACTTATAACTGGGGTTATAACCCACTTACTAAGTGGGATGAGCCACCAAGTATCCACAAGTACTTGGAGATATCCAAATTCCGCTTGGAATAGCGCTGGAAGATCCACCAGGCCACAAGGATCCCGAAAAAAACCACCTCCAATCCAAGGGCGATTTCGGAAAGTCCATGGCAGGCTCCGAAAGAGTGGTTTGACTTGGTGTCCCAACAGAAGTCAACCATTTCTCAGCCGGGATTCTCAGCGGTCTGGTGAGGTGCCGAGGTGACAATGTCAGCATTCAATCACTGGTACAATGTGGGGCCCCCGTTCGATAGCGTGAACCGTTGGTGCTTAAATAACTACAATTTCACGTTTGGGTTTATAGTGCTTATAAGTATAGTTAGATGGGGTTATAAACCAACATACAACCAGGGGGGGCCACATTGTAGATATAATGAGCACGTTGTCCAAAGAGAGAGTCCCACAAGCTTGGATGCCGTAGGAACATTTGGATGTGACTGTCCGAATCTGTGTTGGTTCAAATTCCCGTTTGGGTATGTGGGGGTGGGTCAAGAGTCAAAAGCTATGATTGAGAATTTTAGTGGGATGAACATCCATAAATCCCAGTTACCCTCTGGTAAACGTTTACATAATTATGGAAAATCACCATTTTCAATGGGTAAATCCACCATAAATGGTCATGTTCAATAGCTATTTTGACATAACCAGAGGATATTTTGGGCTTCACCAGGTATTTTTGGGGTTTTGACAGTACCCACAGCCATGTCGTCGTTTAAATGACGGATGGAGCTATGGATCCGTGTGAAATGCGGGGTCAATGGCGTATTTTTGTGGGGCTAGAGATCAAACCCTTGGTTGATGATAAGAGCTTATGCTATCTTATACTATCCTTAATTGATTGGGGATTATCATATGTTTTACGGTTTTAGTTTCTGTTCATCCATTTTTATCCAATCATTTTTGGGATATCTGTTAACCCAGCAGTAGAAAGGGACGCAACAAGGCCCCACGGCTCAACGGCGAGGTCCGACTTGGCGCAAGGTCTTTCGGTGATCCTCCCCCTGTCTGTCGACCGCAGCATGGCTAGATTTTTCTATGGAGATCGGCATATGGTCCGGTGTTTTGATATCGATATCAATCTACAATATCAATGTTTTTTTTGAGATCATGTTTTTTTTCTGATGTTTGTTGACTATTGTTTGAAGATGTTTGAAGATGTTTGAAGAGACATGGTTGATATATAAAACGATTATGAACGAATTTCGCCTGGCTTCCAGGCTCAGGTTCTCCTGCTGTACTTGGTATCTGAGTAGACCATGCCGATTTCAGTGTGAATCCAGGATGGTAGCTCGATGATATTTACCTCATATATTCATATGTCCAGATTGTCAAGGGTTTTTCATTTGTCTATCTATTTTGAGGTTGCTATGTATACAATGTATATATTTTAAACTTGTAGCTGGGGCCATAACGTTGATTACATACAGTACTGGATGTTACCGTACGACACTAAGTATCTGCCTACAAGTTTGGGGTTCCCCAAGCCTTAGGTATATACGTTGACTTCCAACTGGGATAAGCGGAAATTACTTTCAAAGTAGTTGGAGTTGGATGGGGTGACATAAAGCTAGTCACCCTCTGGCAGCTTCATGGTTTGCTATGAAAAATCATCATGTGTCATGGGTAAATCATTAACCTAAATGGACTGGCTTCCAGTTCGAAACGTCTTCATTGCCATGGGCCATAGGGCATGTTTTTCGGGTTTCCCAAAATGGCGGCATCCAAACTTAGACCAGTGACCAGTTTAGTATTGAAACCAAAAAGATGAACGAAACTTCGGAAAGCTCCAGCCGTATGTGACTGGTATGATGACTGGTTGGTGGTTTGGAACATGAATGGATTATCCTCTGGGAATTTAACAGTTTGCTATTGAAAATGGCCATTTATAGTGGATTTTCCCATTGAAAATGGTGATTTTCCATAGTTATGTTAGTTTACCAGAGGGTATCTTTCCATATTGGGAATGTCATCATCCCACCTGACTTTCATATTTTCAGAGGGGTAGGTATACCACCAACCAGATGAATACCACTGGGCTTGCCGTGCAGATGAATGGCCTGTACCCTTGGAGATGGCGGTCTTCTCTCCTCTCTTCTGTCCTCTATCACGGTTGATTGGTCTAGAATCTAGTGGGGATTCAACCATCAACTATATGAGTTTTAACCATCAAAATTGTGATATTATGATATACATGATTCTACATGATGGTTGATGGTTGGATGATAAATTATGCTGGCCTTTATATTGGGGATGTTAATCATCCATTATTAAGGGAATCCATATCAACAGAGGGTTTTGAACACGGCTTATTTTCCCTCAAAGATGAATAGTTGAACACAAGTCAGTTGAGCACTGGTTGATTGACGTTGATTGATCGCCATGCCTACGCATTTGGCAATAAGCATGCTGCAGCATGCTTCACTGGAGATTTTCCCTTACATCCACCCAGTCAAAGTACAGTATGTTTGTTGGTCAGATCCCCACGACTGCCAAACTGAAATCAAACTGAACAAAGATAAAACAAACTAAAACAATCTCAACAACCCAATCTATCAGTATCATACTATATAGGTCCTACTTAAATTTAAATGTCATTGTGAAATCACCAAAATGCACCCTTTGTCATCATATTCTACCATGGGATTTATCCATGTTGAATTGGGCAGAGTTTGCCTACAAGGCGCTTCTGATACGAGCTGGATACCCTCTGGTAAACTAACATAGCTATTGAACATGGCCATTTATAGTGGATTTACCTATTAAGAAATGTGATTTTCCATAGTTACGTTAGTCTACCAGAGGGTATATCATGATATATCAACAGTTCATGAGTTCATGGAGCTTTTTCAACCCAAACTTGACTTACTGGTGCTAAACGTAGGGAATTTTCGGGAATGATCCACTGGCTAATTATCCATCATAATCCCAGCAACCCCCAGCAACCCATCCATTCCCTACGTAAAACGCACCAGTAAGTTTACTTTTTTGATCATCGGAAATCCCAGATATGGAGCCATATGGGGCCCATAGAAGATCCTTATCAGCTGAAGCGCCTCCAAGCGACGACTTCCTCAGGTTTGGGTGTCGAAGTCCAACGTCGCTTCGGGCACTTGGTCTGGCCCTTGACCTTCGATGACTTCCTGGGGGAGGCCTCGATGGGAGGCAACAAATGGACTAGGGCGGTGACTGGATTTGTATATAAGACCCACTATTACAACTACTTATTGGATTGTTGGTGGTTTCAAACATGTTCGCCCCAACCTGGACGTTGCTCCACACTTACAATCGTCATGATGATGATGATGATGATCATCATCATCATCATCATCATCATCACAACACATTAAAATTCGCACCCCCTCTGAAAAATATGTTGACTGGGTAATAACATCAACTTTATCTTCATAAGGGATCAAAATTCACCACCCTTTGTGAACAATACGTTGGTTGCGCTAAAAACATCAACTTTATCTTCATAAGGGATCAAAATTCGCCAACCCCTGTGAACAATATGTTGATTGGGGTGATAACATCAACTTTATCTTCATAGGGGATCAAAATTCGCCACCCTCTCTGAATAGTTTGTTGATTTGGGTGATAACATCAACTTTATCTTCATAAGGGATCAAAATTCGCCACCCCCTGTGAACAATATCTTGATTGGGGTGATAACATCAACTTTATCTCCATCAGGGATCACAATTCGCCACCCTCTATGAACAATATGTGCATTGGGGTAATAACATCAACTTTATCTTCGTAGCCACCTGGAGTCAGACGCGGCGCAACGTCAGGGTTGCAGCGAACATGTTGTATGTTCCATAATATATAGGATAATCCTTCCCATTGACTTTCATTGTTTTCAAAATGGTTAAAACAACTAAGCAGATAACTATGTATATATATATACGTATTCCCATATTTCAGATATAGATATTTCAGATAGTAGATGAGATTGTCCAGGGCGACTTCCCGATATCTCAGGGATTCCCAAAAATTTATGTCCCAACTAACAGTTATGGCCATGGGATGAATCCTGCAACTGGGTGAAAAAAGATCACTTAAGTGAGGTTTGGTCAGTTCTAACTGTCTATACACATCGTGGGACCCCGTTCGATAGCTAAGTTGGTGCAAATAACTACAATAACTGTTGGGTTTATGGTACATATAAGTATAGTTCCATGGGCTTATAAATCAACAAACATAGCGAACTTGGGGGCCCCACATTGCAGGGCTATCACTGAAGTCTGGTGGATGTTTGATATAAACAAACTACAACGTGAGGTCCTCATGGGATGTGAATGTTGGTTGATCTAAAGCCATGAATACTAAACTGGGTGGTGGTTTGGAACATTGGTTTAGTATGGGATAATAATGATGGTTAATGATGCTTAATGATGGTTAATAATGGTTAATAATCACTGGTTGGTGGTTTGGAACATTTGTTTTCGTCCCATGTATATTGGGAATGTCATCATCCCAACTGACGAACTCCATCATTTTTCAGAGGAGTTGAAACCACCAACCAGTATAGTTTGTTATACCATAAAGCCAAACGTATGCCAAACGTATGTCGCAAATTTACGTCAACTTAGCTATCTTTTGGGACCTCACCTTGTATGTAGTAACGGGGACCTAATATAACATATATCTGGGCAAATTATAACGACCTCACTGCGACCTCACTGGGAATCATGGTTAATAAGGGAAAACATCCCATAAGTGAACTTTATAATGTTCCCAGATATATGAAATGTGGTGGGACTTAGAGCCGAGAACATGATATTTATAGAACCATAAATGGTTGATTTTGTGGTGATGGAACCACCAATAATAAGGTATAAAATAAACAATAAATAATGAATAAAGCCAACTAAGCCGGTATGATACAACACCAATGCAACAGATAGTGCTATAATGGGTTTAAAAAAACGGACATAACGGGATATGCAACTATCAATGTGATGTTTGGGTTGAAGATGGAAAATGTATAACAATGAATTCACACCACATATGTTCATTTTTTTACGGGGAACGTGGTGGTGAACCTTTGCTCTGAGTCGTTTTGTCGCTGGCTCAATCCTGGTCAACTCCCCATCTTCTGCCTCTTTTGCCTTTTTTTAAAGCAGCGAAACCAGCTATAAAACCACCATAAATCAACCTTTGTTTATGCGTGTTTTCCTAGAAAAGTTCCCTAAAATCAATATATAATATAAATCAAGTGTTGTCCTAAATATAAATCATAAGTGTTGTCCTAAATATAAATCATAAGTGTTTTCCTAAATGTAAATCATAAGTGTTTTCCTAAATATAAATCATAATGTTTTCCTAATCATAAGTGTTTTCCTAAATATATTACATATATCAAGTGTTTTCCTATATATAATATGCTTAATTAAAATCCCGCCATTTTTGCATCTTTTCTGCAAAAAAAATCACCGGTCCCGCCCTCAGGGTGGCCCCGCGCAGTGGGCCTGCCGTCAGCTACACGCACTGCGGAGCGGACGCCATGCACAAGTGGCAGAGGAGGTGTGATAACTAGTGAATATCAATGGATTATACATATATTTATATATATATACACAGTATATGTATATATATATATGGTAATTACTAGGGATACATGAATGGATACACCATATATTCACTATAGTATGATATTTAATGATTAAGTATCAACCATTATTATTATATATATATGATATATGGTGGTAGATAATGGTTGATTATTGTCAATAATTACTTGAGGATGAACCAAAACAAATCGTAAGTGGGTTATTTCACCGCAGTTATAAGTGGGTTAGTTCACCCCTACTTAGCCCATTCATAGTTGATTAGTGCCAATAATGGTTTATCATGGTTAATGGTTGATTACAGTTTGTAGTTGTGATATGGTGATGAATAACAGTGGATAATAATAACAATGGATATGTATATATAATACATAAGTATGATATCCCAGTATTCGATTGAGTACTGGATTGATTTACTTTCTAGACTGATTACTTTGTGGGCAGAGACCGCAAGAAGTGGGTGACCATTTTGTTATTTGGCCAAATATATGTATAGACGGAGTTAAATATGACTAGTTTGATGGGTACTACTACTCTCTTTCTATATGATGGCTATTAGAACAAATCTGTTTGTATTATATATGCACATATTTATAGATGATAGATGGGAGTTTATATGATGGTTTTCAACTATTTCTAGATGGGATTTGTAGATAGTGCTCCATGACACTGGTTGGAAAACATCTTCATGTTGTAAAGCCAGTGCTTGGATCCATGTGGTTTGTTGTAAACGCCGAGTCTTTTTTCGACAGAATTGTGGCCTGGTGTCCGAATCAACCTGACTCAACAAGTACCATTCGATTCATAGATATCTTATGATATCTTTGTGTTTTTGGAGTTATCGATTTACTATTAAACACTATTAAACACTATTAAACACTATTAAACACTATTAAACACTATTAAACAGTATTAAACAGTATTAAACTGAACCGGGAATCAACATGCGCCACCGGCAGAATAATGATGGAACTGATCAACCCCATCTGAACCTAAGCAGGAGGTTTAAGCCGACAGATATCATCGGGCAAATTGACTGTTTAATGATAGATTTGTTAGATGATATCATTATATCATTAATATATTATCAATGATTATATTGATAGATTAATATAATTGACTGTTTATGATTGTTTATCAATATATTGGCATTTCGTACCATATTCCCGAAAAAAAACACAAGCACATTCTTTGAAAAGGGCATCTAAGGCTATCTATCTGCCACGTTCTCTCAACTATTTATGGGATAGTTACCCCAAAAGATCTCCCACTCAAACATGTTTTTTCAGAGGGTGTCTTAGAAAGATTTGATTGTATAGCTAACCTGGCTGACCTTTCTTCGATTTCAGAGCCCTCCCACTGCCAATTCGGAGCCCTCCCACTGGGTGAGGGACAGTCAGTTTAGACAGCAGAGAAATGGAGGTGGGTCAAAAATCAGGGCACGGATGTTCTAATGGTAGTTTCTCAAAAGGGACTCCAAAATCATCCCGTTTTTCTGGGTCTTTTCGTAAACCAATGGCTTAAAATGGGTCGCCCGTTTTGTGAATTAGAAGATGGTGTATGAATCAGCAGGAGCTTGGGCCGCTTGTGTCTCGCGCGCGTTTTGTGGCGTATTTTGACCCATACTCGGCGCTGCGGCCAAAGGTGTCGTCTTTGACTCCTCTCGCCGAAGTTGGGTGAGTTCGACAGTCGGAAAATACATTTTCCAGCTGCTGAGGTGAAGGTAAAATCACAATTTTATGACTATAATTTGATTTCATGGAACATTACAATGAAATTGGGTAAAATATGTTTGGATTATTATAACCACAATGATCAAGAAGCCAAGCTGCCACCTGCTGGCTATTTACATCTATTTAGAGCCGTTCCTAGCACAGCCGTTCCTGCCTGTGTCTGCGAACTCTCAGTGTCAGCAGAGGGTCTGGCGAGGAGGATGCGATTCATTTTGTGATGGTGATACTGTGGATGGTTGCGAAAACCTGAGTTGGTAGGTGGTTTATCTCCTTTTACTGTAATCCCTTTATTATCAATGTAATAGTTACCAAGAGTTTTACCAGCTGGTGCAGGATTTCGCAACCATTCGCAGTATCATGAGACGGTGACGAAATGTTGCATTTGAACAACCTATGCCAAATCAATATTCCATGCTGATTTATCCAAGCTTATATTCCATAGTATAGCAACTCCAAAAAGGATAGACAAGTTGGAAACCTGGAAATATGTATTGAATATCATGTATAATCTCATACCAATTCCAATATAAGTCATTTTTTTGGAAGGGTAGCCCTAGAAATCCATGAAGTATGACAGTATGAGGTTCGTAGTGAGGTTGAAAACTCAAGCAGATTTATAATACCTGTTGGACTTTGCGATGAGACATGAAAAATAGCCCTACAATGTGGGGCCCCCAAGATAGCAAAGTTGGTTTCTTATTACAATAACTCGGTTTATGGTGCTTGTGACTATAGTTGCATGGGGTTATAAATCAACTTATAACTAGGGGGCCCCACATTGTAGTAATAGATGTAATAGTCATTGTATAACTATTTGCACCAGGGTTGCTCGATCTATTTAGGTGTCCCATATTGAGATATTTTGGGTTCGGGGTAAGGAAATATACTGGTTTGTTCACAGGTATTCCTGTTTTTTGGTTTTAAGAATCAATGATTTCAACTTGCACAACGTACCATAACCACCAACCAACCGTTAGATTTTTTTTAGGATGGCGACCCCTCAGATCCCGTTGGGGCTGAATCCTCCATGTATAGATGATGTGAACCCATCATACCTTCAATGTATAAATGCTGCTCGCATCAAAAATTATCTCACTGGTTGGTGGTGACTGGAACATGTTTTTTTATGACTTTCCATTCAGTTGGGAATAAGAATCCAAACTGACGAACTCATATTTTTCAGAGGGGTAGGTTGAAACCACCAGTCAGCTCACTTTTTAGAGACAACCATTGAATCCATCTGATGACCTCACGTCGTGACGTCACTGGAATAAAGCTTGGCACACCGGGGAAATCATCCCCATGGTGGGCCGCAAGTTTCAGCGAGAAATATGTTCACTTTGGTGGATGATTATTATAATTCCGCCAGAGATTAGACATACAATAACATATAATTATATATATATTAATATTTTATCAGGTATATACATAATATATACATATTATAATATATGACTTTCTCTCTATATGTATATATATGTGTGTATATATATATATAGTATGTATAAAACTCTAGAAGAAAACTAGATGAAAGCCATCTTTGGTGCTTCATCCTACGGCCAGGGTCCCGAGGAGGAAGCCATGGCGGATTCCGTGTGGCAGGCGATGCAGAGAACTTTCGTTTGTCACCTGAACCATCAAAAGATGACCAGGAATCAACAAAATAATATGATATATATATATATACGTATATATATATATATATATTTATAATCACATATATATATACTATAGTTATATGTATAATATTGTATAATATGATATATATATATATATATAGTATACATATACCTATTGCATGTATACACAACAACCAGCAGGATATGATATGTGGATGCATCTAAACATATGGTATATAGATAGTATGTCCCACCTCATGACCCGTTTGATAATTACAATTACTACTAGTCATTGGATGGAATGGTGTAACAAATGTTTGGACAAATCCAATAAAATGACCAGGGGACATAGCGGGGTCAACCCGCAAACAGAAAAGATATCAAACCACATTGCTGCGCTGCGAACTGTAGCAGTAAGGTAAGGTCCAGTCAAGCCAAAAAGGACTTTGAGTCCAGATATATATGTTTTGACTGGTGATTTGTATGGCGTTCACAAAAGAAAAGGATGAAGTAGTACAAAATCGAACAAACTATGTAAACATGAGGAAATCAGTAGTCATCGAACATGTTAAAAACACGAGGTTTTCCAATTTGGCGAAACTATTAGAACTCGCTTCGCAATTTCTTACATACTAAGTGCACTAAGACACGCAGGATTTCTTCCGATTTCCCTTACCATCCTCCTTTTTGGCGCCTTGAAACCTGCGCTAAGACGGTGTCTTAGCGCCATCCGCTAGGCCTTTAAATCTCAATACACCGGTGCTGCTGAGCGCGGCATGTGCCACCGGGCTGGTGGTGTTGCTGGAAGTCACTCACAGCCAAGGTGAGACCCCCGTTTGAAATAGCTAAGTTGACTGATTAACGAACGGTGAACTGTTGGGTTGATTGGGAGATAATCATATACTGAACTAGAGATTTACTATGATTTACTAGGGATAACGGGATCATTATGGATTATGCATGCGATTACAGCTCCAACTATGGTTTATGGTGAAAATAGCTACAATATGGGGCACCCGTTCGATAGCTATAAGTTGGTGCAAATAACTACAATAAATAGGCTTCATGGTGCTTATGACGATAGTTACATGGGTTTACAAACCAACAAACATCACATTTTGGGGGGACCCCAGATTCTATGTTTGTCAGCAATTTTTTCAAAATCATGGCACATCATATTTCCCATGGTTTTTTTCCATGTTGGGTGACGCCTGAAAACGGGGCTCTGGGGCCTCAGGTCCCCAGGAGATACGAAAATTTCGCCATGGAAAGATCCACCATTTTTTTCATGGAGAAATCCACTATAAATGGGCCATTTTCAATAGCAAACTGTAAACGTTTACCAGAGGGTATGAACCCCCATAAGTTGGGATATAACCTCTATAAACTAAATGGGCCATGTTCAATAGCGAACTGTTGACATAACCAGTAGGATAACTTATATAGTGTTGTAGATACAAAGTAGGACTTGTTGATGTGTTTTTGATGTGAACTTTTTGATGCGAACTACGGATACAGTATCAGGTTCTGACCCAGACCCATGTGAGATTACTGTACACTAAGACAAGATCACACATGATAGCACAGTAAATTCCTACTAAACTCGTGCTGAACTTGACATGAAGCACTTCGTTTTGGTGGGATGTTTTTTTTTTATACATATGGAATGTATTACCTATTGATTAAGTAACATGTGTTTTGTTCATTTTTTTGGGTATACCCAATTTCCCCGTTTTTTTTGTATCCCCACAATGTGGGGCCTCCAAACGTTATAAGTTGGTTTATAACCCCATCTAACTATGGTTATAACTACCATAAAGCCAACAGTTATTGTAGTTAATTTTTAAACCAACTTAGCTATCATAAATCAGCTATAAATCCCATTAAGCCCACCATAAATCAGCTATAAATCCCATTAAACCCACATGTTCCTATAGTTTCCAAACGTTTTTTTTGTTCTCCCCATGATGGACCCGGCACCTGCGCGGTGCGCCAGTTACATGGACACCCCAGTGGGGGAGAACGACATCAAGTATCGATGGAGGCGATCAGCCCCGTTGAGGGCATGGTTTTCCGATTTTCAAACGTGGAAAATGCAGGAAAATGCCTCTAAAATTGAGGGTTAAATGGAAACATCATCTAGAAATGGCTAAATTTCATCACGACCGAAGCCTGTTCTCCCGAAGCCTGGAATCATGGTTTATGGTAGGGGAATCATGGAATCATCCCAAAATTGCCGAACTATTCAGGTTAGTGGATTATTATAATTTACCCAGATCTATAAATGATGGCCTGTTTTTTTGTTAATAGGGAATTATACTAGCTGGTTGATTATTTAAACATACCATGGTTGATTGAAGACTTGTTTAACGGGGATTCTGAAAATCCATCGTGGGGAAACCTCGAAACCAACCAGTATAGTGAGATGGGATAGTCGTATTTTCAATGGCTCAATTGGCTTTGTCTGGAAATGGGGTATATCCGCAAATGGCTGCTTTAATAGGGAACCTCATGATTAACAACTGGATTTAGGGATAAATTATTTTCATTTTTTTTCAAACATACCCTTTGGTTAAATAATATAGCTATGGGAAATTGCCATCTTTAATAGGTAAATCAACGAACTAAATGGGCCATTTTCAACAGCAAACTGTTAGTCATTACCAGCGGGTACCCAATTGTTTTGGTATCAAACCATCCATTTTCTGGTTGGTGGTTTCAAACTGGTTGGTTTCAAACATGTTTCAAACATTTTTGGCCCCCTGGTTATATGTTGATTTATAACCCCATCTAACCATACTTATCAGCACCATAAACCCTAGTGAAATTGTAGTTATTTGCGCCAACTTAGCTATCGAACGGGGGCCCCACATTGTATTAGTTGGATGATTTTTCGTGCCCATTTATAGATGGTTTACCTATTACAAATGGTGGTTTTCCATGGCAAACTGTTAAATAACCAGATGGTACCATGAGTCGATCATAATGTCAAACAATCAGGCGATGTCACCCATCAGGCGATTGAGAGACACCTTTGGCGTGAGTTCAGAAGAGGCCTTTTTTTGGCGTTTCACGCCGAGGGCCATGGGTTCATCTGCTGGATCCAAGACTCCCACAGTTATGGCCGTTTACCAATTATTATGGCGCATAACTGGCTAACTATGGCTCAAGGACCTGTACCATCCTACAGTTATAGCCATTTATTAGTTATAACTGGTTATAAATGGGATTATACATGCCATAAATGGGGTTTTGTTTGTACTTATACCTGGTATTTCGGGCCATAACTGCATAATGTTAGTAAAGCAATAGGATCCACCATCCCCAAATTTACAAGTTGTATGGGTGGCATCTCATATCAAGTTGGTGATGTATCCCATCAGACATACCTGTGATAGTCCTATCGTATATCTCCCATATATCCAACACCCCCCGGTGATGTTTGTTTTGCGGCCACTTGCAACTAGTTGTCAATCCACCAAATGAGGAGTGCCCAAAAGCAAAGATGGTTGGTGCCGAGTTGTTGGCTTAGCTGATGTAATTGGTTACCTGAGTTAACCAACAACATACCAACAACTAACTAATGATGATAAATGCTTTTCCCTAAGCTAAGTATTTAATATCTAAGTTACTAGTCTATGTTACCTCAGTATTTATAATGATGATCAATGCTGTTCCCTAATTACTCAGCTGGTTTCCACCGTCAAATGTGATTGCTGCAAATACTTAGGGCTATTTAGATCTTTCCACATGCAATGTTACGTTTGTTGAGTACATCCATTCGAATGTGGGTGAAATTGCCATTGTTGTTTCATGCAATGCTTCCCGACTGCTTCCCTCTTGTTGATCAAATCATACCAAATTTAGAAAGTTCACAGGGAACTTTCTCAACTAACTCCCCTATGTTTCTGGTCTAAAATTCCCAGTTCTTCTTTGCAACATGGGGGTGGGTCCCGTAGTTGCAAGTTGCTTTCTGCAAGCATTTACTGCAACGATACACAATATCCAATGAACCAAATCCCCCATAAATCCAACTCTGGTTGGTGGTTTGGAACATTTGGATTACCCTCTGGTTATTTAACATAGCCATGGAAAATGGCCCATTTATAGATGGTTTACCTTTTGGAAATGGTGATTTTCCATGGCTATGTTAAATAACCAGATGGTATATATTTTTCCATATATTGAAAATATCATCATCCCATTTGACGAACTCATATTTTTCTAGAGGGGTGGCAAAAAACCACCAACCAGTACATATATATATATATATATCCAATTGTCCACATATATCCACCATATATCCACCATAAATCCAACTTGGTGTAGCTGCAGTGTAGCTATTTTCAGCAACAGAAAGCCATGGCCCGACATGTCCCGACGTTGAGAAAATGGCGAAAAACCACAAGGCCGTGGAAATCATGGAGACTGACGCCTTGCCATTGGTCATCGATGCGGACTACGTGGCGGTGCGGAACGGATCTGGGAATCGGGAACCGGGACCAATCATAGATCTGGATGCCTCTGGTAAACTAACAATGGTAATTTGATTGGGAATCTCATATAGAATATCTATGGAAAATCAGCATTTTGAATGGGACAATCAACTATTTCTATGGCAATTGTCAATAATTATAAATATCTATCTGGTTGGTGGTTTGGAACATCAATTTTATGTTTCCATAATATATGGGATAATCCTTTATAGCTTATCATAGGTTATAGGTATCCATGTTAGATATCCAGGTTAACCTATCCAGGATTTACCCAATTTACTCTCTGATAAATGTTTACAGTTCGCGAACTGGAAAATCCATCATCTTTAAGTTTGGTAAATCAACGATTTCTATGGGCCATGTTCAATAGCAAACTGTTAATCATTGCCAGAGGGTATATCAGATTAGTCTTTGAGGAAGACTTTAAATCCCAGGTTTGGGGTTGAACATGGACCGAGGCTTTTGTGTGGCCTAATATGAACACAGTTTAGCAGTGTTCAGTTTCGGCTGTATGTGGGATATGTGCCATATCATGCGGTATCTTTTCCGGCAAGGTGCCCCCATTGTTTCTCGTAAGTTGGCGTGTAACTGACACAACTGTTGGGTTTGTGTTTGACAAATGCGATGGGTCAAAATTAAAGACCTGAGGGACACACAGATTTTAGACTATTTTTAGTATTAACATGTATTAACCATCCAATTATTCATAGAATTGGACTACGGGAAAATTTACAGGAAAACCCTATATTTCATGGTAAAAACCATGGTTTCCTGTAAATTTTCCCTTAAACCAATCCAGTGACTTATTGAGGTACCCAATTTTGACCCATACCAATATCGAAGTAGTTTCACTGGGTTAATAAGCCAAACTGATAACAAAAAAGGGAAGCACCTGGTAGATGCTCGAAAATACAAGTGGTTGGTTGATTGGTCACCCGCATTCAATCACCAAGGGCTCAACAGCCGTTGGGGTCTATTGTATTGTCGGGGTTGACAGAATAGGTCAAGATTCTTGGACCCCCAAAAAATGCATTGTGCAATTCCAGGATCCTAAAATGGAGGTACGTTAGTACCATATAAGGCAATGTTTTTGTGGGGATATTCCCTGAAACTAAGGCCTTACATAGGCCTTATGTATAGTAGGTACCTCCAATTTAGGTTCCTGAAATGACCAGTGAAAAAATGGATGGTTTAATTTAATCCTAAACATGACTGACAATGATCAAATTTGATCAAATTTCTGTGTCAATCCGTACCCCAATTTTGACCCATACCCAATTTTACAGAGCAGTGGATAATCATATGATGAATATACATCGATAAAGCTCGGAACTAACATGAGATTCCAGGTGAAATCGTCTTTTGTCAAGTTGCAGGTATGAATATGAATCTATGAATCTCAGATCATATTTTGGAAAATTAGGACACGCAATGCGACGCGTGGCCCTGATCTCTGAATGGTGTGATTTTATTTCGGAATATGTTTGTTTAAAAACAAAACATGTGCCACGGATGAAATTCAGAATTCATCTTAAGGTAAATGCGCATGTTTTTCCATTTGTGTTAATCCCTATGTTTGTCAGCAATTTTGAAAAATCATTGCGCATCATATTTCCCATTGGTTTTTCCATGTTGGGTGACACTCTGAACAAATAGGTGGTACCTCATTTGGTTGGTGGTTTGGAACATTTGTTATTTTTCCATTCAGTTGGGAATGTCATCATCCCAACTGACGAACTCATATTTTTTCAGAGGGGTGGCGAAAAACCACCAACCAGATTATTATTAGCCATCATTAACCATACAATAACCATTAATATTAACCATTATTAACCACCATATTTTTCAGAGGGGTGGCGAAAAAACACCAACCACTCATGGAAGAATGTGGATCTGGATTCATTCGGCTCGCGCCCCCGAAAATGTGAACGTCCATCATGGGATCCTTCCGCCACCCCGCAGCATGTCTCTCAAGCTTTGAAAGGACCAAGTAAGACATGGCCCAAGAGGTCGGGAAAACCCCAAGTTGCCATGCCCCCAACAAACATAGACCACAGAATATATCATGAAAATACCACAGAAGATCATGAAACAAATACTTCATCCCAAGAGGAAAGAGTCTTGCAAGCGCCAGAACTGACAGGGTTGACTGGTTGGAAGCCAGATGTGGACAACTTGAGAGGCAGAAATCAGGCCGATGCTGTTACCTTCCTTCAACTAGGCTCCTGAACATGCAGCACATTGGTCATGCTGCGCCAACCATGTTTGGCCCCGTTTGCATCTCTGGACTTTTTTTTGTGGGGTAGCTACTATGCAGTATAGCACCCCCCCCAGTTGAAAAGTTTCTCAGGAGGTGTTGACTGTTCATGGTGGATCTCAGTTTGCGCAAATGATCTCGCTCGATCGCGCACTGTTTGTGGGAAGCTGAGATTTGGGGACTGCATAGAATGATTGGTCCAGGCTCATTGGTCAAGTCGTTGGCAGTTGATTTCCCCTTCCAAAATCATGAGTTGAAAGGGGAAGTCATCCGGAATCACCTGATTTCAGTTGTGAGAAATCTAACTTTCTCAGGTAATTATATATTGGTCGTTTGTTGTCTCATGATTCTTGAAGTCCTGAGTGGCGGCGCATGCCAGCTTTGCTCTTTCTGAGCCTTGCTCAACAAAAAACATTGAAGTCGACATCATGGAACATGCTGCACACTTGAAATTGGTCGGTCAATATCTAGAGTCCTGGAAAAGATAGAATATGATAGAATATTAGAACCGTTCAAATGTACATGGGAATATCTTTCAACATCTTTCTTTCACCTGTGGCCTCCAGGTGCTTCTGCTGGGCGTGCTATTACAGGCCGACTCGTTGTTACGTTACAACTCGGCGTCCGGGTCCGATTTTTCTGACGGTCGATCCTGGCATGACCTGAAATGTCAGGTCAGTGAAGGATGGTTAAGTGACTGATGGTTGGATATGTGACTGCCATTGTCAAATGTCCTTGCCATAGAACATACAATGTGGGCCCCCCTAGTTATAAGTTGATTTATAAGCCCATCTAACTATAGTCATAAGCACCATAAACCCTAGTTATTGTAATTATTTGCACCAACTTAGCTATCGAACGGGGGCCCCACATTGTAACATGTAATTACTTACCCGGATCCACCGATCTACCCAACCAAGATTCTTAGTAATTTGTGTAGCGGCTCACATTGTCATACATTCTCCATGTCTTTAGCTTGAAGTTGATTGTCTCTCTTGTGTTGGAAATGTATTGTAGATTATTCAGCTTCTTGGCCATTGCTGAAACCAGAACTGGATCCTTCAGATAGATAGCTCCTGAAGGCACCGAAAAAAAAAATCTTCCCACCCTCCTGTGGTCTAGCGAGTCTAGCGTTTTTGTTTTGTTCTCACCGCGATGTCAGTGTAAAAATGATGACTGAGAGGATACAGATAGATAAATGATGGATAAATGATAGCTGGTTGGTAGTTTGGAACAGTTTTTATTTTTCCATTCAGTTGGGAATATCATCATCCCAACTGACGAACTCACTCCATCTTTTTTCAGAGGGGTAGGTTGAAACCACCAACCAGATATGGTTTATTGATGTTTATTGGTGATAGATCTATAGTTAATGGGATTATAACCCATTTATAACTGATGCAAAACCATCCTTTTGGGGTAGGTAGGTATACCACCAGTTCCATGTGGATTTTCCTCCATATGATAGGGTGAATCATGGCAGACATGACTTCCGCGTGAGGCCATCCTGCAGCTGCGTGGCAGCGGCACGGCCGTCTGGCGCAGCAACGTTGCAGCTGAGTTGGCTCTGGCCCTTGGACCCAGGTCATCTCTGGTCACCTGAGCTACAAAGTGGGTTGATGTGTTCCCATGACGGATCCATGGTGCTGGTATGTATATATATATATATATATGGTATACCAGGATCCATAGATGATGATGATTTTTTCTATAGGATCCATAGATGATGTACCTATCCCATAGGATCCATGGTGCTGGTATATATGTGCTAAGATTAAAGGGGGTATATTGATGGGATTCATGGCACACCATATATAGCAGCACCATGGATCTGTTGATTTGTTGGTGAAAGTGGACAGCCTTCCAACTAAACCAGGGAATGACTTCTTTGGAATCAACATGTGTGAAATTGTTCTAAACTTCATTCCAACAGTCACTGTTTACTGCCAAGCAACGGTTTCGCAAGATGTGATTGTCAACTAAGTAAGATATGGACTTTAGATGATTTTACAATATTTACATGTGACAAGTTCACCAATAATTCCAGATTCTAGAATTTATGGATCCAAGGGTATGATTTGGGGGGTTGAATACCTTCTCAGGAAATATTTGGATCCATAGGTCACAGAATTGGATGATGGGAAAAAAAATACAGGAACCCTCTATAGCTACTGATAAACACCATTGTTTCCGGTAGATTTTCCCTTAAACCAATCCATTGAATACGGACAATTAAAAGGGTCCCCTGAAATGAAAGGGTTCCTAAAATGGGGCTACCCATCAAATCATCCAAGTCATGAAGAACGATTTAGTTAGTTTTCTCTATGTTTAATCTTGTTGCAACCTACAGTGGATGGTTGCGAAATCCTGCAGGCAGATGGTAGATGGGCAAAATTCCATTACAATCCCATGAAATTTACCAGGTTGGTGGTTTGGAACATCTTTTATTTTTCCATATTTTGGGAATGTCATCATCCCAACTGACGAACTCATATTTTTCAGAGGGGTAGGTATACCACCAACCAGTACAATGTTTCATAGGAGTCCCAATAGTTACCAACGCAGGATTTCGCAACCATCCACGACGTATGTTTTTGTGAATCCACCATAAGAAACCCCCGGCCTTGTTCCACAAGGCCGACACTCTGCTGGAGCATCGACCAGATGAGGTGCGGTTAGACCGAGATCATCGGAGACTGGGGTTGGCATCGTTAGTACCCTCGCTATTGAACATGGCCATAGAAATAGTGGATTTACCCATTGAACATGGTGATTTTCCATAGTTATGTTAGTTTACCAGAGGGTATATGACTAAGTGGGTTTAAGAAGCATCAATAGCTTATGACTAAGTATTATGGCCAATAATGACTTGCTTTTTGGGGGGTTCAATGCGATTATTGGCATCTATTGTTGGTAGACTATATAATTGGGTTTAAAAAGCATCAATAGTGGTTTTTCATGGTTAGGGATGGCTTTGGCCAAGCAGGTCTCCTGCTGCTAGATGGTGCTACCACCTGGACAGGATCATTGTTGGATGCTGTTTGGTAACGCGGATGCTGGACATGTCCCAGTTCTCAATAGGAAAATCATCTGTCAATGGATTTGATTTTCATCTATAGAAGAAGGAACATCCTCGCTATTTTCATATGATTAGTGTAAATTAAGTGTTTTTTTCTGGTCAACATTTGGATTTCCGCCCAGCTTAGATGAACAGAGAATACCTGAAGCCATAATACACATGGGTGATGTTTCATTGTCAGAGCAAATATCCCAGTTTAGTCCATTGTACATCATTACAACGGCTTTCATCAACAAAGAAGCAAAAAACAAATGGGCCATTCAAGTCTCACCAAAGGCTATAGGCTATAAGATGCTATAAGTAATTACTGGTTGGTGGTTTGGAACATTTCTTTATTTTTCCATATATTGGGAATGTCATCATCCCAACTGACGAACTCATATTTTTCAGAGGGGTAGGTATACCACCAACCAGGTATAACGGGTGGTTACACCACTGAAATCCCACGGTTTTTCTTGACCGAAATCCAGCATTTTTGTTGAGAAAAATTGCCTTTTTTTGACGGTCCAGGGGGATGCCTTGCTGTTGGCAGCCTTCGAGACCTTGGAAGTGCGGAAACGCTTGGTGGAAGGCGTTGACCCCGGATTTCATGGAGATTTCGAAAGCAACTAATGATGATGGGGATAATGCCAACACCGGATTAATAAACCCCCGCCCAGAAGGTAGGGGGGGTACCTTCTGGCTAGTTTTCTTGACCACCCCTAAATAAACGCACCCTGAACCATAAAATTCTGAACCATAAAACTTTGGATATGGCTTACGTCAATTAGATCTTAATAGAATTCCATTGGATTTGTTAAAATCTCATGGATCAGAAAGGGGGTTGATTAATCAGGGGCAAACCGTGGTTATTATTAATGGGGGACATGGGCTCATGGGGGGTACCCTTTGGGAGCTATCCAAACTGATGATTTTCATAAAGATTTTAATTAGAAATCGATCATTTGGGGAATAGTTGTTTTTTGAAATTTTCAATGATCAACTTGAACCTTAAGTATAACAATGATGATGAAAAAAAATAAAAAGAATTGGAAATAAAAGGAATTGGAAATAAAAGTTGTTGGATAAAAAAAATAGATTTCAGAATTGGTGGTTGATTAATCGGGGGTAGGCCAAAGTGTTTATTAATCTGGGGGGACCACCTGTTTTTAAATTACATTTTTTTTTTGGCAGTTGCTGTTGATTAATCGGGGAGGCATTATTAATCCTCACTTGGCATTACAACTAATGCTGGCTGGTGGTTTCAAACATGTTTTATGACTTTCCATTCAGTTGGGAATAGTAACCCCAATCTGACGAACTCATATTTTTCAGAGGGGTAGGTATACCACCAACCAGAAAGTTTTTTTTGCATTTAAAATCATGGGGATACAACTATATAATGAATATAATGATGATCTGGTTGGTTTCAGATGGTTCTTCTTGTTGTTTTGATTGCAGAAATGGGATGATCTGAAAACATGACTTTACATTACTTTAGACACCTAGGTGGGCTGCTTAAACTCGGCACCGAGTATCTCAGATGACGGAAACCATGGTAACCATGCATCTATTCGCAGGCAGTGTAGGCATGCTGGAGCGGCCAACTCCATGCAGTATCTCGTTTTGCTGCCTGGCCTAGCTTTGGTAGACCGCGGCGAGCTATTCATTCAGTCTCGCACGCATGTGACTTGCAAAGATGGAGCCCGCGCAGAACGATACCCAAAACGATACCCAAACGATGCTAAAACCTTTCCAAAAGCGCCCCGGGTGACCGACTGGTCACAAAACAGGCGGAACAGGTGGTGGATGTTGGTAGTATGTTGTAGTGATGGACTAAAGTTTTCTGCCTGGCTGGATAAATTTTGAGGTTAGCAGCTGCGAGTGGCCAAAGCATGCCAAAACCCATTTTCTTTCCAAAAGACCTGCTGGTTGAAGAGACCGCCCAAGCAGCGCGAAGGAGGACCAGACAGGCACGGGCAAAAGCAGCACAAGTGCGCTCCAACGCGCGCAAACAAAGATGCCAGGGACGAGGATCCAAGCGAACGCGCTTCAAAACTATGCTTAAACAGAGGTAAATAATTGCCAAAATATGTAAAAACAGGAAAGCCTGTAAAACGATAGGGGACTCATTAACTTGATGACGCATTTGACGTAAACAATAAATTTCGACCGTGGCTCATATGATTTGGGCGGAATTTTGAACATGGATGGAAGTTATGGAATATTCCTTTAAATTGTTACTTTAATGAAATTCAATGCATTTTTATGAGGAACTATGAGTTTTTTTTACCACAGAATTTTGAGGGTACCATATCTTCAGACATCCAATGGTCTGGGTGATGTGTTGACCTGAATGTGCGTGGAGCTGCGAATCACCAACATCGAGGGTGACGAGATCACGGTGACGGACGTTCTTCACCAACTAGTGCATGGCCAGAAAGTCACAGGCCGTCAGGCGGTCATCATCGAGAAGCGAGGAGATCAGCCAGTTGTTTCCAACCACAAATTTGTTCTTATTGACGTGGAGCTTCACCCTTTGAGACCAAGTGTTCAGGTTGATTTTGTGCGTGCAGCATACGTTGTACCAGAGGCCTTCACGAGGAGCAATCTCTCGGACTTCATGGGTGTTGCACCATGCAAGATCACCGCTGATCGTTGTTTGGTTTGGAGGAATGGCCACCTTATTGCCCTACAAGATCGAGAAGGTTTGCAATGAATTGATACCCCGGTCCCGGTGATGTTTGTTGGTTGATAAACCCTATCTATAGTTATACTGTTGTACTGTAATTACCGTAGGCCCTAGTTATACTGGTTATTTGCACCAACTTAGCTAAGTATGGGGCACCACCTTGAAGAAATTGAGGTGAATCAGGAGCAGTTTCCACCAAGCTGCGTCCCGCATTCTATCATGCTTTGTTCCCTGTCCCACTTAGCTTATGCCACCATGGAAGCCATGGGATGCGCTGCACGCGCACCATTTCACCGTTTCTCCGAATTTGTGCCAGAACGTGCCTCAGTTGTACACCCGAAAACCACATCAGTTTTACGAAAACACGAACACCATGATGATGATGATGATGACGAAGATGAAGATGAAGATGAAGTGTGATGGTAACTATGAGGAAATCTAGTAGCAATTGGATCACCATAATGCAGCCTAGTAATGCTTTTACCTGATTGATGGTTGAACACCACATATCATTTAAAACTTGCGTCCTGTCAGCGACCTCAGCGGGCCTGCGCAAGCAATTTTTCAGTGACGTGTTATTGTCTGCGACGCAAGTGCAGCAATTTGTCTGCCAATTGCCAGCGTTCACCCCTCACATCCAGAGCTGTGGGTTTCAGCGGACGGCAGAAGTTTCGCATAAAAATTTCAAGACGCCCGTCGAAGGCTGGATGATTCATGGGCCAGCTGGCCTCGCGCGAGACCATGCAAGACCTACTACTAGCAGGATTCGAAGAAATAGGCAGGTTGGACAGAGAACTATAGCAACGCACCAAGAAGCAAGGAGGACGTTTGTTTCTCGTCACCGGAACGAGTCTGGATGAATCGATGTTAATCGGTGAATTAGACAATTCAATGCTGAAGATAGTGTTTCAAAGGGAGATGCGCAAGAAGTTTGGGATGAGAGGATGACCTCAAATCCGACGCAGGACATGATATCCAAAACTTGTTCTGACTGGAACAGCATGCCCAAAATGGTCAGCATGTGAAGTGTTAGTGACTGAAACATTCCCATTTGGTCGAAAGTTTTGTTTGGTGTTGGGGGCCTCAAACGGGTTCCATGTACCTATAAGGGAGGTATTCAGTTCTGAGGAATAAACGAAATTGAAGACAACACAGAGGCAGAACTGGTTTCTTAACGGTCAAAGTTTGATGATGATATGTCAATGGAAAGCCACCCATTATGTTGGATGATTTACCCAGATATAAACATCCATATATGTTTTTAGAAGTTATTTAGATACATATGTGTGTATATTTAAATATGCACACATAGGATTTCCCTCAATTTCCTATTGTGTTCGATGATTTTCCCATTTCATGGCTTTCCCAGCTTGCCACGTTGACAGCGTTGCGGCTAGTGCCAGGCCAGATCGCGCAGCATGATGCGATGCCATGGTTTCAGCGCGCGCTCTACGACACCAGCAGCTTTCAGGCCTGGGACGGTGCAAGTTGCTGCCCCATGCATAGCCTCTGGTAAACGTTTACATAGCTATTGAAAATGGCACCTTTATAGTTGATTTTCCCTCAAAAAAATTGTGATTTTCCGTAGTTTTTTGTATGTTTACCAGAGGGTAAGTTGGTGGAGAAAAACTCCGGATTCACTCGGGTTTATCAATTGTTTATCCTAGATATTCGATGATACTGTAATGATACTCGTAGATTTATCGAACTTACTATGGTTGAATATGGTTTATAAATAAACTGACAAATGGGGAGGCACCACCTTGTGTAGCCTCAACATCTGAGCATATGTTGGATATGTATGGATATATATCAAACAGGGTTAGCCAATTTGGCATCCTGTCATCGTTTTGTTGGCAGGAAAACAAACACAAAATAAATTCACTTGACCCCAACAAAAATGGTAGCTTGAACCATTGGCATCAACATAACTGTTTTGTTTCTATATGTTTTCTTTTGTATAGTTTGCAACACTTGTTTGTCCTGCGTTGGTTGGTTCCAAGTACCTTGAATATGTTTCTTGATGCTCAATATCACCATGTATGGTTGATCAATCTCGGCATGCTCCATTCGTTTCGAAACTATATATTGTGTGCTTTGTCAATATGAGGTTGTCAGATTCTGTTTTGAGTACTCCTGCTTCGCAAGAGTCAAGGATGGCAATTAGAAACCATGCTTCATGTCAAAGAACATCTACAAATCTTCAAATGGACATAGACGGACAATATGTTTGGAATGGCCATGGCCTGAATATATTTTATATATTATATATATATATATATTATATATATATATACGTTAACCGGTGAGTACTGTAACGTTTTTCTTTTGCAAATCATTGATAACTGCCGGAATTCCACAATATTATGACACTTGAATCACTCGATGAATCGGTGATCATATTCCACCACTTGGGTCTGAAAATGTGGATACTCCTAAATCTGATGGGAAAAAAATTGGGACAGTTCGCCACTTCTGCCAGGCACATGCTGATTGGCTGAAGAGCTGGAGACAGGACGTCCAAGATCGACCCGGTAGTTGGGGGACGGTATTATCTTTATAGGGAATATGTTGCCAATGGCAAACACGACTTTGTCTTGAAGGGTCGCTATAAGATTTGTGTAGCACTATTATCGTTATACTAAACCCATGATCCTGGAGTCTGAAGTGAAGGCATGGAAATGGTGGCTCGGCAAGCAAAAAAGAACTAAAATATGGGAAAATCATAGGAAACCATAGGAAACTGTGGGATCCTCTATATAAATTACCCTTTGGTAAACATACAAAAAACTATGGAAAATCACCATTTTTCATGGGTAGTCAACTATTTCTATGGGCAAGGTTCAATAGCAAACTGTTTAATTACCAGAGGGTATATTCCATTCAGTGGACTACAATCCCATTAAATCCCATTTAAAATAATGATAATATCCCTAACTAACCCATGAAACCTATATAAAACTTAATAGCTGTGCAAATCATCCAACTGTTGGGGCATCTTCCAGCCATGTTTCGAGGTCACTGAGGGTGCTATCAATGCCCCATAGCCATTTTGGATGTGACTGAAACACATGGTCTATGGGAATTTCAGGATCCTAAAATGGAGGTACTGTACCATATAAGGCCATATTTTGTGGGGATATTCCCTTACACAGGCCTTATATAGGCCTTATATATGGTAGGTACCTCCAATTTAGGTTCCCCAAATGGTCATTGACATGGGGATGGGATGTGGTTGCATATGCCATGGAAAATCCCAACCATAAATGGAGGTTTAGTTCGCTGGGAAAATCATCTATTTCTATGGGCCATGGCTTCCATGGCTATGTTAAATAACCAGAGGGTAAATGCGGAGATGATGTGGTTACACATCTAAGTATGTTGATGATAAATGTGTTTGGTTACAGTAAAACATGTTGAGCCCAAGCGACAATTGTTGAAAGCGGAGAACATACAAGAATAAATACATGAATGAGCAGACCCCATGTCTCATGATTTACAATGATTTACCACCAGGACCACAGTTGGATTAATGCATTGAAAATCCTGAATCTTTAGGGAATACAATAACTTGAAACTATACTCGTAGGAAATAAAGATGATTGAAGATGTGGGATTCAACATGGAGCCAGATACATCAACTGCCCATCTAATAAGAACATCATTCTCGGATCAGAAACGATTCCAGTGGAACTTCTTTCATTCCCAGGAGTGGTCTGAAAGATTGGCAGCCAAACCTGCAGGCGGGCAAACTCGCAGCACATGTTGGGATGGTGACCTTGCAAACGAAGGCTACCATTCATTCAATATGAAAACAAACGGATGACATGGTGAGACAGGGGACTTTCAACTCCGGGAGCTAATCTTCAATTCAACCCTAAAGTCGTCATTCCCACGAGACTCCAAAGAAATTGAACATACTTGAGCGCAAAAACAATATGATGTTGACCTTCATCTAGAATCATTGTGTGACCAAAAAAACACAGCCCCAATCAGAGGTCATTGCTGGGGATGGTTGGAGATGATATCCCCACTATCATTGCTTGGATCATTTACAGGGCTTATCATATCCCCAGAAAATTGGGTAAATATCATGCTTTCCGGTGAAGATTTTCCCTGGAGATGAATCTCATTTACTTGTTTCTTACTTCGCTGTAATTCACCAATTTTGAGGATTACTCTCCTGTAAACCAACATAGATGTAGAAAGCCCAGCCATTTGTAGATCATGTTCCAAACGGGACACCATATTTCCCAACATGTCCCAAGATTTCCCACGAATTTCCCCAAATTTCCTAAGACTTTCCCAAGATTTTCCCATCCCATGCGTGCCACCCCGCTCTTTCCCAAGGGACCTTGCCACGGCGGGCGAAGTCGACGAAGTCGCCGTCGGGGGGTCTGCAGTCAGCGGTGGAGGTGGCACAGGCGTGGAATCCCATTGGGGCGGTTGAAATATGGGGGTTTAATAATGGTGAAAAAATTGCATTTCACCATTATTTAACATTCATGTAATGGGATAGAAAGCCCATACATAGATCCATTTAGATGATCTTGAATGATGCTTCAATCCCATTTACCCTCTGGTAAACATACAAAAAACTATGGGAAATCACCATGTTTAATGGGTAAATCCACTATTTCTATGGGCCATTTTCAATAGCTATGTTTAATTACCCGAGGGTAATAATATTTCATGGGAATAATATTGAATATAATGGGATAATCAATAGGAATATAATGGGAATATAATGGGATATAAGACCTATATTAACCTATTAATGGAATATGACGGGATATAAATATTCGTGACATCCCAATTAATGGTTCAATAATTGTGAAAAATTGACATTTAACCGTCATTCAATGGAATATTCTGGGATAATCAAGAGGAATAAAATGAGAATATAATGAAAATACCAATATACCAAATCATACAATTTTGGATTATCCAGAAAATCCAAATGAATACTATCCCATAGGTTATAAATCCCAATGATTGAGAGTAATCCCAATCCATGGTAATCAGTATGAAAATATTAGGATTGCTATGATTTGGATTGATTTGGGGGGTTAAGTACCGTCTCAGGAGAGGTTTGGATCGTTGGGATTTATAACCTATAGGTACATATGGATTCATGATCATTTACTGGGATTTTCAATGTATTGGTTTAAGGGAAAATCTACAGGAAACCATAGATTTCCCCATGAAATATGGGGTTTTCCTGTAATTTTTCCCTTAAACCAATCCATTGAGATTTACGACATATTCTACAGGCATATATGAAGGATTTATGAAGATTTATGATGTGTTCTGATGACTTGTTGGGATTTATATGTCATTGATTGGGATTTATAAGTCATTGATTGGGATTTATTGCGGGGTCCTACATTTTATTATGTTTTTTTGATGTAGACTAGCGTGGTCTATTATGATAGGTCAAATTTATAAACCATGTATGAAAGGATTTAGCATACCTTTTTAGGAGCCATGCAATATTTCAATAGGCATATAAGTATTTTTTTGAGTTCAATGATTTATATACACATGAGACGGGATTCTGAATAATACTGGGATGACTATAGAAGGATTCATTGGAATTTATCAACCATTGACTGGGATTTATTCGGATTTGTCTTATTTATGTATGACATATCTTGGTGGTATTTTAGGATTTGTACAATTAATATATATATATATATGTGTGTTTTCCACAACAGGGGACGCAAACAATCAATCCCTGTTTCCTGGGGATTTATATACCCATTATGTTTGGATTATGTTGGATTCCTATTATATATTTGATGTATGATCAGGTGACATAATATAAACCATCTCATGACCATGGCATGTATGAGAAGATGAATTTATGATTTGCATTTACAAACACGTACCTGCAACCTAGCCTAAACGAACCAATGTGTCGCCTTGGCCCACCAGAATGCAGATGAAGTGATTTGCGATTTCCTATGACCGCTGGAGGTGAGAAGGGATTGCGCTTCTCACCGTGAGATGCAAGCTTCTCGAATGAAGCCAACCTCAGATCGCAGCAAGGAAGGTTTCATTTTGTGACCGATATTCATAAAACAAAGGATCCGAAGAACACCGTGTATCTAGCATCGATATAGCTGGGAATCAGCCGTGAGTCTCTCAGGGTAGCCAAAATGAGCCGTGAAAACAGTTACTGGATTACCTTTTGAGAATCAATTGCGCGTGGACAGTTGTGTATGTTGGTTTTTCAGTGTATCAAACCATATAGCCATAGATATTATCTAGTTCTGTTTGTTGAATTTTAAACCCAGCTAGCTATAGATATTGCATCATATATCAAGCCAATTGTTAGGCGACTTCTGAATCAACTGAACGATCCGAATTTCCGCACCGCATTGAAGAAACGTGGGGAACACAAAGGAGAAATCGCTGTGTGTCTGAAAGTGGGGCATACGGTATACACACCAAAGGCATGGAAAAACACATGATACAGGATTTGGGGAGTATCCTATATAATATTGTATTCTATTTTCAGACAAACCCAAATAATGTGGGTAAAACAATAATTACAATAAACCATTCCCCAAATCACCATGTTTAAAGGTGGTGTAAACCATTCCCATATGGGTGGTTTATTATTGTTTTACCCACATTAATGAAACGAGCGGTTAGAATAGTAAATATAGGGACGTAAAATTGGCCTGGCAGATGATAACCCAATGCAGAATTGCAACCAATGGTTTTTTAAGGGGGCAAAATATCCAACGAAGATGGGAAACCATAAAATCACGCGAAGGTGACCATTCATTAGTCATGACGGGCACTCATTGGAAGATTGTTCCGCTCGGTAATAAGTATGGTTGGGTCCCCACTCGTAAATGATACCCTCAGGAATTGAGAACTTCTTCCCGAACCCCTCAACCCCAATTTGATTCGGTCTATCGGTTTATCCCAAGTCAAACAATGTGGGTCCCTGCCAGGCCCCCAAGATAGCTAAGTTGGTTTATAACTACAATAACTAGGGTTTATGGTGCTTATGACTATAGTTACATGGGGTTATATATCAACTTATAACTAGGGGGCCCCACATTGTAGTTTGTTTAACCCACATTGTTGGTTATATGCCCAGCTCATCCCAGGATCCGGTTTTCTCCAACCCCTACTTCACCAGGGGTTGGATGCCCATGCCTGGCGACAGGATGCCATCAAGGGAGCGGCAGGAGATTGGAAGGCGGTAGGGAGGCGCAGAAGCAGTACCTGGTGCTACTGGTGAGGTATATTTCGAATGCTGGATTTACTTGCAATAACGAGTTATCCCAGTTAGTTCATAGAATTAAGGTGAATTAACTATTCTTAGTGGCTGGTGATGTAAAGTTGTTTCTGTCATCATTCTTAGTCCAACTTAGTTCATCCCAGTTATAACAAGTAGGGTCGTTCGACCTCAGTGACTTGACTTTGATGCCCCCAGCATGGGATGGCAAAAATCATTGTCATCATAGTGCCAGAAGGGATGAAGAAACACCATATGGAGATTTCCATAAATGGGGGTACCCCTAAATCATCAATTTTTGTTTGGGATTTCCCATTGTAAGCCATCCAGCTATTGGAGCACCTTTATTTTAGCAAACCCCCCATTTGAGCTTGATCCCCTGTTTCAGGAACAAAGCGCAGAAATCAGAGATTGGACACCACCATGCTTAGATCAATTCTTCAAAGAAGGTCTGAACAGTTTCATTCTGCCTGGTAACTTGCAAATGGGGGTTTCCTAAAATGAATCATCCATTTCAAGAGGATTTTCCCTTGTAAAGCATGAATTTTGGGGTACTGAGGATGATCCACATGTCTTTTCCCAAAATTTCAGGGTGAAGCCACCAGCTATCCAGCACCCCTTAGGCTGGGATGGATGTCGTCTTAGACGAAGTCATCAATCTGATGGATGCGGAAGCGGACAATGTCTGGGGAACCTGTGGGACGAAGCGGCGGATGGTGGGTAACCCGCTTGAAAACTATGGTGGAACCAAAAGAAATGCAGATTGAATGATGACTTTGAGATTGGCCAATTTGTGGGGTCCGCATTTACTTTTTTTAGACGTGTGTATAGATAGGTACACTGGTAAATGATTGGTTCATGCTCACGTTATAAATGATGGCCAGAAATTGTTGCCTAACTACTTGGATTTTTCTCAGGTTAACATCTTGGCGATTTGGAAGGGCTCTGATATTCCATCGCAAATACGTCCCATGCCCTTCGCTCCGGTCTGAGGGTGTACTCTGCTTGAGGAACCAGCCCCGCATTGCTGAAAGCCGCAATGAATTTGCATGGCTTCGGGAAATATACGAGGTGGTACCAGCGAACAACACGGCAGCCAACTTTAGACAACTTGCAGCAAGAGCAGGAACATGGGATCAATATTTTCCCGGGTGTCTGAGCACAAGTACTTGCAGCTTGGACTTTTCATCAGTGATGGACTTGGTACTTGACAATGGAGTGCATGGCCAGTGACTGCAGGTGTGCCAAGGTTTTTGTTGACGATATCCCCAGCTACAAAGAGGAAGAGGTTCGAGTCCAGCTCTTCCTTAGATTTTCCGCTGAGAGCTAAGTAGCTTCAGTTCCATTCTTTTGGAGGAAATACCCCTTTGGTGATTCAACGTAGCTATGGAACATCACCTTTTTTAATAGGTAAATAATCATATAACTATAACTCATCATAACTTATCTATAAATGGGCAATTTCCGTAGCTATATTTAATAACCAGATCTGGAGGGTATCACGTTCCATCATTTTTTTGTCGAGTTCAAAATTGGCCAGTCGAGTAATCCTGGATACTCATGAGGCAGGATTTCTCTGAAAAAGCGAAAGCGGGGAAACACCAAGTCCCGTGGTAGGGACCCATGGCTTAAAATTGAAGTTTCATAGGAATAACCATGGGCCCCTACCACGGGACTTGATGTTTCCATCAATTGAAATAAGTTTCAAGTTGCCATGGATGGATGGTTCCCATTTTTGGACATACCCAGATTAATATTATTACCCATAGGATCCATGGTGCTGCTATATATGGTGCGCCATGGATCCCATCAGTATACCCCCTTTATGTAAGCATATATGCCAGCACCATGGATCTTATGGGTTCGAGTTGAGTGTTCGCAACTCCAAGGCTTTTGTGTTGTCCCGGAGTTGCGAGTCTTTGCGCGGCTGCCCGTTTGACCATGTTTGACCCCCTTGATCCGGGACGTTTGGGCTGGGCTGGTGAAGCATATTGAAAATCAGCTGGTGAAATGAAATGTGTGGACCCAAAATCACCACAATGTTGGCACATGTTGGCACTCATTCTCCTTTTTTTGGGTATACAGTATATCTTAGTATTTTGGCATATGGTTGCTGTTTTTTGAATTGGCTTTGATTTCAATCTCTTTTGATCCTATCTTTGGCTGGGCTAATGTCGGTGTTAAGCGATTTTCACAATGAACAAGGTTGTCCAGCTGTGAATTATGTCCACTTCATTGAACTCGTGATGATAATTTGTGGTTCAGAGTTTGGTAAACGGATTTCAGAAAGAATCACAAATTCACTAATTAAAAATGCAGAATTCAAATATTTCGGAAATGAAACAAGATAACTTGTCACATGGTTTTTGTTGCCATGCCCAAATCTTACAAACTGAGCCTCACTATCATAGACTTCCCATAGGGCAATGTTTTGTTTCCTGTTTTCTCTTTGTGGTTCCGGGGTAAGTTTCGCTGGGGTACCCTTTGGGTCGAGCACAACTCCCTTCGAATCTTGGGATGTTATCATTTCAACTGACACCAGGGCTGAGAAGCTGAGTAGCTGGTCCCACGTTTACGTATCACCAAGCTATGGTCTTATCACATGCCACATGGATCGTCATGGATCTGTGATTTCACACGTTTTTTTTGATTGTTCAACCACATGTTCAATTGGTTTCATGCCTTCATGTTGACACATGTTTGTATATTTGGGGAATGATCATCCCGATATTGCCAATACTTGTCAGATGCGTTCAAACCAACAATCAGTAGATATATGTAGATATGCTTCATACATGCTTCATACATATGATTCAAAAAACAAAAAAAATATGTCACATATATCGGCCATAATTCCCACTTACGTTTAGTTAAACAGAAACTTTTCCTATCAGTAAGGAAGTTTGGAAGTCAAACTTCCGACAATATGGACAGATGAATAGCAGAGATGGGAAGAGTCAGAGAAGAGAAGAGAAGAAGAAAGAAGATCAAAAAAAAGAAAGTCTCAGCAGAAAGAAGATCCAGGTGCGCGAAAAGGTAGGAAAGTCGCGAAACACTGTGTTCTTCCAATGATTTGTGGCTCCGGAGGGTCGAAAAGTAGGCTCGCTATAGCACACTTCGAAGTAAAAAGTGGAGAAAACTGATGAGTTTGGAGCACTTTTGGGCGTTCGGATGTCGTTTTGCGTGGCAGGCACAAGGGATTCTGCACCTTGCCAAAAGTGAGCAAAACGTGAGGGTTTTGTAGCAGTTTCAAGTACAACCACCACTGAACTACATTACACTCCACTACACTACACTACAACTACAACTGTAACTAGAAATCCGTGATTCACAACAACCAGCTCTCCTATAGGTGTCCTATTCTGAAACTTCCGCCGTACTACTGTTATCCCCCCCTAACCAACCCTAGTTAACCAAGTTATGTGCGTCAACTTCGCTATCGTAAATGGGGGCATGACCTTGTAGATATCACTGTAGCCATATAGATAAGTATAGTTACTCCAATACATATATATGTTTATATCACTATAACATCACTATATGTTAACACTATATGTTTAGATGCTCCCCTGACTCACAGAGCCAATGTGCTGCTGGGATCGGAAACCCAGGCGCTATATGGCTGTGGACGATGAGAGCCGAAGTGCAGTGGGGAATAGCATCCCAGTAATTCTGAGGCCGGTCGTTCAGTGCGCTGTAGCAACATGTACATATTGTATATGTAGAGAACAACGTGTATCAACTCCCCAAAAAGATACAAATATAGCAATATTCAAACTCGTGATTTGATGAATATTCAAAATAGTGAATTTGATGAATGGTTCTTCTTTTTTGGGTGGTAAAATAATGTGATTGTTGTTCTATGTTTTTCTATTTTGTGGGGATTACTCTACCCTGCAGTCGCTTGTTGTTACAGATTTGGTGCGGGAAAATGAATGCTCGGAAACTGTTCATGATTGAGGCGTTGCCATAAGGAAATTGTATTGGAAACAATTTGGATGAAATATATTGAAATCTACATACGACCTAGTGAAATATATGATTTTGAATGAATATAGACTATAGATCATGAAATTGTTTTAGATACTGTGTGATTGTGATATTATGTGAAGACCCTTTAAAAATCAGCAGCCCCTTTGCATTTTGCGGATCATTGTGGTGAAGGCTGTGTTATTTTCTCAACCGTGATATTTTTATATATGTTCGGGTTTCTTTCGTCTCAGATGAACCCTCTTTAGCCAGAGCCTTTGAAACAACCAGCCCAATACGTTTGTTTTTCCCTTGAAGATTGGATGTTATTTTGCCATAGTTCCCATATGTTCCCATCTATGATACAGAATGGATGAATATGCCATATATCAATATCAGATTGTGACAATATCATGAAGATGGGAATAGGATACCAAATATGTATCATTAAAGACACTTACATATGTAGCAGAAAGGGATGGATATATATATATATATATACGTATCAATTTCCCACAGCTTTAGGAATTCGGACCATTTCCCCAGTTTCGCGTCTGGTTCCCCGTACAGTACGCCGTACAGGGCCATGGTGCTGAACGAAAATTCCTCGGAGGTCCAGGGCTATTGCTCCGGCACTCTGGCGCCTCGACGGAGAGTGATGCACGCAGAACCAAATGGGGATACGAGACCTTCAAGTACCTTGAAAAATTGGATAGTAGATAGACATATATATCTATATATATATATATATTTTTATATATATAATATATATATATATAATATATATAATATATATATAAACCTGCTGCTTCAATGGCCAGGCTAGGAGGGTGCTTTGCCTAAGCACCTCAAAAGTAGGTAACAGCCATCCCAAGTGTAACGGCCATCCCAAGTCAGTAGTGGCGTACATATTCTCAGCCAGGATCCTGGATTTGCAGTTCTCGCATGCATTTTGCCATGTATAGACCGAATTCCATGTGTATTTTGAAGATTATGATAGCTTCTGATATCATTTCCAAGATGGAAACATAGATCCTGAAGATGGAATCATCTCTTTTCATCCTCATCATCATCATCATCAACCTGAACCTGGTGCGTCAAAAGCCATGCTAGGGGGGTACATGTAGAACAGCCCTCAAAAGTTGATAATGCCCATCAAAAGTGAACGCCCATCAAAACGTAATAGACACGACAGCTGGGGGTGATTCTTTTTCATTGCGACGAGACAGATCAAAACATTGATGTGCCTTTGTGTGGCCCATCTACGAGCAGAATTGTTCTTTGTACCAAATGCCGGTAAGTATCGGAATTACCGAAACATCTGGTGATCCATCAGGAAACAAAAAAAAACAACTGATTCAGAAACAATGCATTTTCAAATTTCAGGGTGAAATTCCAGAGGTCAAATCCAGGCCCCTGCCAAGTACCCAAAATTAGTGACTACCCAATCAAACAGATCAGCTGGTATCCTTTGCCACCCGCGCTCCAGCAGAAATATTGATTATATCTACAGTAGTAGTGTTATGTTTTTTTCAGGTATTGTTTGGTAAAATCGAAAGTCCGAATCTGGGTCCCTCCGAAGTCCGGACAAGTTTTTATTGTAATGCCAAATTAAACCAACATGCCAAAAATACATTCGGAGGGGTAGCGTGAATTAGCGTGAAAAAACTGTCACACGGCGTGAAAAGCCGTCCCACGGCGTGAAAAGCTTTCCCACGGCGTGAAAAACCGTGAAGCGGCGTGATAATACCGTGAAAGTTGGGGCGTGGGATCATGGTAGCATTTCTTGGTCGAATAAATATTGGTACTGGGTTTGTTTTCTTTCAAAAACCGCCTGAAAATGAGATGTGGAGCAGACCCTTGCGGCAGCTACACGGTCTTGCCGTTGATGTTATGACCGCCCGCGATCAAAGTAGATGAATCTCACCAAGATCAAGATAGGGTACCCTCTAGAGTTGGCAATTGCATCTGAAATATAACACATACATGTCAATAATGGGGGGTCCATACTTGTTTCTTGGGTGCGCATTTTTTTTTGGATAATCTGCCGCTCAAGGGGGGGAAGAGTCTCTGAGGGGACAATTCAAAAGGTTGCACACACTTGGCTCCAATTTGGTATCATAACATGGCAAGCTTTAGATGTTGGGAGTATGCAACAAAAGGATATAAAAGGTACCTTTTCTGGCCAATAAAAAATATACTGCTTTTCATGGAAGTATGAAATGAAAGCCACGGGCGCTGACCTCTTTGTTGGGGTTGACATTCAAACAATCGGTTTCTTGAGATGGTTTTTAGCAAATGTACTGCTCTAGGCGTGGCTTTTAGCTAACGGCCCCGCGTAGGATGGCTGTTGGAAGTACCAGGTGAAGATTATTTAGCAGTGTGATATTGTGTGTGCAGTTTTTGGGCTGATTCAAGTTTCTGATAGGTGTCTCAATCATAAGATTGCCAGTTTGAGCATTCAATCTGAAGGGGGTGGCATTTTAACTTCACACTTTGAATATATGATCAGGGTTATTCTTTTTTTGCACAACATCCACGTGAACCTTCCATTTCTTGAGATGGCTTTTAGGTAACGGCCACCTGTAGCGTGGCTGTTGGAAGTACCAGGTATATATATATATATTATATATATATTGTATTATATTATATTAAATCATATTTTTTTTATATTATATTATAATATATTATATTTTAGTATATTATATTATATTATATTATATATATATTATATATTTTATACATATATATACTATATATTATATATATATTATGTCATATACCGAATTGTTTTGGACTTTTAGTCATAGGTACTCTGTGGGTCTAAGTATCATCAGCATGTTTTTTTTTCGGGAGCGTTTTGTTCAACAATGCAAACATATGTGCTTCAATATTCCACAAGAATGAAGATGTAAGCTACCCACCCGGATTGTTAGCCAACACAAGCGTTTTTTAGCAGCAAAATGCATGTTTTGCATTGGAAATTGAATATAGTAAAAGACTGAAGATATCAGGGGCAAATTGAGTATTGGCGAAACAGTTGATGGTGAAATTATCTAATTGAGAGGAATCGCATTGTATGAGTGATTGGAAACCCTGGTGAAAAATTGGTTGGTTAATGGGTCGAGCCACGTTCCTATCCACAAAAAAATGTTCTGTTGCGAAGCATGTAAGGATGCCACAAAATCATGGGAAAGTAGGTAAACCGTATGTCAAAGCGGAAATAAAACAAGTTAGATTTTGAACAAACAGCTATATGCACTAGATGTGTATAATTGTTTATCATTGTTTATCGTTTTTCTCTACATTATAGTTCATGAGCATGTTTGTTTTTAAGGGATAAGTTGGATCGCATCAATCATCCCAGTATGATAAGTACATGGTAGAATTGTAGCACACTACTGGGACAATTCCAGGAGGAATCAATCATCATTCAGTCAATCATTGTTTGTGAGGTGCAATGTGGGGCCCCCAACGTTATGTTTGTTGGTTTTGAATTTATAACCCCATATAACTATGGTTCTAACTACCATAAAACCTAGTTATTGTAATCATAAACCAACTTACTTATCTTGGGGGCCCCACATTATGTATTATTTGGATGAATTATGGTGCAAATGGGCATGAATCACTTTCAGAGAACTCCAGCAATCATCCAAATCAATGCAACGTCGTTCTGACAGTTTATCTCGCGGAATGCAGGGTGTTTTTTTGGAACAGTAGATTAAAGTCCATGCTCGGACTTTCATGGAAATGTTTTTGTTGGCAGTTAGTCTTCCAGTATATGTTCACCAGCACAATTTCCTGGTGGGGTTCCATCTCAACGAGGTGCATTTGGCTGCGGCGCCAGCAACCAGAAGCGCCATCATTGAGAATGATGGAGTAGAAGCCACTGAGCAGCATATGTCGCGGTCGAAGGGTGGTCGAAAAATGGCTGTAGCCATACCATGTGTCTCACAGGATGGTCCAGGGTGTGTATCCCATTTTCCCTTTGGTACTTTAACAGTTCGCTATGGAACTTGGCCCATTTATAGATAAATTGCTCTCAAACGCGGTGATTATCCATAGCTTTGTTAAAAGACCAGAGGGTTGTTGGATGTAGTTGGTTGAGCTTTAATGAACGCCGCAAAGTCACCACAAATGACGATTCATAAGGGGAACTATCCCAAGACAAACAAACATTTCAGGTTAGTGATTTCTAATAAATCACCCAGATGATTTGGCCTATGAGGATACAAGCAGTTTCAAGGTTGGTTTGGAGACATCCACTCAACAACAGGGTCAGCAACATTCTTGGGGGTGTACATGCGCTGGTTGGAGCGTCAAACAACATGTCCAGATAAGCAACAGCAATAATCTGAGTTGTGTTTTTATCTCCAGGCATTTTTTTCACGGTTCGAGTTTTTTTGGGGTACAGATCAGGCTGTGTCACAGCGTAACATCCTCGCACCGGCGGGAGATTGCTTGTTTGTACGCTACCTTGTGTTGCATTCCATCTTGCCACCTACGTGTCTTATCTTGTCTTCAAAGCCCATTCGACTGGAATGTGCCAGTGACGGGTGCAGCAGTCACTGTACGTCAATGTAGGAACATTTTCAGATTACATATTTGATACCATCCAGTAATCAAACATAGCAATGGACAATTCCCCATTTATGAATGATTTTCCCAGCTCTAATTCAACCTCCATTTAGTTTGGGGATTACCCAGCCACCTTTGAGGACACTGGAGGGTAGATCGTTCTTACAGCTTGCAACTGGCTGATCAGTTGCACAAGGGAGGGGCTGTCAATCGTGCAATGAGACCGTGCTTCGGAAAATCAACCAGAATCTCAGTTCTGCCGACCTTCTTTTCAGACTCGGGTCTTCTTCGCTTGCAACTGTATCAAGTGCGACGCATAAAGCAGAAACCGTGTTGCTCGACGGCCAGGAGTATGCCTGGCAAAGGTGCCGCAGTTGGCGATGCGGGGACATCCTGCTGGCAGGTACCCGCGTGTATGAGTCGGCGCCGCAGACTTGGCTGGCTCTCCTGGATGCCGACCCGCTGTCTGCTTTTGAACACGTGCGCACGATGTTTCGCCGTTTCGGCGTGGCCGCCGGCCCCCAGGGCGGCTTTCTGACCGACAGCTTTGACCAAGTGTGGAGGACACGGCCATCGCGTCCGGCAGTGCTGCGCTGAAATCTGGCACTGCCGGGCTGTGGCGCCCTTTTCTCGCCCTTCGCGCCCACGGCAACCACTCGGAAGCCCGAGTTTGGCAACGTACGTCGACAGCCCGATTGCACCTGGGCTCGAGGAGGCCGCAGAACAGGCATCGAAGGCCAACACAATCACTGCCTGCTGACAGACGCGAATTCTGCTCCATGACACCGGCACAAAGGCATGAAAAATTGGAAGGAAAAAATCAGAACCCGTTTGTCGTCGACAGTCACGAGAGTGACGAAGTGGCGAGGGATCGTAGACCATTAGCGGAACTCTGAAATCAAGTAGCCAGTAGTATTGTAGTTTGTGGTTCACCCTAGGAATCGTTAAATTGGTTTATGATTTATGACCAATACCAATTACTAGGGTTCATGGTAGACATATCTGATCTATCTGATGAGACTTACCAACTTATAAGTGGATTATAACCCCAGCTGCAAGTGGGGTGGGGAAATGCCCAGTAAGTGGGGTTACAAACCACATACTGACTGGTGTAGCAAGTAGAAGGAAAGAGGGTTTGGGGTACTTCTCATTTGACAGTTGAGTGCAGACACTGGTTGGTGTAGTAGATCATCTAATTTCCATCAAACAAATTCAAGCAATAGTAATGAACGAAAGTTTCATGGGTCCAGAACAGATAGAACTTTGAATCGCCGCCAGAACAGGTGGGAATAACTTTTTTCAGGGATCCATATGCCCTCTGGTAAGCAGCTACATGGCTGGAAAATAGACCATTTATACCGTTTAGCTTGTGATTACAATCCAGTCTGAAGAGGCTCATCCGAGTTGGAGGTCACTTGATCACCCTTAGAGCAAGGGGCCTCACCGATCAGGGTAGGATGATCCTGTAAATGAGAAAAATGATGGACAATTCTCCACGTAAAATACGGGTTGCCTAGCCACTAAGCCTGTAACGTGTTGTTTTTTTAGCTTACCCTCTGGTTATTTAATTTAACATAGCCATGGTATAGATGGCCCATAGAAATAAATAGATGGTTTACCTATTGAAAATTGTGATTTTCCATGGCAAATTGTTAGTCATAACCAGATGGTATTTTAAGCATCATGTGTCCCAAGCTCGAGGAACCCCAACTGTGACTGATCATCCCTGTAGTTCCCCACCCTGCCAGGTGAGGGTTGTTGGATTTTATCAGAGTTGTTCTTCTCCTCCTTCTTCTTCTCCTCCTCCTTCTCCTCCACCACCCCTGCCTCCACTTCCATGTCCGCTTCCGCCTTGCCAACTCTTCGTCAAGCTCTTCGCCAACTTCCGCACGCAGTGGGCACTGCTGGAAATCAACTGCAAGGGTCTGAGCGCACTGGGCACCACTGGACCTCAACCTGGGACCTTCCGAACTCAGTGAGCACCGCTGGACCTCAACCTGGGACCCTCCGAGCTCAGTCGGTGGACCTCAACCTGGGACCTTCCGAGCTCAGTGAGCACCGCTGGACCTCAACGGCCAGATAGAATGCCAGAAGATATGCCAGATAGAACGCCAGATAGCATGTCAGATAGAATGCCAGAAGATACGCCAGATAAAATGCCAGAAGGTATAGAATGCCAGAAGATATGCCAGATGGTATGCGAGATAAAGTGCCAGAATGTTTGCCAGATAGAATGCCAGAAGATTTGCCAGATAGAACGCCAGATAGCATGTCAGATAGAATGCCAGAAGATATGCCAGATAAAATGCCAGAAGATATGCCAGGTAGAATGCCAGAAGATATGCCAGATAGAATGCCAGATCGAATGCCAGAAGGTATGCCAGATAGAATGTCAGATAGAATGCCAGAAGGTATGCCAGATAAAGTGCCAGAATGTTTGCCAGATAGAATGCCAGAAGATTTGCCAGATAGAATGCCAGATAGGATGCCAGAAGGTATGCCAGATAGAACGCCAGATAGCATGTCAGATAGAATGCTAGAAGATATGCCAGATAAAATGCCAGAAGATATGCCAGAAGATATGCCAGATAGAATGCCAGATCGAATGCCTCAAGATATGTCAGATAGAATGTCAGAAGATTTGCCAGTAACAAATCGATAAATGTCATGGTGGGGATCACACGAAGTAAAGTAATTTGTTTGTTTTTTGTTTTTAAACCTGCTCTGTTCATCGATTTGTTTAACCAAGAAAAGGCATGAGTTGGCATGAGTTCTTCTTACTGGTGCTAAACGTAGGGAATGGATGGGACTGGGGGAATGGGATGATTATTACTAGTGATTATGGGTCATTCCCTCATTCCCTGCTAAGCACCAGTAAGTCTTTGTGTACTTGAATGTCTTTCTTTTCAATGCATTTCTTCACAGTTAACTCCTTCCCTAGACCCTCTCATAGGGAAATGGGAAGCTGTGCTAAACTCATGCGGTGAATTGCCCCGTAGTATGACTTTCAAAAAATCGGGCACCCCTAAATTCAGTAGTTGATTACGATTTGTTTAAATAATTTCCCCTATTCCATTTGATATAATGTGGGGGTCAATTACCCAAATTTTCAGGCACAGTGATATATCATATTATATCATATTGTTCGCTATGTATCCAGTTATACGAGAATAACCTAGGTGTATTCTACATTGGGTAAAGGGATTATTCTCGTATTCCCAATGCTATGATAGGTACAATGCACAAATGTAGCTGGTTATTTATCACTGTTTTATCGTTTTATCCTACATTTGATCAAGATATCCTAAGTTTATTCAGGGAAGTTTTCACATTTGGGATTTATTCAGAGATTTTAACATTTATCTGGCTGGTGGCTTGGAACATTTTTTATTTGCCATATATTGAGACTGTCATCATCCCAATTGACGAATATTTTTCAGAGGGGTAGGTTGAAACCACCAACCAGTTTATTATTAACCATCATTAACCATTTAATAACCATTAATATTAACCAGTATTAACCATTATCATATATCAACTGACAAAGTCCATCATTTATTAGTATTAACCATTTATTCCAAATTAACCAGCATTAACCAAATCCCATTAATAGAGAATATAGAATTTAGCTGGATGATCACTTCACGGATCAGGCCATCCTGCGGGGCATGCGGCTTCACCCCGGTGACTCGATCGCGTTTGCGGCAGTGAGCTACGATTTGGTAATGTGTAAATGGAATTATTGGTATTTACTATCAGATTTTGAATTATTGGGATTATTGGGATTTACTGTCAGATATGAATAAGATATTTAATTTTAACGAGATATTTAACTGGAATTAATGTTGAATCAATTGATTTTGATTGCTGTCAATTTACTTTCAATTTATTTCAAGTGATTTTCAATTTAGTTTCAATTGATTTCAACTGATGTTCAACTGATTTCAATTTACTTTCAACTGATTCCAATTGATTTCAATTTACTTTCAATTGATTTCAATTTCCTTTCAACTGATTTCAATTTACTTTCAATTGATTTCAATTTACGTTCAACTGATTTCAATTTACTTTCCATTGATTTCAATTTACTTCCAATTGATTTCAATTTACTTTCCATTAATTTCAATTTATTTTCAACTGATTTCAATTTACTTTCAATTGACATCCCATAGTAATCCCATAGAAATCCAATAGTAATCCCATAGGAATATCATAGAAATCCAATAGACATATCATGGAAATCCCATAGGAATCCCAAAGGAATCCCATAGAAACATCACAGAAATACCATAGAAATCCCATAGGAATCCAATGGAAAGCCCATAAGAATACCATAGAATTCCCATAGCATCCCTTCAGAAATCCCATGGTAATCCCATAGAATTATCATAGAAACATCATGCAAACCCCATAGGAATCCCAGAGAAATCCCATAGAAAAATCATAGAAATACCATAGAAATCCTGTAGAAATACCATAGAAATCTGATAGAAATCCAATGGAAATGACATAGACATCCCTTTGAAATCCCAGAGAAATTCCAAAGAACCACCATGGAAACCCCATAGAAATCCCACAGGAATCCAATAGAAATCCCAATAATAATCCCACAGAAATATTATGAAACCCAAAAGAAATATTATGGAAATCCATAGAAATATCATAGAAATCCCATAGGAATCCAATGGAAATCCCATAGACATCGTGGTATGTTGTTGGATATACCACATTAATGATAGGCATGCTAATATGTATAGTGTGAACAAGAAGAATGCGCCATATAATGATTTGGTATGAAGAATGAAATACCAATACTATGTTCAGTTGCGATATTGATAATTATATGTAACAATAATAATAATATTTTAAAGATCATAGTAGATAAGACTAGATAATGGGTTGTAATCGATATATGATAATAGAATGTACTAGATAATGATAATGATGTTGATATGTTTCTCAAAATGCAACCGTGTCATGCAGGGAACCTGAACCTTACCACACTGAAGAAAGAAACTTTCAAGTCCAAGCAACATCACGAATCATCAAAACGGTTTTCTTGAATAAGATCATTCAGCTAAGCATTGTGCCATCGACAGATTGACACAAGGTTGGGACCCCGTTCGATAGCTCAGTTGACGCACATAACTTGGCTGACGCACGTTTTTTTTTGAGGATGTAACTGCGGTTACCATATTTGGTGGTTTCCTTAAATGGGGGTACCCCCAAATCATCAATTTTTCTTTGGGTTTTTCCATTATAAATCAACCAGCTATCGGGGTATACCACGATATACCCATTTCAGGAAACCCCCATATTTGGTGGTTACTCTCTGGTTATTTAACAGTTCGCCATGGAAAATCACCATGCTATTAAGAACGGTAAACCATCTATGGGCCATCTATACCATGGCAAACTGTTGGTCATAACCAGAGGGTATATTCCATTAAGTGGATTATAATCCCATGAAAACCCATTAAATCCCAATTAAACCTCATTAAATCCCTATAAAGCTCATTAACTACAGTTAAATAATGTTGGACACCAACTTGTAACTGTGGGGCCCACCTTGTATCGTTTCACTGGCTGTTCCCCAAGGAGTTGTTGATGGCCCCGCTGAAGTGAAACGCCAGATATTTCCATCAATGGTTTCAGATGGAGACAAGTGTGGTCCATTTGAAGCTAGATGCAACATTATGGCTAATGAGGATAGGGCCCTCAAGATAGCTAAGTTGGTTTATAAGTGGCTGAACAATGGTTTATGGTAGATATAACTATAGTTAATGGGGATTATAATGGTTTATAAAACAACTTATAACTGGGGGGGCCATCCTACCCGAACAGGTGTATTTTTTGAACACTTGAAGCTGGATGAACACATAGTTGATTATACATCCAACCAGTTTGATGTTTTTTCTGTTCACCACAAATCCCAGGTAATTAAAAATCTATTAGCTGACCCGTCTTGGTAGGCCCACCTTGTAGTGCAAGGTCAACATAATATACATCTACCCTCTGGTTATTTAACAGCTTGCCATGGTATAGATGGCCCACAGAAATAGATGATTTTCACAGCTATAAACTTCCATTTATGGTTGGGATTTTCCAGGGCTATGTTAGTCATAACCAGATGGTATAAATTACCATGGTATACTCCATTACGTGGATTATAATCCCATTAAACCCTATTGGATCCCATTAAACCCCATTAAATCCCAATTAAACCTCATTAAATCCCAATTAAACCCCATTAAACCCCAATTAAAACCTATTAAATGCCAATTAAACCAACTTAAGGTAAACATGATATACATCTACAAGTTGGAGAGATCATCCATCCTCAGAAAGATCCCACTGTGCTTGCTGATGCACGATCTCCCAAGCTGAACTACCCAATGGTTTGACCCGAAACATCACATGTTCACCTGGATTGTAGCCGTACACATTGATTTCTTGTGGTGGTTTTACTGGTTGGTGGTTTGAACCCCTCTGAAAAATATTAGTCAATGGGAAGGATTATCCCATATATTATAGGAAAAAATGTTTGAAACCACCAACCAGTTTATGATTCTTATGCTACGGCTACCAAGAACACTTCTTATCCCACCAGCAACAAACCACCAGCCGTCACAAAGTTGGACTGAGGCAATTCCTTCGTCCACTTGAAGGCTTGTGCAGCTTTGGCCACTCTGCCAACATCGAGAAATTTCCCGGATGGTGACCACGTTGTTGTCAACTAACCTCCAAGAAAATGTCAAAAACACTTCAATGTATCACTATTTTAATCAGATTTACTGTGCTATTTTTTTTAGTTGCTACATATGTGAAAGAAAAATGGTTTGGATTGTTCTGGGCAATATGATGCTGGTTGGTTTATCTCGGTTCATCTTGGTTCTAGTGTGCCCACTGTGGATTTTCTCAACATGTTCCACAGGTCGCCACAATGCGTAGCATGTTAGAAGCAAGTAGAATCCCTCTGTTGGTACAGAGATGAAAGGGGGGTATGGATGGAACAACTAATCATATTTTTTATAGCTAAATCAACTGTAATTGGACATTTTCAATAGCTATGTTCACTTAACAAAGTGTGTTTTGGATCCTACAAAGACGTACAAAGACCATGTTTCAGGCCATTGTAGTTAAATTGCAGGGTGAAAACGGGTCATTTTCCATGTGTTTCCTCTTGATCTAGCCATTTCACCTGCTAAACGGATGTCACTTGTTGGGAGCAACCCCGTTTCAGACCTCTTCCTGCGTTTGCTTGCTGGGCCCATCATCGGAATCAACGTCACAGTTCCGGTCCAGGATTCCCAAACCTATGGCAATAATCCAAACATCCTGGTTGGTGGTTCGGAACATTTTTTTATTTTTCCATATATTGGGAATAATCATCCCAATTGACTAATATTTTTCAGAGGGGTTGAAACAACCAACCAGAATAATGGTTTAACCATATTTAACCAGCATTGATTATTGGTTGTATAACCAGCATTTATTATTAGTTATTCCTAGCATTACACAATCATGCATAATCCTCATATGGGGGTTTCTTAAAACGGAGGATCGCCAAAGCTGTGGGTTTCAATGCTAAAATGGTCTAATGACTTGGATGAGTTAGGGTACCACCGTGACTTAGGAAACCTCCATAGATATACCCCAAGATACCCTCTGGTAAACTAACGCAACTATGGAAAATCACAATTTTTAATGGGTAAATCCACTATAAATGGTCCATTTTCCATAGCTATGTTAGTTTACCAGAGGGTAATCCCAAGATAATCCCTAGATGTGCCTCCTTCCTGGACCTAAACGCACTCTGCAAAAACCTTGCTGAGGCCAACCTGGCCGCTACGAGCAGGGAGCAGAAACTGCTGATGACGAAGGGCACGGGGCAAGAAGTGCTGCAGTCCCTGAAAACTCACCTGAGCCTTGCTTGGAACTGGGATCAAACTGGTGATTTTATTGAGAACATGATCTATAATGGGGATATAGTGGGGATATTTCTATGGGATATGTTGTGGTGAAAGAAGGATAAAGAAGGGGGGGTTCATATAGCATCTGGGATAACCAATCAAAATGGTGATTTTTTACCAGCAACAGCAGGATTTTTGAGCTTATGCATGTATGATTCATATGGAATTCAACCAACCAGCATGAGGGTACAAGTAACGACAGATGGAGATATAACAGGGATATCATGGAGCTATAATGGGACTATAGTGGGAATATGAGAGTGGATATGGGTTTATCTGATGATGGGATATACCCCAAAAATGATATGGCGAAAAGGATTGTAAATCATTGGATTTGGGTGGTACTCAATTTTTCGACGAACGCATAATGGAATATAATGATGTATAAACCAACAATGATGGGGTTTAATGGGGTTATTTGATGTTATTTGGGGGTGCAGAGTTAACAAAACAGCAATTCCAACCAAACAATCTTGCTGGAATAGAGGTTAAATCGTGTTTCCAAAAAAAAATGTATCAGCCAATTTCAACAATTTCAACCAAAAAGATTCAACCAATTTCACCTTGGGGATGTTGGGATGAATGGCTTTGAACGAAATCGTGGGGATCTATGGCTCCTGCAAAGGTGACCCTCCGACTTTATAATTTGAACTTGGTAACCACCAACCACTGCATGAGCTGCAGGGCTGAGGTGGAACAGATGGGTATAACTATAGTATAACCATGGTTAACAGTTGGAAAGATGGTGATAAGGCTGTATCAACCATGCATCATGAAATCATGGGATATGTCAGCAACGTGCTGAGCCTCGAGCCTCACCAAGACCGTCACCAAAGAGAATGGTCCGAATGGTTTTTCTTTTTCCAAAACCACCAAAAATGCCCGGTGAATGATCATGGCCACATGATTGGCTTGGGGGGTCCACATTGCCCGATGTTGAAAGTGGTGGTTGTTTCCAGACTGAGCAGCGAAAAACGCCCATTGATGCTAAGGACATTGAGAGATTGTAGGCCGAATATGCGTTGGTACTCTAGCTGTTGTTTTATCACATCCCATTCAATCACCATTTTTTCTGGTCAAACAACCTGGTTGAAACTGGTTCTATTTGATCCTGGGTTCGCCGTGGTATTAGGGTCATAACTTCCCACCCCAAGGCATGACTTGTCTGTGCTGGAGTATTGTCTGGGTGCCTTCCACAACTTGGCCACGTATAGCGAGAACCAGGCAGGGCGCAACTTCTGTAAATGGGCCGCGGGGTAAACTGAGTGATTTGGATTTATTTGGTAGCTTGATTGGTTCCTTTGTTTATTTTTGTTGATTAAATGACAACCATGGACAACGAGTTAACGTTTTTTTGCAGGAGATCCTGTTGGGAGTATCTACAGTTGATCAAGTTGATACGGGGGGACTACCCATCCACCTATGAAACATTCTCCCTATGAAACATCCTCTGTGGTGTTTCATGAATAGGAGGGGACTCCACACCTATAATCAAAAAATCATATGAAGATAATATGAAACCTGTTTTTTTCCTCAGTGATGAAACCACATCTTTGGATGTATTTGGGACCATACAGTGAGGATGTAACTATTTTTTCGGGGGTGGGAGTATTTGGCAATGATCATTGACCGTGGGAACCAACAGGCACCATGGACTTTGCCTACCATAAGCACTTCTTTTACCGGAAAGGATGTGAGCTCCTTCAGGATATAAGCCTTGTCCACTCACAACATGTCGACTCGACTTGTTTCTATATCTGTATGGCTCAAAACATGTCAGTTCAGCCTTCTGTTCCCAAAAAGATCTGGTAACTTGGTAAGTGGATGTTTATTACCCCCATCGGTGTGAAGGTCTCGTTCCATCTCGCTTCGTAGCGAAGGCGACTCTCCGTAGCTTGGGCGCGCTGCGTGCGCTGCGGGATGCAACTCGGAGGGTTGGGCTGTGGATCTATCGAAGGTACATCCCTCTAAACATATACTGATTGGAGGTTTGGAACATTTGGATTGTTTATCCATATATTGGGAATAATCATCTGACGAACTCATATTTTTCAGACGGGTAGGTATACCACCAACGAGTATATAAACCGTATTGTAAACCTCAAATACTCTAAATACTCTATAAAATAAGGTTTACAACATCCCTCTGTCCACAGGATGTATTGAGAACAGTGACTCTAAAATACTGTACTTGTGGTACGACTCTGGTTTTTCAGATGTAGATTGTCCCTTCCGCCGACTCAAGGAGTGATCTGTTTGCCATTTTTTCGATTAGCCATGGAGCTTGTGGAATTGGAAGGACACCTATAACTAGGATGTGGTGATACATGAGCCACGTTCTAAACCCTTGCGTTCATGTTTAGGAGTTTAGGAGTAAGCAAAACGTAAGCACTGGCGTAAGCATTTCCTTTTTTGGTGCCAGGATACAAGACATTTACAACATGGCATAACATGGCTCAAATGACGGTTTAAACACTGTGAGATCATCCCTCAAAATGTCCCAGTATGAGATTGACTATGAATTGTCCGGATAGGTCAAGACCTATGATTTGTCCATTGGGAGTCATCGTTTATCCAGTTATTTTTAGATCAGGAGGCCGTGGATTTGATTGCGTGAAAGGCTGCATCTGACACTTGCTGAGACTTTGCAACCCTGATTTATCCTTATCTACCCTGGGGTCAGGTAATACACTAGGTCAATCGACTGGATGGGTACAAACTCATCCTTTAGTCTTTTGGTATGGGATAATCTACGTTCACCAGCTAAGAATATGTCATTTTTTGCAGGGTATCTGGCTGATTGGCCATGAATACAGGTGTAAAATAAATGGTGTCCCGTTTGGAAATTATATATAATCTACTTCAGTCGCTCAGCCTGAGGCAGTTCGATTGTACCCGCAACACGCAGAAGTTCAACGGGTGCCTCGGTGATGTGGGGTGCCTGGCCTGTGGTATTGCAAGAGATGGATTAAAGTTTTGTTGTTGGGTTATGTATCCCCATTCTCCCTAAGTGGGGTCATCTATATATATATATATATATACTGTATATATATTATAAATAAAATATGGTTATTCGCCAGTTACAGTTACAACAGTTACATCATGGTTCATCATGTTATATCCAATGGACCAGTTCTTCAACAGTTACGGGGTGACCATGTGATAATCCTCCCCAAAGCCCAGGTTGGCACCAAGACCATCCGACTTCTGAAGGGCGTGGGCCGCGACTCCGTGGACAAAGCTCCCGGGGATGACCGGGAGGACCGGGAGGACCTGCAGGCAGTGTAGGCGAAAAAAAAAAAAAAACGGGACCGGGGATGCAGCGACCTGGGGTTGGTTCTTTTTGGATATGGATCTGAAAATGATATGAAAATGATGTAAACTCCCATTTTCCATATCCATATCAGTCCATATCCAAAATGATCTATATCCATATGATATAGATCTCCATTTAAAATGATATAAACTCACCCAAAAAATGGCGTTTTAAAAGGGAACATTTTAAAAAAACACTGGATTTAGAGGTAGCCGAGATTGTTAGACAAACCCACGAATGTTTGTTGGAAGTTGAGTAAGAAGCAAAGGACATATAGGATAGTTTTATAATGTTTTATAGATATGTTCTGTTCTTGATGTATGTAGTCATTTTGTGACCCGTGTGACTTATCTGTTTTAGTGTTTTACCGAACCAAGGAGAGTTGGATTGTACCTGTCATGATTTTCCATGTACAGGGTGAGCTAAGCATCAATCCAAAGGGGTGGTTGACTAGTGGTTTACTATCTGCAGTAGATAGGGGAGGATGTCAAGATACACTTTGGCTAAAGCATGCTGGAGTGATGCCTCATGCAAATGTTTTTCGTGAATGGTTCGGTATACAACCAACAATCAAAATGATAAGATTGATGTTTTGATTAATGAAAGCTGTTGATTTTTGCCCTCACATGTTGCATTGGACAGATTTGGAAACCATCAACCTACTTTTTTTTTATATAGAGGCTACTTCCCTATTGTTTTTTGTTTGGCACCTTGGCCTGCTGGCAGAAAACCTTCAACGCCATGGTTGAGGGCTCTTCCCGGGAAAAGGCACCCGGGATCACAGTTTTTCAATCGGACTGCTGACAGTTGGCTGACAGTAGCCTCTGATAGTTTTAGCATAGCCACGGATCTACGGGACAATCTTTGTTTTAGCGTCGATAGGTCCGATAGGTACATGGTGAATAATCCATTGGGTCATTTTCAGTAGCATTCCGTAGCTGTGTTAGTTTACTGATGGGGTATGTGTTCAGCAATGGAAAACCTGGGTGAAAGACTGTTCAGATCTGTTGCATTAAGGAATATCAGTGATATCCCGCTGAACATCAACTTGTTTACATGATATGTGTTAGGGTTTCCTGAAAATGTAAGATGAAACCCCAAAGAATGGGATGAGAGTCTATCATCACTGGATTGGCTTCGCTGTCAAATGCAGGATTTGTGCTATAGGGCCTATAGGGGTTCATGATTCAAGTACTGAATGGTGCGCACCTGAGTTTTCCAAGCCGGCTTTCTTGCCGCAAGATCCTTAGGTATCTGTATACAGTCTCGTGGCCCATCTCAAAGGCATCTAGAATCTAGAAGGGATGAAGGCTTAGTCATTTGTAAGCTCAGATTCTAAACCCTGATTTTTTTCAATAAATTTAAGTGATTCAATCGTGTTGAGAAATATATCATTGCAGATATATTCAGATAGGCTTGGTTGATGATTTCCATATGATTTCCATGGGATTTCCATATGATTTCCATGGGATTTTCCATCGGTTTTTTTTCGCACAGGCCCTTGAGATCGTCCAAAGACACCCGGGCATCCTGGCCGCGGGGCCCGATGTGAAGGGGAACATGCTGCAGGTGCAAGGGAATGGCCGGAATGGCACATCGAATCATGGTGATTTAAAGGAGAAGTTCATGGGATTTGTCCTTCGGATCGTGGGAATTATCCTTTGTTTCTACACAATCTGCATGTGAAAGCACAAGACTTGCCAACTTGTAACTGTTCTAATTCTACGTTACGGTAATATCACAAAATGTGAACGGAAATCATGAAGAGATGCGGCAGCCTAATACTTTCGTCATGCGAGCGCGAATTAGTGTATATGTGACTGCTTGTGCATCTGCACACTAAAAGGTTGCCGTAGTGAAATTTCTAGGGGTCTGGGCTGATGCCATTCCTTTTTCCGAAGAGTTTTTGTGACAGCAAGGTTTTAAGGTTGGTAATCCTATCTAGCTTACACGCGAAAATAGAGAGATATATTATATATATAGTATGGTTGTTATATATTGTCCTTATGTTTTTTTTGGCGTTTTCTTCGTCTTGGCATGACAGTGGCTCTCGGGGCCATTTTGAAGATGGTTCGTCCCTTGCCATGATTCTTCCAAAGTGACTCTCCAGGAATGTGAGGCTGTGAGTTGATTTATGTTGATTTATATGGTGTTTTCCTAAGTCATGGGGGTACCGATTTATATATTTTATATGATTTTATATGGTGTTTTTTTTAAGTCATGGATGTTAGTTGCTATACCAAATCATCCATTTATAGATGGATGTTCCATGAAATAAACAATCCAGCTATTGAGGTACCCCCATGACTTAGGAAACTTAAATATAGAAATAATATATATATATGTATATATATATATATATGTATTATATAAAGCCCATGAGCATTATAGTTATGATTATGATTACCACAAACCCCAGAATCTAACTAAGCATACTAAGCTATCTAGGAGCCCCAATAAGGTTGTATGAATCTGAAAGGTTCACATGGATTCTGACAATGGGAATTCAAGCATGGTGATAAGGTGTGATAGCGAGCAATTTAACCAATCTGTTTCAAATGATTAATTATGATACAGGCTCAGCAAAAAGTCAAAACCTATGCTTAAATCCAGGCAGAATCTCAACAAGTTTCAAGTAACTACAGTGAGAATACCAAAGAGTGAAGTAGATGATCCTACTTTCATCCACCGTTCCCTCATAAAACAAGCCATAGACCAGCCATAGCCTATGGACTTCCTAAATGTCCCTCACCTTCTGCTGTACTCATTGAGGACTTATAAGGAACACCTTCTATAAGGTGGTGCTGCAAGTCATGTTAGAAGTTGGATTAGTGCTTGAGTTTCAGCCCATTGGCTCATGAACAATGCGATGTAGCTACGTACCACAAGCCAGTTGCATTAGTTTGATAGTTCAAAAGTAAGTGCGATTCCAAACTACAGTTAATCCCATAGAAATATCCAGTTATAACCATTATTCATCACATGTTTAGCCACTATTAACCATTACCAGTAGTACCGCACAAGGCGGTGGCGGAAGTTTCAAAAATAGGAAACCTATAGGAGAGATTGGTTGTTGTGAATCAGGGATGGCAGAGCGAATCCACTGATGGACCGAAAGGTGCTTGAGGTCTCCTCTCTTTCTCTCTCTTTCTCTGACTATCTACCTACCTACCTATCTATCTATCTTCTATCTATCTATCTATCTATCTACCTATCTATCTATCTATGTATCTATCTATCTATCTATCTTTCTATCTATCTATCTATCTCTATCTCTATCTCTATATCTCTATCCCTATCCCGATCTCTATCTCTATCTCTATCTCTATCTCTATCTCTATCTCTATCTTATCTATCTATCTATCTATCTATCTATCCATCTATCCATCTATCTATCTGTCTATCTGTCTGTCTATCTGTCTACCTGTCTATCTGTGGTGCAGTGTCATTCAGTGTAAGGTAGTGTTGTGTAATGTAGTGAAGTGTAGTGGAATGTAGTGTAGTGTAGTGTAATGTAGTGTAGTGTAGTGTAGTGTAATTTAGTGTAGTCGAGTGTAGTGGAGTGTAGTGTAATTGTAGTTGTAGTTGTAGTGTAGTTGAGTGTAGTGCAGTGCAATGTAGTGAAGTGTAGTGGAAGGTAGTGTGGTGTAGTGTAATGTAGTGTAGTGTAGTGTAATTTAGTGTAGTGGAGTGTAGTGGAGTGTAGCGGAGCGATGTGGAGCGTAGTTGTAGTTGTAGTTGTAGTGTAGTGGAGTGTAATGTAGTGAAGTGTAGTGGAAGGTAGTGTAGTGTAGTGTAATGTAGTGTAGTGCAGTGTAGTGGAGTGTAGTGTAATGTAGTGTAGTGTAGTGTAATTTAGTGTAGTGGAGTGTAGTGGAGTGTAGTTGTGCAGTTGTAGTTGTAGTGTAGTGTAATGTAGTGTAGTCTAGTGGAGTGTAGTGGAATGTAATGTAGTGTAGTGTAATTGGGTGTAATTGAGTGCAGTGTAGTGTAGTGGAGTGTAGTGTAGTAGAATGTAGTGAAGGTGTAGTTGTAGTTGTAGTTGTAGCGTAGTGTAATGTATTGGAGTGTAGAGTGGTGTAGTGGTGGTTGCAGTTGAAAATGCTACAAGACCTTCACGTTTTGCTCACTTTTGACAAGGTCCACAATGCCTTGCGCCTGCCACGCGAAACGACATCTGAACCTCCAAAAGTGGTCCGTACATGGTGTGCTTTGTACATTTTGACTTGGAAATGTGCTTCGCGCCACAACGGCGTGCACTTTTTCGACATCTGAACCTCCAAAAGTGGTCGCGAAGTGGTGTGTTTTGTACATTTTGACTTGGAAATGTGCTTCGCGCCACAACGGCGTGCACTTTTTCGACATCTCAACTTCCAAAAGGGTCCGAGCATGGTGTGTTTTGTACATTTTGACTTGGAAATGTGCTTCGCGCCACAACGGCGTGCACTTTTTCGACATCTGAACTTCCAAAAGTGGTCCGAACTGGTGTGTTTTGTACATTTTGACTTGGAAATGTGCTTCGCGCCACAACGGCGTGCATTTTTTCGACATCTCAACTTCCAAAAGTGGTCCGAAGCTTTTTTGTACATTTTGACTTGGAAATGTGCTTCGCGCCACAACGGCGTGCACTTTTTCGACATCGTAACTTCCAAAAGTGGTCCGAGAATGAGGTGTTTTGTACATTTTGACTTCGAAATGTGCTTCGCGCCACAACGGCGTGCAATTTTTCATCTCTCATCTGGCCAGCTGGCTCCGCACCCGCCGCTTTAGCGAGCCTACTTTTCGACCCTCCGGAGCCCAAATCATTGGAAAAACACAGTGTTTCGCGACTTTCCTACCTTTTCTCGCATCTGCATCTTCTTTCTTCTTACTCTTTCTCTTCTACTCTTCTTTCTTCTAATCTTTCTCTTCTCTCTGCCTCTTCCCTGCTCTGCTTTTCATCTGTCCATATTGTCGGAAGTTTGACTTCTAAACTTCCTTCGGTTAACCACTATTCATGACCATTAATCACCATTACTAACCATTTACAATTGGTAAACAGACTGTACAACCACTTAGATGGTTTTTATGTATAATCCTATAGAAATATCCAGTTATAACCACTTATTGTATTGCTATTTCCGGCCACAGCTGTCGCGTTTAGCTGTCACAGTCGTCCACAACTCGTGACGCGTCGTAGGCAGACGTGGCCTCCAATGCCATCAACGCTGCCAGGAGTCCGAAATATCCAGGTCTGGTGCTGTAGAATTTCTTAGGCCCCCATGGGAAATTCATTGGAAAATGATGGGAAAATGATTGGAAATCACGCAAAAATATGGAATTATGTTTGTTGTTTGTTGATATTTATAAGTACCATGTAACTAGTTCGTCATAAGTACCGTAAACCCAAACGTGAAATTGTAGTTATAAACCCCTAGTTATAACCCCGTTCGATAGCGTTCAGTTGGTGAACATGACTACAATAACTAGGCTTTATGGTTTCTATAATCGGATGGGCTTAAAAACCAACTTATAACGTTTGGGGGCCCCACATTGTAGCTAAGTTGCAACGTATAGCCATATCAATATAGCTAATGTGGGAAAAACAATGCCATAAACCACCCATTTGGGAATGTGTTTTTCCCCACCTGCCAGGTAAGGGTTGTTAGATTTTATCAGAGTTGTTCTCCTTCTTCTCCTTCTTCTCCTTCTCCTTCTCCTTCTCCTCCTCATCCTTCTCCTCCTTCTCCTCCTCCTCCTTCTCCTCCTTCTCCTCCACCACCTCTGCATCCACTTCCAGGTCCACTTCTACCACTTCCATGTCCACTTCCGCCTTGCCAACTCTTCGCCAAGCTTTTCGCCAACTTCGTGAGCACTGCTGGACCTCAGCTGCAAGGGTCTGAGCGCACTGGGCACCGCTGGACCTCAACTTGGGACCGTCGGAGCTCAGTGAGCACCCCTGGACCTCAACCTGGGACCTTCCGAGCTCAGTGAGCACCGCTGGACCTCAACCTGGGACCCTCCGAGCTCAGTGAGCACCGCTGGACCTCAACGGCCAGATAGAATGCCAGAAGATATGCCAGATAGAACGCCAGATAGAATGCCAGAAAGAATGCCAGAAGATATGCCAGATAAAGTGCCAGAATGTTTGCCAGATAGAATGCAAGAAGATATGCCAGATAGAATGCCAGAAGGTATGCCAGATAGAATGTCAGATAGAATGTCAGAAGGTATGCCAGATAAAGTGCCAGAATGTTTGCCAGAACATATGCCAGAAGATTTGCCAGATAGAATGTCAGAAGATATGCCAGAAGATATGCCAGATAGAGTACCAGAAGATATGCCAGAACATATTGCAGAAGATATGCCAAGTAGAATGCCAGAAGATATGCCGGATAGAATGCCACAAGATAGGCCAGATAAAATGCCAGAAGATATGCCAGATAGAATGCCAGAAGGTATGCCAGATAGAATGTCAGATAGGATGCCAGAAGGTATGCCAGATAAAGTGCGAGAATGTTTGCCAGAACATATGCCAGAAGATTTGCCAGATAGAATGCCAAATAGAATGTCAGAAGATATGCCAGAAGATATGCCAGATAGAGTGCCAGAAGATATGCCAGAACATATTGCAGAAGATATGCCAGGTAGAATGCCAGAAGGTTTGCCAGATAGAATGCCAGAAGATATGCCAGATAAAATGCCAGAAGATATGTCAGATAGAATGCCAGAAGATTTGCCAGTAACAAAACGTATAGATGTCATGGTGGGATAACTCGAAGTAAAGTATATTTTGGAACCTATTTATGGTGATTTGGGAGATGGTTTATTATTGTTTTACCCACATAAATACCAATATAGCTGTGTATCAAACAGATTCAAATGGGGCGCCAGTGTGACCTTGTTGGACGAACGTATGACATGGAATCTGCGTATCGTCAGCTCTCCATCAATCCGAAAGACGGGAACAAGGCACTGATTGGGGTCTACGATCAGAAGACCGGCAAAGTCAGGGTCTTTCGAATGGGGACAGGGCCGTTTGGGGCAGTGGCCTCTGTCTATGCCTTCCTCAGGACGGCCGCGGCGGTCAACCACATAGGTTGCAAAATCCTGAAGATTCCGATGACTCCCTACTTTGACGATTTCACGGTCATGACTCAGGGGAGTCTGACAGGGGGAACCAAACTTGCTGTGGGGCGCTCTTCACTACGTTGGGGTGAAGAAGCTCATTTGTGGGTCGCATCAAGCGGTTTTTCAGGGGAACGAAACCACCAAACAGCGAGGCTTTGACAAAGAGGATTCATAAAAAGCAAAGAAAGAAGAAACTCTGATATAACTCTAATTATCCAAAAAAGTAAATATTTGATATTTCAAGTATAACCATGTGGTGGAGAAACACAACAAAGAGCCTTTGGACATGTTCTTGCTCCTAAAGCGGAGTGTTGAAATACTGTTGGTAATGCTTAGGACTGGACCATCCAATTCTGTCGATGTCTCGCTTCGTGTGCCTTCTGTAACTACCACTACCGCTGGCACTGTAACTAGCACTAGCGTTACCACTACTAGTTGGTGGTTTGGAACATGTGGATTATTTTTCCATACATTGGGAATGTCATCATCCCAACTGACCAACTTCATCATTTTTCTGAGGGGTAGGTATACCACCAACCACATATTGACTTCACCATCCAAAGATAATAAGAGGTTTATGGATCATATGGATCATATGGATCATCATCATCATAATCAGAGGTTGAAACCACCAACCAGACTAAAATTACCACTAAGTACTCGTACGTGCTACTTCATATGACTGCGCACTGCAGCGATCCTTCCATGTGATGTACTGCGATGTAGGACTAGGTAGGACAACAAACTGCTGCGTAATGCTACACAATGCTACATGCATAAACGCTATATTTGTTTGACTACCTATACTAAAATATACTGCGACATAGTACTACGTGCTAGTATATATACAGGCATATGGAGATGTACTAGTAACTATGTATTAGTATTAGCCCTAAAACCCTAACCCTAAAAGGTAGTGATAGGTGTAGGTGGCGCCCCAAGTCATGCGTCATGCGGCCAACTTGGATCAATGTTTATTCCGTTTTGGCTTCATCCAAGCAGAGAGCAGCTGCGCACGTCAGGAGTTTGTCGAAGATGTTCAGATGAGTCCCGGGGCACGGCACGATGGCGACAGGGCGATGCTGGCGCGCGATCTGGCGCGGGGTGTTTTCAACGCTTGGTGTCCACGCAGTTGCTGAGTCAAAGACGTTTAAGGTCACTGCAACTGTTGTGACTCGGAGACAAACTGCCTCCGACTTTTAATGCGAAAAAGACCCAGCTGAGTGGCTCTGGGACACGGCAGGACTTGGTTTCCATTGAATTTCACGCAGGGTTTTCCCGGCATGTTCAAAAGAGAAAATGATATGATTCAACTGATCAACCATGAATTTGGGGATTCCTTGGATGTTCACCCAAAAAGTCAGACATGGAGTCCCGAGTGACTTGATCGGGTGATTTAGCCGAAGAAGCACAAAGGTTTCAGCCGGTGCATGTGACGTGCAGGTTTGCTTTAAATGAATCAATCATGAATCGTTGATAATCATTGGTTATTGGAAGTGGTTCGCTTTTGGGCTACCCAAACTTCAGCCAGACATCAGTTTCAGAAAGGCATTATTTAATTTGATGGAAGGCCAGATCCCTAGTCTCAACCTAGTCCAGAAGGGTGTTTTTGGAACATGCTGCGCTGCTCAATTTCCATCACGCTGGTAACACTGTTGATGCCAAATCAACGACATCTAGTGTGTACATGTGTGTACTTAATTGATATACCCACTGGTTATTTAACATAGCCATGGGAAATGGCCCATAAAAATAGATGGTTTACCTATTAAAAATTGTGATTTTCCATGGCTATGTTAAATAACCAGAGAGTAATTGAAGCATGTCAACCTGAAGGTTTGTTTTCAAGAAGCCAACATTTAAAGATATTAAACGCAATGTCAACCAGCGGACTTGCAGGAAAAATACAAAGGAATAGTGAACGTTTTCCAGGATCAAATGCTGCAATTCCTGGTGTATTCCTGCACAACAACTTCCCTACAAGAAGTTCTCTCCCGAATCAGCAACGTGCCCACTGAAACCGTGAAGGAACACTGCAGGATTTTTTCAGCGCATATTGGATACACAAGTTGAATGCAGATAGCTTTAGAAATGTCCATGGTTCATGATTGCATTTGGGTTCATGTTGGTACCATCGGCTTCGTATCATACGCTCAACTATCTTCAAAGATTTCCTGCGACCTGTGGCATGTTTACAACATTAAACATATTTGCCACCCAAACCCAAAGCAAACACAGCTTCAGACATTTCAGACTTAGCCAGCAAAGTTGCCAACACTAGTGTCCGGCAAAAAGTAACAGGGAACCATGGCTTCACCAGTAATTTTACCATCTGAATCCATTTGTTTCCTAATAAAAACAAATCAAAAACCCATCGAAATATAGGTTGGGGTTTTCCTGCAAGCTTTTCCTATTTAACCAATTCTGGAAAAAAACCGTTCCAAATCTCGATATAAAAGTGCCACTTGGGTCCTGCCCCATGTGTGCGCTGTGTGCATTCCGGCGGTGCCATGACGTTTGGGACCTCGGCTCCAGACACCTTATTTTTCGAAGTCCCCCATGACCGTTAAATGTGGTTACCCGGCCTGGTAAACATACAAAAAGCTATGGAAAATCACCATGTTTAATGGGAAAATCACAATTTTTAATGGGAAAACCACCATGGTTGATGGGAAAATTCACTATTTCGACTGGGCCATGGCTTCAATAGCTATGTAAACGTTGACCAGAGGGTAATTTTCAGCCTGGAGAAAGAAAGGAAAGCAAAAAAAAGTGACTGGGATGGGATATATAACATTAATGGGATGTTTAATATTGATAATGATCTGGTTGGAAAAAGCCTACCATCTGGTTATTTGGATTATTGTTCTATATATTGGGAATGTCATCATCCCAACTGACTATTTTTTTTCAGAGGGGTAGGTATAACTAACAACCACCAACCAGTATAGTTGATCCTATTAACATAAGTTACCATCTGGTTATGACCAACAGTTCGCCATGGAAAGATTCACCATGCTATTAAGAACGGTAAACCATCTATTTATATGGGCCATCTATACCATGGCTATGTTAAATAACCAGAGGGTATACATTGTTCTAACATACCAAGTACTGTCAGTTTACTGGAGGGTGAACCGTATAGGGGGTTCTTGACATGGGGGACCCCCAAAACCACGGGTTTCAACACTAAAATGATCTTTTGACTTGGATCTGAAGTACCCCTATGACTTAGGAAACTTCCAAATATATACCTTATCACAATAATAGATATGGGACTATTACAATAGATATTACAATGGACTATTATGGAGGACAATCATTGTAAGTTATTGAAACAAACTATGGCACACTATACATTACGTTATTGCATATCAGTAAGTTGATGCATTATATACTGGTTGGTGGTTTGGAAAATTTGGATTATTTTCTATATATTGGGAGTGTCATCATCCCAAATGACTTTCACTCCATCATTTTTCAGAGGGGTAGACGAAAAACTACCAACCAGATCATGTATATATATATATACACCATTATAAACCATATATAAACCTTTATAATCCATCCATATATATATATATATACATATTGACTATTATATAGAGGGGTAGGTATACCACCAACCAGTATCGTTGGTGTACACCAACCCTGTCGGCGAGGCCTCGACCTGGCAAAGTGGAGGCATGTTTCGCCAGATGGCCTAAAAACCTAGATGTTTGCTGATTTAACGATAGTGATATTCTAGTAATATGTATAAATAAATATATATATATATGTATATGTGTATATATATATATGTAGTTATAATATATATATATGTATTGGTATAACTATATTTAACTATAGTGGTATATGATACTAATTTTAGTGAGATTTGATACTGATTATAGTGAAATTTGATAATAACTATAGTGATATACATATATATATATATAATATAAATATAGTGACATCCACGTAACTTGGTTAAATAGGGTTTATGGAGGATGTAATAGTTAACGGGCTTCGTAAACCAACGATCACAACTGGGTAACTGGTCGGGGCCCACCTTGCATTCTATTTTCCCATTGAATAATACCATCAGTATATCATTGTGTTGGTTTAAGGTTTTATTTGCTGTACCCTCTGGTAAACTAACATAACTATGGAAAATTATCATTTTTGATGGGTAAATCCACTATAAATGGCCATGTTCAATAGCTATGTTAGATTACCAGAGGGTATTTTCTGAGTGAAACCAGGAGTTCTGGCCTATCCTCAAGTCAATCCATTGATGGTATCCCGCAAACTCAACAGTTATGCAAATATCAACGTTTAAACCAAACGAGCCGGGGCACTATCATAATAGTTAACCCTGGGAATTTAACATAGCTATAGAAAATCACTATTTTTGTTTTTATAGTAATCATCTAACTAATCATGTCAAGCTATCGGAGGGTATATCCCATTAATTATATAAGTGACCCATTACATACCAATTTATTAAACCCCATTCAATTCCATTAAGTTAATAATTAAATGATCCATTAAATATCATTAAATCCTCCATTGAATCTCATTGAATCCCATGAGTTTTTCCATGTTTCATTATTTGTTCCAATATTTCATCACTGTTCCATTATATATATATATATATATATATCCCATTAATCATTTCTCATATATATATATGTATATGTTTTCCAATCAATGGTATGTTTCCAAAAATTGCTTCATTTTCCATGAAAATCCTCTAAATCCCATGACATTTTCCATGTTTTTGTCATTTTTTCCCAATGAAACCTCCAGTTTTTCCCATCATGATTCTACATCTGGTTGGTGGTTTGGAACATGTGGATTATTTTTCCATATATTGGGAATGTCATCATCCCAACTTACTTTTCATATTTTTCAGAGGGGTGGCTCAACCACCAACCAGATATGTGTCATCAATATTCCATCAAATTGGATTCTTTCGAATTTTGTCTACATCTTTTCCAAGAAATGCTCCAGTTTTCCCATCCGATTTCCCCCCACCTTCTCCGAGAGGTGCCCATTGCTGGCGAAGTCATTAGCCGACGTCCAAAGGGCGCAGCCTCGCGTGCACATCACAAGGCGGAGAAATGGACCTTGGGCCTGGGATATGGGGCCCCCAAACGCCCGCTACGTTACAAGTTGGTTTTCCAGCCCATCATATTCCATTAATAGGTTAATAGGTCTTATATCCCATTATATTTTCATTATATTCCTATTGATTATCCCATAATATTCAAGATGATTCCATTAAATACTATTACCCTCTGGTTATGAATAACAGTTTGCCATGATATAGATGGCCCATAGAAATAGATGGTTTACCTATTAATAGCATGGTGATTTTCCATGGCAAACTGTTAAATAACCAAATGGTACAAGTTGGTTTACAAGCCCATCTAACTGAGCCATGAACAAAATACCCTGGTTAATTGATCGCTATAGCGGATTGTGCTACCCGGTTTGCTCGGGATTATGATGGGCCCCATAGTAGGGAAACCCATCAACCAACTGGTATAATGAGATGGGATAGGGGTAATTTTTAATGGCTCAACTATATAGTTACAACTACCATAAAGCCTAGTGACATTGTAGTTATTTGCGCCAACTTAGCTATCGAACGGGGGCCCCACATTGTAGGATGACTTAATTGGTTCATAACTCATGGATAATGATGGACAATGATATGGATAAAAATGTGGATAAGTGAGTTATAAGTGTTTATTAGTTAATTTAGTTAGACCCCCTGATTCTTGAAACTGGCAGAGAAACTGACTACCTCGACCCTCCACTGCCGAGGAAAAAATAGTCGTTCTAAGATAGGTCAAACAACCCAAAAATGATTCACTTTGTTCCAAACATGTATGTTGCTGGGAAAATCTCAGCACCACGCTCACATACACAAAACGTGAGGAGTTTTAGAACTCCAAAAAAAACGAAAAAAACAAGATTTCAGGATTTGCAGGTGTGTGTGTTTTTTTTTGCCTTTTGTTTAAACGTTTTTTTTGGCAGGGTGTTATGGGTTTTTTCCTTAGTCGCTTGAGGCGCTGCGAACATTTTTTGGCTTTTGTCTCACCAAGCCCAAAAACATGCAATCAAAGTCCTAAAATCCAAGACCAAAGTAGTATCTAGGTGTTTTGGGTAAAATCAGTTGATATA